TTCGGGAGGATAACAGGTTCGCGCGTCATCGCTGCTACGTCCAGGACAAGAGCATGCTCCTCGACGCCACGATGAGGGAGAAGAGCCACAACCTTCACATTGTCACACCGCCGAACGTCAATGCAGACTACGACCAGCAAACAAAGAAAATCACCTCCCGTCCGATCCCTGGCATGGTGCAGATGATCCCTGGAGTTCCTCATGTCTGGTTCCTCGATGGCGACCCACGCAAGATTATGTTTGCCGGTTCCTGCGAGACACTCCAATCCCTGCAGTACCATCCGGAAATCGCGACCATCACAGCAAAATGCAAACGTTTGTTCATCCTCATCATGGGCCGTCCCGCCACTGCCACCGAGGCCGAAGTCATGCCGCTCTGGGCGTATGCGTTTCTGAAGCTCAATCAGCGGGCGACAAAGGGGAAGAAGATGAACCTGGTGGTCACTTTCAAGTACGATGGCTCTTTCAGCTTTGGTGCCACTCTTGAGCAAGGCGAGGGGCGTGGTCGGGTGGTACCCGCGATTCAGGTAGCCACTCCGGAGATGTGAGCTCAGATCCGTGAAATCTTCGAAATCATCAACTATCTGTTCCGCCAAGTCGTGTCGTGGTCTCTGTCTAAGCAGGATATGGAGATCAATGACTTCCATGCCTGGATCAACAACCTCTTTTCCCTCGGTGGGATGGATCCAGGTTCGACATCTCTGCAATTGAATGTTTCGTCTTCAATGTCTGGAGGCGACATGATCAAGAGTATCGGAGAGGTACAGGGGAAGTGGCACGTGGATTGGCTTGATCATATCGCCATGATCACGCTCTTTATCCTTCTCTTTCGGTTGCCACCAGGTATGCTCTACACCTTATATCTCTGAATCTGAGGCTGATGTGTATACTTTTACAGGTGCAGACCCTGGCCCATTCCTGCTGGGTCGTCCTGGTCTCTACTGCCGTGAGCTCGACGTCTGGATCGTGTTTGTGATGTTCAATGGCAAGGATCTCCATTCTGGGTTTGCACCATTCAGTATCGACCATGGTTCCACCTTCGAAATGGACGACCTGAAGGGAATTGGTGATGCTTGGGACCAGGCCGATGAAGTCTCACGTTGTGGCTTGGTCTACTATACCAGTGATGTCACTGCTGAGCGCTCCAGTTCTTATGCTGTCACGCCCTCTACGGGCTTTGGGAATTTCGGGACTCAGAGCAGTAGTGAACTGCGCTCGCGCAACTTCGCACAGGATGGCCAGTTCATGCTTGGGTCGCCTTTGGATGCGTCGAGCCGCCTTGCCCATGAAATGACCTTCGAGTTCTTGAACGGGCTCGCAGCATGTGGTCTCAAGTTGGACCAGCCTAACACCTTGAACTGGCTCCTTTCCCAGGTTCGGTGTCGCAATCCTCAGAGTGGCGAATGGGTGCCTGTCAAGGCTTCCAAACATGATCCCTTTGATCCGAATGACCAGGCGTTGATCGAGGAGATGAAGACCTACGTTACGTCAAAGCACCGAAGCCATAGAGACATGGCGCTTGGAATCACCAAAAACTCGTACTACTCCCGTCGCGAACTCATGGCCTCATGGTTCACCTCATCCTCATCCATCCCTCAGCTCAGTTTATTCCAACCCATCACTTCTGGTCACCTTATGCCTGTTTCCACCTCGGAAGATATGGATGTTCCGTACAAAGTAACCAAGGTTCTCCGCGAACAAACACCAAAGGGCATGATAGTGAGCATTGGTCTAAGTCTTTCATTGTCGTTTGTTGCTCATCGTCCTCAAGGTGGAATGGGTAGTGCAGTGTGAAGATGGCATCGAGCGTGTGATTGATGCAGTCGACGATTTCATATGGCACGTTCTCTTTCTCTCCACACATCTAGTCTATCTCACATGGATTTGTCCGACAGGATCCACCATCCCGTCAATGCACCGGCCTTTGCCACATACTATGCCTCACAGTTGAAGTCAGCGATGCCTGGACTGAGGATGCCGTCTGCTGAGCTTGACACGATGACATCTGAGTCCACCGACCAGCAGGCCCAACAGCCCACAATGACTGAACCCACACCTCAGTCTGCCGCTTCCGGCTTCAGTATCATGGATGTCGATATGCAACTCGAGCCAGCCTCTGCTGAGCCCACAATGACTGAACCCACACCTCAGTCTGCCGCTTCCGGCTTCAGTATCATGGATGTCGATACGCAACTCGAGCCAGCCTCTGCTGAGAACAATCAAGGCAAGTGACATGATCATGTATCGCAAGTACTTTTAGTGCCATACTTATGTTCTACAACAACCAGATACCCCATCAGTCGGAGTCGATATCAGCAGTGCTTTATCAGACTTGTCAGATCTGCCATTTAATGGTAAGTATTTTGGCTCTCTACGTACTCTGTATCTATACTGATCTATTACAGATTCAGAATTGCCTTATGACCACAGGGGTGAGGACTACGATCCAGAAGGTGAATCTGAGATGCCGGATAACGAAGAGGACGATGAGCGCGACAATCCCAACAAAAACAAACGGAAAGCAGATGCCGAAGAAGAAGCTAGTCCGCGAAAGAAACATGCACCAAGACATAGCGATGATTATGGAGATGACGAGTTTGAGGTCGAGGCTGTCATCAACCATGTACATGTCCCCCTTTCTCTGTCTTAATCGGCGTACTCATCTCTATGATCTCTTGAAGAAATTTGATGCAACCGACCAATGGTATCTCGTCAAATATGCTGGGTTCTCAGTCGAAAACTCTCAGTGGCATAAGGAGTCGGATCTACCGTGAGTGCCGTAGATATAATACAGTTTCTAGCTCACATGCTGATATTGCTCTAGTAATTGTCTAGAAGCAATTCGAGACTACTTGCTCCTGTCGTGCCAAGGAGGCACGCGCGTAGTTCGAATGCGGAAGCCTACCGGTGCGGCTGATTCTGAACCACCCGAGTTAGGGAATGTAGAGCTCCTGAGGCGAGTGATTGACAGGGCGATACTCGAGCAGGAGGTGGATATTTTACAAGGAGTGGCGCACACCATCGGAGCCCAACCCAAGACCAACTACACAAACCCTGGAAAAGGCCTAACGGAGATCATAAAGGAGGTCAACATCGTTGCCAAACGACAGGTGCTCCTCAGTGGCTGGCTTGACTACAGTCCACTTCACGTGGATTATCCCTCCTCCTCTCACGTGTCTCAGGAAACATCGATGCTCATGACCTTCACCCTCCTCCATGAATCAACTCGCCTTCTACCACGAATTCAGAAGGAAAGTCTCAAGGCCCAGACTTTAGCTACCATCCTCCGCTGGCAACACTGTCGAAGTCTTCTTGTCGTATACCAATTCTTGACACGCGACCTCCCTATTCTCATCGAGGTCCTGTTCGATGCCGCCACAGTTCATCACGACGATGACGACTTTGGCCTTGATAATGGTGATCCGTACGATTTGTTCAGCGGTCGAAGGTGGGGAAGCTACCTCCTGCAGGCCTATCCAGTATACGCTCCGCTCGTACGCCACATCATCCAATTCGTATTTTTGCATCGTCAGCAAAAAAACAAGATGTCCAGGGGCCGTACTGGATCTCTCGAAGAAGGCCAGGCTAAGCAGCTCAAAGACCTAGACTCGATCCCATGGAATCTTTACCATATACGCCCCGACGAACCAGGAACAGAGAATAAAACTGTGAAGCTAGTAGATGTTAAGGGGAGAGCGGGCCATGGCTGGGCAGGGTTACGAGAACGCGCCGAGAAAATTTTTGAGGGGGTTATAGAGCGGGAGCTAGTATTTGCAATGGTCGCCGAGTCGGATATTGCCTTCAACACCAAACGTGTCAAGACTAAAGGATGGAAGGAGGTGCGCGCGCGTACTATATGCCGTGCAGTGATTCTGCTACTGCTCTCGGACGCTTGTCACACAGAGGGAATCTTCTTCGCATCAGCCATCGAGGCCCTTCTCAAGTCTCCATCTCTCGTGTTTTCGCATGCGTCCATCGAGAGTCACCGCCTCGCCGACAGGATCCTTACACGCCCAGAGATCGAACTTGCCCCATTGCGAGCGTGGCTTGACCAACACATCACCGATGACATCCGTGAGGCCATTCACAATCTCGGGGATGCGTGTCAGCATCAAGTCCTCCAATATCTTGGTGGCAATCATATTTCATTCGCGCACTTTCGAGACCAGCAAGCCGCTCACCGAGGAGGACCTCTGACTGGGGCTACCGCAGCCAAGCACGGCCCCAAGACTCACGCACTTGGACACCGTGGAGAGGGGCCAGTTGTGGATTTGACGCGAGCTGAGCTCCTTGTGGGCGGGGAGGCTCCTCACTTTGGAGGATTAGCAATCATCTTGCGGGAAGCTCTGAACTATCGGTTGGGCATGGGGCCGGGGAGAAGCGAGTTGCGTCAGTTTCTGGTGGGTGAGAGAGCAGGAGTGGGCAGGAAGCATAGGCCTGGTGATGTGGATCAGGTTTCCCCGTTTCGGTGGGACAATGAGGGGGTGAGGTTGTTGTTGAAGAAGCTACCGAAGGCGAAGCTCCTTGGACGCATGGGTGCCGCCAATCTTACCCTCTGGATGCTCACGGGGCAAAATGGCATGACGAAATTCTTCCTTGCACGCACTGATCCGCAAGGTCCAGGCGAGCCTGACACATATTTCGCAGCCACGCTCCCGGATGCTCTCACCAACTTCGGTTCAGCTCTGCTGCATAATCAGCAAGTATTGGCCCGGTGCAATCTCGCCGATACCGACACTATCAGCCCCGACGATGAGTCTCCTCCGCCAAAGCTCAGACAGCAGGGAATGCTCCAGATTTCGAACTGCACCATCTATGGCTCTGCGAGCAACCTCCTTAAACTACTCCCCACCAAGTCTGCAAAGGACCGTACTTTCGACCCACTCGATTATGCATCTCCCTTCTTTGACCCTTCCAAATTCTCATTGATGGAGAAAGTTGCGCCACTCTTCTCTCCTGCCCTCGCGGATCTTTGGGAGGAATTTCTTGCGCTTTTATTCCGGACATGGCTCATGGCCATACGCTTCATCGAGTCCCTGGGTATCCCTGGGCTGAAGTCAGGCCTAACCAAGTTCCAGATGGCGATGAATCTTTCCATTTTGGGGATCTGCGAGCCTCCTACCATTGATGAGATTGCGATATGGATCTGGGACCACCCAGAACTGGGAGCATTCAAAGGCCTTGTGCAGTTGGGCTTCCGCTTGCAGAACCTGCAATGTGTTCGAGCGGCACTGACAATTGTGCAGGACCACATCGACTTCTTTGCGTCAAAAGCCGAGCTGGAGATCATGCACAATGGTCCATTGTCCACTGAACATCTTCTGTGCAAGAATATCCGCTGGATCAATCGGATCCCAGAGTTATTGAAGTGGATTGAGCAAGCTGAGGAACAATTTGCACAGAGTTGGACACGCCCCAGTGGTAGCCGATCGGCACAGGAATTTTCTTTCCCTTTACGAGGGGACCTTGGGCGGATTGATGCTATCATCGCAGAATTCAAGGTACATATTCCTCTGACGTTTTCATGTTGCTGATTTCTGATAAGTCCATTCTAGGATACCTCATTGTTCTCCACGTCCAAGCCCTTCCAGCTCCACACTAGAGACATTGAGCGCCTCGAAGACTGCCGCCACATCAACGACGAGCTTGTCAACTACTTTGCACAGCACCTACGGAAGGAGGACCACTCTGTCTTCTTCATGACGAGCTTCTTTTATGGCCAGCTGAGAGCAGCTATTCACAGCCAAACGGACCGAGCTTGGGCAGATTTGTGGCGCATGGGTGTATTGAAGGTACGTACTTTCTACACAGCACTTTGTATACGAGAATGCTCATCATTGATGCTGTCGCAGAAATACGCTCGAACTATGACGGATAATTGGAAGCGCACCATCATCCCAATCCATGTTGATGGCAATCATTGGATGGTCGGCCTGGTAGATTTTGAGGGCCAGAGGATTGTGATGTATGATAGTGGACGCCACAGCGGGATACATTCTGAAGAGCTTGAGGTTTGCTTTGCCATCAACTCACATAAATTCTTCTCATGCATTTTGCACAGGCTCTCAAGATCTGGGTCTCGAGACTCATGGTTCTGTGCGAAGCTGGTGAAGTGAAGTGGGATGAATGGGAACTGAACCCACGCGGATCAGTGAGTGACTCTTTAGTTCTTCTACTTTTGTCAATTATGTCTTATGATGCCTCTTTACAGATGTCGCAGCAAAGCAACAATGATGATTGTGGTGTTTTTGCCATCTTGGTAATGATTCATTTGAAGACTGGACCTCATGTCAATCATCCGGGTGTTGAACCGCGGATGAGAATCCCCAATGACACTCGGGATATGAGCTCTCACCGGAGGATGTTACGGGAGGTCATTCAAACTTGACTTACACCATGTACCAATATAACGCCTATGACCAATGTAATTGTTGTTCATGCTACGATATTAGTATGCTCAAATACTTGTCGTCGTTCATCGCGGCTTCGATTGTGAGAGGTCAGGGTAGCCTTGTACGCTGGACGAAGCCCGCCATTCCTGGCTTCGAGTTGACGAGTCATGTTGTCACGACCTCTCAACTTGCCTTTGCAAGAAAGTCGCCACATTATTCCAACATGAGTGCGAAGAGCCATCAACATGTGATGCTAGATACCGCTTTCTACGGTTTGACGGAGGGAGACGCGATGATGATGCCGTCTCGGGACCTGAGGCTCACGGACATTGGGTGACGTTGAGCACTGCGAGTACTAGGAGTATAGGGTCTTTGACGATTAGGATCTCGACGGAGTAGAGGCGAGAGGCGAGGGCGCAGATTGCGTTCACGAAGGTGGTGGGGGAGTACGATACTCTAACATGTTTGCATTGACGATGACAAGGGCATGTACATGCGACGACATGCGCATATGGTAGCGCACATGTACACCAGTAGTAGCCCAGATAAGATCTTGAAATCAAGCACGTAAAAAGAGTTCAAAGTATGTGAAAGTACATCAATATTGAAGGAGCCTCCGCAGCTCAAGCACGTACAACACGTCCTCATACTGATCACTGCGTGAACCAGTTGCTGTTTCTTCTCCAAATTTAGAGTTACAGGCGGGAAATCCGGAGGATCCGTAAGGTCACGGCCCGCCGCCCTGGCCACTCCCTGGCTCGACGCGTGGCCTCACCTCTTCCTTCCACCCTATCGAACTCCTAGCCCGCCATGTCTGCCTCCGGTGAGTCTGACTTCTTTGTTGTTCATGATCTCCACTATATCTCTTGTGTAGACGATATTGTCTCTGTCGCGACCATCCCCGTTCACCGTCATCTGTTGATATGGATCAATGATTCTCTCTGTGTCCCAGTCGGCGGTGAGCACTTATGTTTCTCTTTCTTGCTTTACTCTTTCGCTTACTTCAACCTCAGCAGATTATATGCTTGTGGAGCATATCGTCTGTCTCCTGCGGCGCCATCTCCGCCGGACTATCGATCACACCCCCACTGCAAGCCCGGCTCCGGTCGGTAAGTACAGTTAGTCATGTAGCATAGAGCCTACTGACGGAGATCGTTCCACGGCAGATACCAACCAGTTCAAATCCTGGCACGTCGACATGATGGACGACCCGCGCGGGCCGGCGTCCTTCAGCCTCCTTGCCCACGATTACCAGCCGTACCCCTCCCCGGTGCCAATCCGTCAACTGGACGAGGGATACGAGTCCGATGTAGAGCTCCAATGGAGCGCCTTGGACATCGACTGAGCAGTTGCTATTGTAATCCCCAGCCTTCAATTTCTTGTGTATTTACCAGATTCTCCGGAGCTACGCTCCGATTGTTTGTCAATGCATTGCCGGGCTTACTGTCGAGTGCATCGTGTGCGTTGTTGACGAGCTGTTTGGTGAACGGTGAGCATGTTCAACTTACCAGCTGAATTTGTATTTCGAGGTGCTTCTGATAGTCCCGTAGCACGTTATTGAGCACACTCGGTGCGTTGTTTCCATTTGCGTCTGTTTCCCATGACGCTGACTGCTCGAGTGTTCCACCTGGAACACATGGATGTGCGTGGTGCGATCGATGAGGACGGGTCTGCGCTCAACATCAAACTCCTCCCTCGTCATACTCAAACTACTCGTCCCTCGCCTTGAACATCCTCCTCCTCCCTCACCCTCGCTGATTCCTGACCTCGTCAATGCCCACAACCACGCCTCCACCGAAATCGCCTGTCTCTGAGCGCCCTTTCCCAAGACTCTCCTCGAACAACATATCCTTTGAGCTCCTGACACAATGCTGTCTTCGTTGTGCGGAGCGTGTGGATCGACAGTGCGGAGGCGGACACGAGGAGGGGTGGGGTGCTGGTGTTTGACTATCTGGGTGCGTTTGTTCCAACTCTGTCAATTTCTTCGCCGAGCGGGAGAGATGGAGGTGAGGGTTCAGTAGATGAGGAGGAGGAGGAAGGCTGTACGTGCGATCGGATCTCGCGGTGGCAATCGTGCATGTTCGTTCGTCAAGCGGGCCCGCTTGGTGCCTCTTGTGTTCCCACTACGACTACCCCGATGCCGTCTCCTTCTGTGCATGTGTATATATATTTGAATCTATCTCATCTCGTCTTGTGCTTGTCTTGGTTGCACAACGCCACAGCCGCGTGGGGGCGCAGACGATGCTCGTGTAGGGCGCCTTGTCCAAAGGAACAGGACGAATGTCTGTAAAGGTCATTGTCTGGGAACCTGGGTGATAAATCGTCTGTACATGCTGACCTGCTGACCGCTTTTTGTGAGTTCTGGGGATGAGAGTGTCCGCACATGCTGCTGACTGGCCGACACGCTGCGTTCTGTTTGGAGAGCGCGGACCTCTTTGTGGAGGAGGTATCACCACCGTCGGCGCCGTCCATCAGCTGGTAAGTACGTTTCTGAATGCTATATTCTGAGTCTACATATATGCCGCCAGATGGTGTGTCTCGCCCGTCGAGGTCTCGCTCACCATGCCCCCAGTCCATCGCACCGTGTATCCTCCCTGTGAGGGTTGCGAAGGCTATCCGCCTCCAGGGAATAGCTTCCCCCGCTGCTCTGGCTGCCACACCACGCCGTTCTGCTCAGCCCAATGCCAGAGCGCCGCCTGGAAGTCGCACAAGTATGTCAATGTTTGTGTTTCAAACGGGCTGCCTTGTTTTATTTCGTGGTTTGTTCAGGGGAATCTGCAAGCAGATGATGCAAGCCGATCATTCTCCTGCAGCCGCTCTCGAGCGTAGGCAATGGGGGCATTGGCGGGTGGAACATAACGACAGTCTCGGTATTGCATGCTCACACGCCGTCCGTGAGTTATGCCATGGAGATCCCTCTCGGATAGAGAGTTATGACTGGGATAAGACTCTCATCGGCATTCACGTCGTGTCTAATGCCTACCAGAGGCACCTCCCACGTTCACAGGTTTTTTTTTTCCGTTTTGCTCATTCTGGGACATTCGACTCATATGCTCTAGTGGTATCTCCTGCAGTCGATCCACCCCGTCAGTATCGAGGCGCTGAAGCGGGAGAGGTACCTGCCTGTGGACCTCGACGATTATTGTAAGCGACGTGTAAGTGCTCAAGCCGAATGGGTGGCCGATGCACGCAGCAAGGGCGAAGAGGAACCGTTGGCGATGGTCATCGTCATGCTCGACTGTGTCGATACCATCTCCTTCTCGCTCCTGTGTCATCCGATCTTCAAATCGTTCATGACGAGGACCGCTTCTCTGCCGATGGATGCGTTCGGGTGGAGGCAGACGTTTGCCCAGCTGTACGTGACATCACATCTTTCGGATTTTTTCTTAGCTTACGTTGGGATAGACTATTCAACGGGCACTGTGCAGTAGAATTGAGGAGGGGGGAGTCTACCAGACGGGGTGTCATAACAGATTCCTGGGACCCAGCCACCCGTCGTTTCCACGCTAGGGAGGTGAACGGCAGTGAGCTGGAGAGGGCTGGCTATGCGCCACAAACTTACGGTGTGGTTCAGTCAGTCGTACCCTTTCATTCTCTGTAGCGGTGGATATTCACATCGTATTACAGCGCACCCCTATCTCATGGCGCCAAGGTAAAATTTGACGCGTCGCTTATACAACTTGACGAGGCCGGGGAGTGGACGTGGGCATTCAGTTATGGGCATTGAGACTCATTTGAAGCATGTACGATGAATTGTACGGTAGCGCGAATGTATTTGTTGCGGGGCTCTCCCTACGATGACAGCCGCATAGATTCACAAGAAAAAACTTTTGATTACAAGAAGGAACACTCAATCCAGGCCGTCCCACAAAGGCCCGATGATTACAACCAGAAAGACTCAGTCGAGGCCATCCCACAAAGGCCCGAGGATGTCATCCCACGCAGTCTCCTCTCCATCGGAGGCGTGATTGTGGGTGAAGGACAATGGCCCGCGCATGTCGTCTATGAAGTCAATGTGCCAGGGCATGCTGTCTGTCGCGTCGATGTGCCAGGAGCCGAACCGGTTGATATCTGCCATGACACGATGTTCGTCAGTAGGCGCTACGCTACATAAGCTGAGCGTACTTACCGACCGCACCCGGACTGGTAGCGGTTATGGTGCGGCGGAGATGGCGCAGGAGGACACTGGCGATACGCTCGAGTACACTGTAATCCGCTGAGGATAAGAAATGAGCGATAGAACGAAGCGAGGGAGAGAAAGATGTGTACTCACTGCCAGCGGGGACATAGAACGACTCATTCTCGCCTATGATCGGCATTCGAGGAAAATGGAAGTGTGGGTTCGACGGTCGATGGGGAATGCAAAGGATGATCGATGAAATAGCAGTCCACGAACGCGGACATGCCCGAACCCCGTCCGCCATTCGAATCAAAACAAAACCAAGCGACAACCCAACTGGACAACGTCATCGTACGTAGTTCTTCCTGATCTTCCTGTGCAAGACTTCACTCTGAACAAGACTAAATGATCAAAGTCTAAGGAAAACCGTCGTATTGGACTTGAGTTTTTTTGGCAAGTCCGACTTCACATTCAATCTCCGCTCTTATTAAACACGTTTCCTCCCGGGTCGCTCTGTCACAGTGCTGTGCCTCCAATACTTGTTCATTGTCTGTACTTTCTGTTGTTACATTGAGTATGACTCTCTAATATCTCATTGGTAATGGATGTAGCAGAATCATCAAGCATACGACTAGCATGCCCCCATTCAGACCAGCCCCTCGACCCCCCACGTTGAGCCAGTTCTTGCTCCCACCCATAGGTGCCCGCATGCCTGCCGAGTGTGGTGTGTCCAGCCCTCAACCAAGTCCCTCTGGAAGCAGCGAGAACTCATCCCAGGCAGGTATCTTCTGCCCATGTCACTATACATGTTGTATTAATCATCAACGTTTACCTGCCCATTCAGGGGATGTACGTGCAAGAGCGCGAGCGCGAACACATCCTTGAGTCACAATGAATGTGATGTAGTTTTCGTTCCTATTGGTACGACGTGCCTTGGCATTATCATCAATGATGTACTCATTACTATTGTGCTATCAACCCCTGTTCTACAATGTGAAGTGATCATCTGTGGCGATCAACAAAGACTCGCCACTCGTCGAGGCTAATGCTGGTGCTCTGGGCGGGTTCCACATGTGCGTTCAGAAATGCAAGAAATCCTTGTACATACTCAGCCATATCCTCATCACCCAAACTGTTTGCAATATTCCAGACAGCGTGGCGCATCGAAGGTTGGTGGATGGCTAAGGGATGAGCTCCCTCGCCATGCACGTCTGTGGGATCATGTTGTGGAGGGATAATGCGGTCGATCAAAGCAATGATAACCTGATGGTCTCGTGCATATCTGGAGCGCTTCAAGATATCCTCATCCCAGGAAGGGACTAAGAGGGAGACTGCACCATACTGCGAGTCATCGGTCAAGGATCAAGTAAGAAGGAGATCAGAGGCTAGTGCTTACATGGCGAATGAGCTCTAGTAAGCGGTTTCGTGCGGTCGTGATGCTCTCCAGCGAACGTTTCCATTTCTTGTAGTCTATGCGATGAGTCTTGATAGTTTGAGCAATCACCTCTTGATCGTCTTCATCAAGGTGGGAGAACAGGTGCCTGTGGTGGGAGTGCAAGCGAAAGTGGTCCTTGAACCAGACACCTTTATCGCGCTTCGACAGTTGTTGCCAGTCCACTGCAAATTTGACACTCTCAACACGGTGCACAATCTGCTGAACCACCCTTCCCGCGCCATGGTTCCCCTCGTGTGCAGCCATGATCTAATCATAGGCATTCGTCAGCTATGCTTATAACTAGCTCACTTGAGGAACATACTTTGTTCCTCATATGCAACCTTGAGGATACAGATTCGAGCAAGTCACAGCGGGTAGTGTCCCGACTCAGCTGTGTAGGTGTCATGTCGTGCTTCAGATCATGGAGAGCATCCTCCTATATTACGTTCAATGAGAATCACTCTGGTTGATCAGAATGTGAATACATACCCATTCCGCACAGGACGCCCACTGGACGCCACGCATTGCCAGACCTACACCTTCTGCAATCCTGTCTGTCTTTCGGGGGGATTGCTCTGCCATGAGTACGTGGATGAAGTCGTGAGGGGTCAGAGGCCTCTGCCAAAGATTCAGCCTCCGGGCCAATTCCCCCGCATCTGTAAGGAGCTGGATATGTGATGAGACGGTATATCCAGAGCCCATGTCTCAATATTGATACACACCTTGTCGTCCTCCTCCTGTGAAACATAGTCAGTCACGTCGTGCCATGGGTCCATTAACCACACATACTTGGGTTAAATGCGGGACATCCTCATCCTCCTCTTCATTCTCTTCGTCCTGATCCGATGCGACGACATCCATTTCAACCTCAGGGAGCCCATCCTCGGCGATTGACCATTGCACATCGGGTGCGAACACACGCACAAGGTCACATGCTAAGTTCATTGCTTCTTGCTTGTGTTGATCTGACAAACTGTCTAAGCCGATAGTCAGGAAACGTCCTTCGGATACGCGAGCAAACTGATCCAGCCATTCTTCTGGTGTGCGGAACGCCATCTGCAGAAGTGCTCCTGGAGCGAACGTGATAGAAAGAACACAGAGATGTTTGCCTGGATTGTCCAACACAATCAGTGTGAGCTGAATAAGCGGGCGTGTGTCGCTGTGATGCAACAATGTGGCACAAGTAAGTTCAGAGCGGGGGAGTGAGGCGTTGAAATTCGAATGGAGCCTGTAATCCCGGCATTTCCCGAACCATCGTCATGGGCCCATCTGCGACTCACTTCACGCTCGTACTGGTGTAATCCCAAGTATCTGGTCTTATTACTCTCGGTAACCGCCTCCTCACTTGTGCTACGCTCGTACTGGTGTAATCCCAAGTATCTGGTCTTATTACTCTCGGGAACCGCCTCGCTGCTTGGATTTTTTAATCACTGAGTTTCCGTCTCGAGGTACTATGGCCGTCCTTGCGCTTCATCTATGTCTGTCTTAAGTCTTGTGGCATCAGTCCAAACAGGTTCAATGGGTGTCGAAGGCTTTTGGTGCGCCGTGCAGCACACAGCGCACTCGGTCCAGATATCAAGTCTGCGGGGGAAAAGACTGGCCATCGATATGTCGGTCCTGATGCATAGAGCCTTGAGCACGGATTCAGAAAACATGGCTAACAATCGGTACACTCCAAAGTACGTGACATCCTACTAATCCTACTATCCACCTGTATCTGAATCTCACGGGCCATGCTCACAGGCCAACCGAGTTTGTGATGCAGACAATCGGTTCTATGTTGGCATGTGGGATAACGCCTTATGCTGTCTTTGATGGACGCCCGCTACCCGCAAAAGCCCCGACACATTTACGCAGGAAGGACAACCTGGAGAGGGCCACGGAGTCTTTGAAGGACAAGATCGCGGAAGGATGTAAGATATCCCACAGCGACTACAGAGCGGTGCTGTGTGTCACGTCAGAGTTCACAAAGGAGGTGATCGAGGTATGTATTCAAGATTTATCAGGCGAGTCGGAACTCGGGCTCATGCCGATGGTTGGCAGAGGCTGAAGAAGATCGATGTCTCGCTGGTGGTGTCTGCCTATGAGGCAGACGCACAACTAGTGTGGCTGGAACTCCACGATATAGTCGATGGGTTGATCACTGAAGACGGAGACGTCTTTGCATACGGTGCATCAACTGTATATCGGCTGTGGTCAGCCCGTGACACGAGAGTCAACCGGTACATGCGGCAAGATTTCGTCTCTGCAACTAACCAGTTCACCTTGGATGGTGCCAACGTCAGTTTTGTTGATACCTGGATGCTTGCCGGGTGCGATTATGGCACAAAAATTCCGGGGGTGGGATGGAAGACAGCTTTGAAAGCATTGCAGGGCTGCTCATTTGCTTCTGCAGTGGAGATACTCATATCGGACAGAGCAGAGGGAGAGTCGTACATGCGGTTGGCCGCTACGGTCAGACTGATATATGCACACCATTGCGTGTGGGATGTAGAGCAAGAGGAGATGGTATGCTTGACACCACCCGTTGAAGGAGAGCATTGGACAGCGGAGGAGCGCGTTGCTATAGGAAGGTATGTCAAATGCCGCTGTGTGTTCTTTTGCCTGTGCATGTGCTGAGGTTGTCTCGACAGGAAATTGTTTGGACCAGAGATCACCTTGGTCGCAAAGGGAGACCTGCACCCCGTGACATTGGCGCCCCTCAAGATGCATTCCAAAGCCAGACTCCCCTACCTCATCAAGGACTTCTTCCGTAAGTCTACCTCGGGCAGCTGTGTTATGTGTGTCCTGCTAACGTCGGGTTTTCATAGCGGTCATAAAGGCACAGGATTCGAGGTAGCTCTTTGACATGACTAATGTCAACTGTCGGTTCGCGAGGGTGACAGGTTCCTGTTTTCACATTTCTAGGCGTAAGGCGAAGCTCCGCACTCCTCCCAAAGACCGTGATAGAGAGGTCATAGATCTCACATCCGAGACAGAAAGCGTAAGTGATGCAGTCACTTTCGAAGTCAAACTGCAACATTGCAACATGCTGCTTATTTCTCGGCAGGATGAATCAGTGCTCTGACAGCGTGAAGCTGAGTGCAACAGCAAGCATCTTAACTGGGTATGTAATATGATACATGGTCGTTGTATTCCATTCGAACTGACATGAATACCTGACCTGTCATGTTGGCGCAATTTTCAATTGACTCTCCCGCTGGCGTTCAGGCTTGCACGTCAAAGATCGAATTCAATTAGGCCGGTGCATGGGCTTTTTCGTCTCACGCTCAGCAGTTCCGTAGCAGTCGCTTCCGCCCTGCCCTCCCATCCAAGTCATTTCTGAAGGCCATCGATATCCCTTCCCTGCGCCGTGCCGTGCTGTGTCCAACATCCTCTTCCAATTTCGCAGCAATGACGTCTCCCTAAACAATAACTCACTCCGACGGACGAATATCCCAGGTTTCATCATGAGCTCTTTCTACTTCGGCGCACCCATCGTACTTGTCGATTAGGGCTGGATATCTATGTCGAACCCTCAAAGTGATGTTCTGCCGCTACTTACATGCTCACGCCACTCGATGTTTCAGGCTGAATTGTGTGTTATTCTCTTGCACGTTACTGTGGGCCGTTAACGCACTGAGCCTCTTGTTCTCTCATGGATATATGTACTTTTGTCATCTTCGTTTCGAGCATCCGATTTACCCTTGCTGCTGTCTCACTCTCGAGTGGATGGATTGTAGGAGGTGTTCTCTGTCCCCCGTTGATCTTATGCCCTTGCGCCTCTCTGCCCGCCTCATGCTTGCACACTGTTTGATTTCCCACTCACGCTCAGTCTCATTCACATGTCTTTATCCGCCCTCAATGTTGCGGGAAAATCCAATCTGCCGTGCTTTACACGCGCTCCCTGTTCCCCGCACCGGTTGTTGTTTTGCCCATTCATGCATGGGCGAAAATGAGGGATCAAAACATCCGAAAAAAATGGTCAATGGCGATGGCGACTCTGAGTCTTGTGGCAGAAGGGAGCTCCATCATGATAAAGCTGCTGAACGCGGCGAGTCGAGTGGGCGTGCAAAGACAGGCTTCGCTGCAGTGAAGATAGCTGTGTGGGCAGGCATCCCAGACAAGAGTGTTTCTTCTCAGGGTGAGAAGGCGAGAAGACGAGTGATGGAATGGAGGACGTCCGCCGAGTTCTGGGCCACGCATGAGAAGGAACGATGATTTACGTCCGCCACTTACGTCACCCCACAAACTAGTCTCGTCACCAGTAAGTATCGCCTATCGAATTCCGGTTTATAGAGCTAAGCAAGTGAGCAGAAACCGTCAATAGACGGTCTGGTACAGCGGGGTTTGAATCTCCTTGTTGCGCGACTTGCCTTATGGCTTACCGGTCCGCCCGCTTTCCGCCCCCGCCACTTTGTAGTTCCTCCGTTCCGTCGTGTGGCGCGTGTACATAGACCTTCACATACCCAGCTTCAGCCTCAATAATACCTCTTATACCATATACCGAGTCTTGATATGGCTTTTCCGACATCTTCAAATACTCTAGACCCAAAAAAAGGTCGAAATGCCAGTATAACGGCACTGTTCTGGACTTTGACAACCCCACCTCAGGCGCTGTTTCCATGTCTTCAGCAATGAATGCTACGGCTCTCGGCTTCTCAGGGTACACTCCCGGGAAATCTCACTCCGCTGCACCATCAGGGCCACCGTCAAACACCGGATTTTACAGTGATACAAGAACCATGGCGATTGTTTTCCCACAGCCAGTGGTGGAATCAGCAAGTGAATCTTTGCGAGGAGTCACAACAGTAAGAGCGCTCTAGAGTTGCATAAGTCTAGGGTCTTTCAAAACATCGGTGATGGTGATGGAAGAGCAAAAGACATGCACGAAGAGCAACCGAAAGTTCGACAGACGAGAGATACAGTTTCAAAGGGCCATCCAAGTGAGGCCCCATAAGTACTTAGTTCGGCTTGGTTAGAGAGCTGCGAATCGAGTAGATCGTATACAGACTGCATCTTAGACCTATTCTAATCGGTAGTGTTAAGCTTATAAGACCAGTTCGACACCATCTTCGTGGATGGATGACGAGGAGGGGAGATCGCCACGGCCGCGCCACACGACGGAACGGAGGAACTACAAAGTGGCGGGGGCGGACCGGTAAGCCATAAGGCAAGAGAAGGCAAGTCGCGCAACAAGGAGATTCAAACCCCGCTGTACCAGACCGTCTTTCGACGGTTTGTGCCTACTCGCTTGGTACTATAATTTCGACGGTTTGTGCCTACTCGCTTGGTACTATAAACCGGAATTCGATACGACGGTACTGGTTACGAGACTACCCACAAACCACTCTTGCGTCTCAAACATGTCGACTTCAGCCTTCTACTTTCCCAGAGAGCCATCCAGACCATTGGCGGGAAATATTTTGGTTGTCGTGCGTATGTCCTGGTTCTCGTCATTGCAGAGGCTAATCTGAACCCCAAGGGCAGCCCATCGTATCCATAGGAAATATCTCCCAGCTCGCTTCGAGTCTTCTCATAACTTCGCTCGAGCTTGAGTGCATAGGCCGATTCGATTCCAGAGACCTTGTACCTGCCGTTGGCGGGAGAGAAGATGGACTAGAAGGGATCACTACTCCTCTTGAGCGTATGTACAGATTCTTTTTGCCAACTCGACCCTTCACCAATCGATTCTTTCTATGGTCAGTCTATGGGCACGAAGGGTTCGAAGGGTTCAATGTCGTGGTGATACAACAGAGATCACCTGTGCTCAAGGCGCGTCACTAACTATACTCGCTCAGCGTAATCTAACTGATACTCATACACAGGATCGGAAGGAGGACTTCATTGCGAAGTTGCTAGCGTTCATCACTGATTCACAGTTTTCTGCCATCCTGTTCCTCTCTGGAGTCGACCTCTCCAACCGAACGGATGCACAAATGATGTACGTTCCACTTTTCTTGTGACTCCCCAAGATCGTACAAACTCACACCCGTTACCAACCACAGAACGCCGACATACCATATCGTTCCACCCAACTCACCTGCCTGGAAAGATACGCCACTCTCTACCATATCCACCCTACCAATCCCAGCCTATACCTCTCCAGTCTCACAAAACCCGCTTGCCCCCGCACACCTCGAGAGCACCATACCCTTCATCCCAGCAGGAGGACTGACCCGACGCATCCTCTCCTCGCTTCCGGCGGCGTGGGATATTCCGACAGCTTCAATCCTCCAGTTCGTGACAGAGGGCGATAACAGGTCGGATGCCTTCTTGATGGCTACTGCAATTTCCAAAGTGTTGTCGCTAGACACACGGGAATGGAAGCAGCCTCTCAGCTGGCAGCAGGGTCTGTTCGGGACGCCACAGGATCAAACATTGTATGGCTGAATACGGCGAGAGGATTGTGTCACAATAGTGAGAGAAGTACAAGCCGGGTGTACAGACTGTGATGTATACGATGATGTAAATCTAGGGAATGTCAAGCAGGATGTGCTACAATGGGCGTGTACAACACGCGGATTATCGTTTGCCAGCGACGCCAAGGCGGCTGTGTTTGGCTCCCTTTTTGGCTGCTTGCGACAGCGGAAGATATGCATAAGGATCCACGCCTCCCTTTTTAACGTCTCCTCCAGCTTTCTGGAAAGACAGAGAAATCGTTAGCATCAGGCGTATCGACAGTATCGACCGAGCATTCAGGAGGCTCACCTTCGCCTTGAACTCTCTCCCTAACTTCTCCTCCGTCCTCTTCTTACCTGGTCGGGCCACAGCTTTACCATCCGCATCACCCATCTCCACGTCACCGTCTCCCTCGTCCCTGTTCTCTCTCCGCCTCTTCTTGGTGTCCTTGTTGAACTTGATTCGCCCGTTCGGGCCTCTCGTGAAACCGTCGGCAGAGGTGATGGCCTCCCGATAGGCTGTGCCCTCGACGTCCTCCTGAGCACGAGCGCCACCGGCGTCGTCATCAGAGTCGGCGTCTTCGTCAATGATCATCTTTCCGGTGTCGTCGTCCGTTTTGAAGCGCGCGGCGTCTTGACCTGGTTTCCGTCTCCGAGCTGATTGGGCATCTGAGCACGTAACGGGGCGATATCAATATAACTACTAGAACCTGAGGGAGATGGAAGGCGAGGACGGCGAATAAAACAGAAATATTTACTTGTGATGCGTGATGCGGCGCCAGCGAGAAGATCCATCGGCTCATCATCGTCGACCCGCAGGCGTGCTGCGTAGTCTCCACCTTTACGCTGTTTTCCTGCGGTCGCCGACCGCTGGGGAGCTTCGCCTTCTTCGTCGCTGTCGTCTAGCTCGCTTTCGCTGCCGTACAACACGTCTTCGAAGGCGTCTCCGGTAGCTGGCCTTCCGGTGGGTTTCTATGAGATCGCTCGTAGTTCAGCATCGAGATCAAAAGAAAAGAAAGCGAAAGAAACGAACCTCGTCGCCATCTTCTTCCTCAGCGGCAGCGGCTCGCTTCTTCTTCGCCCTCTCCTTCCTCTTTCTGATGTTCACCAACATCTTGGCGGCCTCCTCTCCCTCTGCACACCCGTAGACCTCGTCCCACTTGAACCTTCTGAGCATCCTCTCGAATATGTGTCTGACTTTCTCTTTGAAATGGTTCTTGTGGTCGTGTGACCAACCGAGCAGAGCAGGGACGAGTTGTGGCAGGTGTGGGCGGATGAGATCAAGCGGGAGGGTGTGTATGGAGAGCTTGACGAAGCCGAGTGTCGATTTAACGATCTCGCGGTTAGTCGAAGTGAGGAAGACCATGATGGTCGTGAAGATTTCGGTGTGCATGGTAGGGGTGATAGAGTCTAGTGGTTATGAAAGCTCGTATTAGACTGCGAACAACAACGGTACGGGGGTAGAACGACCGATTTACCTTTGAATTCGAAGACAACGCGTGAAATAGCGGTGATGCTTGCGCTGATCATGTGAGGAGTTGCTCCAGCGAGACCACCAGCGATCATCGTCAAATATTCCTCAACGCTCGCTTTAGCTGGTTTACTAGTCAGTTCATGAGGACATCCTCAAGTACGTAGTGCTGACCTTCCGCAGAGCCACCCTCCTCCACATCCATTCCGTCCACCATATTACGGTTCACTACACCTCCATCGCTCATCTTCTTCGCCATTGCCACGATCAAATCGAATGCGGCACTACGAGCCTTCTCAGAAGGCTCCTTCGTCCCGAGAACGGCTTCCGGAATGAGCGACGGAATGATGTGTAGACCATTGGATGGGATTGTAGGCAGAAGGTTCGTGTAGAGATGGAATCGGTCCTGTTGGGAGAAAACAATATCAGTATTGATTAAAACCTGGTGCAAACCACTACGTTCATACCTTCTTCGCCGCAGGCGCCAACCCGTCCGATAATTCGTCCAGTTTCTTCACGACCGAGTCCACGTCCAATGTTGAGAGCTTGCCGCCTTCCACCAACTTAGCTAGAATCTTGTATCCTCGCTTCTGAACGCCGTTGTCCTGATTGGTGATGACTTCGTGCGTGAGACAGAGCTCGAACAGCGCCGTGCTGTCTGTGGCGGACAGGTAAGGTAGGAGCAGGAGCATGATGTCCTGCGTCATGGCGATCACGCTGCCGCCATCGGGGCCTCGGGCTGGTTGCGGCTTGGCGACGTTAGTCTTGAAGAGGCTCACGACTTTGCGGAATGCTTGACTGGTTGCCTGAATAAACACCGACCAGTTCAAAAATCAGCCTCCACGTCAGATCTCAGGGCGTATGATCGTCGCACTGACCTGTTCACCAGCGATGCTTGCCCAAGAACTGATCACGTCGCCAACAATACCCCGTGCATCGCGGTTCACGCTCCCGAACACATTAAACAACACGGCCAACCAACTCTCCGCCTGCCCACGCAAAAATTCAAGGTTTTGAGCGGCATCATCGGTGGAGATAGCGTCAACGCGGGATAACGCAGGTGATTTCGCGATGAGGGCTTGATCCGAGGAGGCAAGGGTCTTGTTGGACTCGATGAGGAGTTTCAGGGCCCTGAGAATGGGCGGGCGTAGCTCGGGTTGGTTGTAGAGGAGCCCGGAGAGCAGTTGAGAGAAGGCAGCATCCAGGGACTATGAAACATGGGGATGACGGGTTAGTCAATAAGGTACGTGTGAGAATATGAAATAGATGAACGCTAGCCAGATTGAATTAGGTGGCGAGCGGGGGCCTGCGAGAGCAGATTAACAGATGGAGAGAAATAATCACCTTACGGAGGTCGACAGGGGCCCAACAATAGCTCGGCAGACCAGCCCAAATCTGGGCGATGAGAACCGTCCAAACTTTCGCTTCAGCCTGTCGTCCTTCCGCATCCGCCTTTTGATGGAGTTCGAACATCCGTTCCGTGAGAGGGACGAAGTAGGACACGAAGTGGGAAAGAGGAGATGAATGGGGTTGAGTGAGGAGGGGAAGGAGGAAGGCCCGAGGTTCGCGGCCTGCTGAACTAGAGCCATCGAGTTAGATCGAGACGAGATAAGTTAGCATAGCTTGTGCAGGTGTGGCTGGCTAATTGGTGATTATGATGACAGAGGTGATGGACAAGTAATGGGCCGACATGTTGGGCGTTGTAAACGTACCGGTCAGCAGGCTCTAAGTTCAAGGGGAGGACCCTCAACAACACTTGTGGTCCCATTACGGACATCGCACTGCCGAGGGTCGCATCAACCGACTCCTTGTGCTCAAAGTCTTTTTGCAGACGAAGGTCCCCAATTTTCTTCACGATCGGCAGAAGCAATATTTCTGCGGCCGTGGAGGCCGCAGGAGAGTCCCTATACCGGAGGTTTAAGAGCAGCGAGGAAATGACGGAGAGCAGCTGAGGCATTGAGCGCGCAAATGCCAGCGATTCGAGTGCCTTGTCCGTCTGGGATATGATCTTGTTCAGCTGAGTCTTGGGTTCGCCACCGTCGGATTTGTTCGATTCCCTTATGGCTGGTGTGATGAGGGCTGGCGTGAAGCATTTAGCTAAGAGACCCAGCGATTCGGCGGAGGCATTGCGAATGGATAGATCATTGGATTCAAGGAAGGGCCACATAGCCTTCCAGGCTTTCCCTAGCTGCGCCGATGAGGCATCGGCGTCAGCACTTTTGAAAGCTACCATGGTATTGCCGAGTACCCCTAACCATGCAGGAGCCAAGGTTGCATCGGTCTTAGGGGGAGGGGAGGATAGGACGGCTTTGAGAATATCAGGTACTTCGTCGGATACGTTAACCTCTGAATCATCATCGGGAACGGACAGGAGTTCTGACAGGATGGAGTAGGCTGTTTGGGAGAGAAATGGATTCCCAAGACGAGGCAGTGAGAGCAGCAGAGGGACGATAGAGGGGAGTGACTGTATTCAGAGTTTAGGACCGTGGACGGATATCAGAAAAGGTAAGGCAACCGTACCGATGGAGGAAGCTTGAACAGAACAAGCCTCAAAAAGGCCAACAGATGTATGCCGACCTCCCCACTTTCTACATCCGTCCTCTGCGCCTTGGATTTTGGTAGCGCATTCGCATTCACGTCTGTCAAAATAGACTTGACCCATTCGGCAACCCTCTCCGCGTACGGATGGAGTGCGAGTGGACTTGGAGGGGATGCCAAAACTTCCTTGATGACTTCTGCTGCTCTTTTACGGACCTTGGGCCGTGGATCGAGGCAGAGTTGGAGTATAGATGCGAAGGACTGGCGGACGGCTTGAACCTCGAGCTGAGAGCGATCGAGGACCTTGAGGACGGCGTCATATAAGCCAAGTTGTGATCGAAGAGGAGGTGCATGTTTGCTGAGGATGGGAAATAATGGGGCGGTAAGAGAAAGAATGGTGTTGACATTGGCCCGGATGACAGGGTGGGGAGCGAAGGGTGCGACAAGAGCTAGGAGGTAAAGTTCTGCGGGCAGGAGATCGCTGTCGCCGAGAGCAGGTCCTGACGACTTTTCATTCTGGAGAGTTCCATCGAGAGTAGTGAGGAGTGCGGCGAAATATGCCGTTGGGGACTTTTCAGACTTTTGCTCGTCGAAGGTGGCCTCAAGAGCGTGCAAGAGTGTGGCCGGTGCCTTTTGGTGGGCGAGATTGGAGGAAGTATGCGGCCTGATTTTGGCCAAAGCAGTTTCAAGGCCGTCAGACATGGCCCGCAACAACGAAGAGGGCTGGCACAGAGCAGACGGTGGTGTGCAGACAAGCTGAGGATGTACTGGAAATTGTCCGTGGCGAACACGAGCTGCAGAAATTTCTGCTCACGTGATTCAGGCCGCATTACCGCCAAGGTGCTCACTGCTCGCGCCACACTGCGCGTTTGCGAGGCAAAACATACAACGCAGGCAGCATCTCTCGCCGTTGCTCCCAATCTTAATGTCTTAACCCCATCCGCACAGTCACTACCAAGCAGCTATGCCCAAAGGATCTCCGCGACCATGGTCGTATTATCTTATTCGGTCTGAGCCATCCACTACCACATCTCAGTCCGACCTCAACACTGACTTCGAACGTGGACAGTCTCTTGTTCAAGTTTGTGCTCAAGATATTTTACGGAACAATAGGTGTGGAAGGGTCCTCAAAGGCTATATGAAACTCACTCAAGAGACGTTTTGTAGTTGTCGAAGGAATTGAAAATATACCTGTCACAGGCCAACCATGGTCCGCTCTTTGTTCCTGTTCGTAGTGCTCACGTACTGAACAAATATTCGTCGGGTGAATGTAGCGTGGTCTGTGCTAATCACACTAACTCCCTGACCGATGCTCTGTACGTTCCATCCTTGCCTTGTAACCATGCCCTTTGAATCATATCCGCCCCGTAGATTGCTCGTGACGGCCATCCCGTCCAGGGTAAGTCATACCATACTCTTTCTCATGGTCACGCTCTACTTTTCTACTCCTCTTCATTTTTTCATCGCGATGAATCCACACAGAAGCGAAACATGCTTCGACTCACAGCCAAATCCACCCAGTTCGGCAAACGAACCTTCACAAGTTGGCTCATCGAATCCGCGGGCACAATACCTATCAAGCGTCGCAAAGACTTCGCAGACGGAAATGCAGACAATACGGAAGTCATGGCCAAGCTCATAGAGGTCTGCTCTTCGTTGTCCTATTATTACGCACAGTCCCTGTTTACTTGACATGTCTTGTGGCGTGACAGGCGCTTGAGCACGGTGATGCGGTGTGTATGTTTCCCGAGGGGGCGTCAAGATATCATCCTACTATCGCGCCTTTGAAGACCGGAGGTGAGACTTGTTTTAATCCTCCCTTCGCCTCAATATGTATTTGTAGCTCATTTATTTATAAAATCAGTGGCCCGAATCGTTTCTGACGTTCTTTCCAGGAACCGGGACAATCCCGAGTTTGAGATGTCGGTCTTGACATGCTCTATAACCTACATGTAAGAAGGGACCCTGCTACTTTTTGCTTTTGACCATAGTAATTGTGCGGCCCAACAGGAATCGTCAACATTTCCGATCCGACGTACTCGTGACATTCCATCCTCCGCTCAAATTCGCCCCCAAGGTAAGACCTCCCATGATATTTCTTCTGCCCTTCTTCTTCGACTTTCCAATACTACCCGTAATGACATCGTTTTTCACACTCCTCGATCTCCGCACTCTCAGACCAGCCCTGAACTCCTCTCGCCCGTCGACTACACACACATCCGCACGCTTACCTCGGACCTTCACGCTCAAATCGCCTCTGGCACATTCGACGCGCCGTCCTGGGAGCTCATCCGCATGGCGAGACTCGCGGCGCCAATTTATGCGCCGTTAGGGACCAGTATGGGATTGGGGGACTACGTGAGGGTGGTGAGGACGTTTTTGGAGGCATTCAAGGCGGAGGGAGCGAGACCTACGTCTACTAGTCCCGTGAGGGCCACAGGTGATGCGAACGGAACTGGAAATGAGAATGGGCGAATTTCCGAAACGCAGGGAGAGGAGGCGAATGGGAGTGGCAGTAGGTCTCCGGCGGATGAGGCACAGGATGAGGAGGATTGGGCCACGTTGAAGGAGGATCTCAAAGTATGTATGCTTTTATTTTTGAGGTTCAATCAGAGCTAAGGGGCTGTCTTTAATAGAACTACCTCTCCGACCTCTACCGGCTCAGAATCAAAGACGATCGCATTCGACGACCATTACCTCGCCCTGTCATCTTCTACCGGATGATCATACGCCTCACCTGGGCCATCTTCTTATTGTCGATCTCTATCCCGGGCCTCATATTATGGACTCCTGTTGGGGCCACGACTTACTACGCTGTGCACAATTTTAAGAAGACGGGGCCCTCATGGGATGTCTGGGATGAAGTCGCCCAGTGAGTATCGCCTTTCTATAATCTCTTGCTCACTTGCTTACACGTCCCTTCCGCAGGTATAAACTCGTCTACGGCCTCCTCTCCGGCCTCGCCGTCTGGTTCCTCACAACCCTCCTTACCCTGCCCCTCGCCCCCATCACATTCTTCACCACCCCACTCCTCATGTGGATCACCCTCCGTTGGTTCGAAGACGCCGTGTCATCGTTCCGCGCCTTCGCCACGCTTTCCCGCCTCCTCTGGGTCGGCAAGTCTACCCTCGCGAGACTGCGGGAGCGCAGGAGGGACCTGTATGTCAGAATTATGGATCTTGCGGTGAACGAGCTCGGATTACCTGCGGATCCGGAGGCGGTGTTTGTGGATGGCGATGGCGATGGGGAAGGGGGGAGGGGACGGACAAAGGGGAGGATGAAAGGAAGGGGCAAGAGACAATATTTCTCCGTTCGGAGGAGGCGAAAGAGGGATTGGAATGAAACGTTGAGGTTGTATGAGCAGTGGGAGTATGATGATATTTAATCGACTGGCCGAGGTATCTCTGCAGCCTTGGCCGATCTTCATGGACACACATAACAGGCTGTAACTTGCCGGCCCTAACGGTCCACTAATCCACTGGATTGGTGAGATAAAAGCGGAACAAAACGTCATGTACGAAAGGCAGGTATGTGCAAATAATGTACAAGAGATTCCGTTGCTTGCGGACCCTAACAAGAAGAGTTTCAATATGCGAGAAGCAGAAGGACAAACAACATAGAACGAGGCGAAGGCATGCAAAAGTAACGGACAATGTATATATGTATCAGAGTAAGAGTGAGAGGGGACTTCAGATAAAGTACACGGAGCTGCAAAGGGAATCTACACCAGGTATGGTCTTTAAAGGGCATAAGGACGAAGGTGATCGTCGTGGTCGGGGCGTGGAAAGCATTCAGCCCTCAATGGGAGCATAGGAGCGATTTCCTGCAGCCCAGCGGTGACCCTTGTCGGAGGAGATTCCCGTGATGATTACGCCAAAGGTTGCCAATGTCGCTGCTACCCACGCGACAATGTTCGCGTAGTAGGACGGCCCTATGAGTGGCCAAGATCAGAACTCCGTTCTTTGTATCAACACGATTGGGAGCTCAAACTAACCGTAGTGAGCGTAAAGGAAGCCAGCGTAGCGAGAAGTGCGATATTGATCGGTGACGACAGCAAATGTGATCATAGTAAAGATAGCTGCGCATGGCCAAAAGCCCTCAGCAGCGAGCTCGACCAGCATCTCCATCCGAAGTAGGAAAAAGAATATAGACATACCGTGCAACGCCGTCAGCCCCGCTGTGACCCTCCAAATCCTCCTTCTCCTGGAGTGCGTGCTGACCCCGAAGATGACACTCAACACCGCCAACGCGCCAAACCCGACACCGAGCTCTGCGACGTACGCCGCTGAGGTCCAGGCGGTGCAGAAGTGGCGGTTATTCTTCTCGCAGCGGTCGGTAACACTGGCGGGGAAAGGGCGGCAGCTGAAATCTGTGTATTCGATTTTACCACCGTCAGAGGGACCGGGAAGTTCGAGGATTTGACGTTCGCAACGTTCCATGAGGCCGTACTGGACAGTGACCCGTCTAGTGAAGATATCAGTGCCCTTTACGACGATCCTGTGTTTTCAAACATGGTCAGGGGGATTGACTCGGACAGTAAGAGTAAAGGCAGAGTTGATGCTGACCAGTCATTGCGCCTTGTAGAGACGATGCTCTGGATGAATGTTGGGTATAAGAGATGATTGAACGTAAGAAATAAGACGACATACCAAGATGAGGGTGACGGCAACGACAACAAGAGTGATAGCATACGATGTCTTCCTCATCTTGGATCACAAGAAGTCAAGACTGTCGGAAGATAGTATCGGTACGAGGTGAAAAGGTTGTAGAGACCGTTGACGCGGCAGCAGACTCCCGATGACGTACAGAGCAGCACCCGGCATCTCCCGTCCTGTCATAAGTAACTTCGCCATACTCCCGGTCCGAGAGCAGACCGATGGAGCAAGTTCATCTTGCATCTCATCACTGTTCAGAAGGGTAGTTGAGGATTGCACTACGTCCATGGCGACTGACTACATATTCTTGTATATGACTGATACAGAAAGTCCTAAAAATATCTACGGCAACATGGGCGTGAGGTAGTATGTACCGCCGTGTCGCGATTCTATCTCGAGCGATTCGGAAGAGCCACTCAGTTCAAACGCGTGGAACGCCAGAAACGACCTGAGGGTACCTGTCCGCAATCATCTATAACACCACGGTCAGATGTTTCTGTTCAGTAAGGCGATCAACAAACTCGTACCCCGAACAATGCTGGAGCACGTATCGCCAGCACACCGGGATCTTCGCCGAGACCGACGAAACTGCAGTACTTGGTCAGTGTGGGCGCACACATAACGTGTCAAAAATCTTACATAGTGGAAACGCCCGCTTGGATTGCAGAAGACAAGGTGAGTTCTGTCCGGCACACAAAACCGTCAGTCGAGCCCGTCACGTTGTTGAAGCTTCGTTCATACCTAGCTGAGCGCCGATGAGGAAAGAGTAGAGCAAGATCGGTGCCGTGTATTGCCCTTCACTGTTGTACGAGGGATCCGTGTCTGTTTTCGAGCAGAAATCTGAGCCATGCCTGAGAATTAGAAGCATCGGAGGACAACATACACCGCAGATAGAGGTAGCCGAAGAGCGAGCATAGCATGCCGATGGCGTATGCACCCCAAGTCAATGCTGGGCGAAAAAGGTGTCAATATTCCGCGTAATTAATTATAAAACATCACAAGACCTACTGGTTCCTACGAGAGAGTCATTGACGAGTGCATCGACACCTGAGAAAAACCTTCTTGTTGGCGTTCGAGGATGATCAATACAGAATGGGTTATACCTCTGTCCTTTAACAAGGACCATGTGTCTCTCGCGGCTTGAACGTAAGGCTTTCCGTATAACGCTGATGGCAGGGATGTTAAGAAGCACAATGAATGGAAGTCTAACTGAGAGAACCCACCGATTTCGATATAAGCGTATCTGTCCAATCCAGTTCGTCAGTAAAGTTCAATCGTGTACGTACATACAGTATCATGTCATGTTTACCGGTTGAAATACTGCACGATGCCCTCGATGCACCCTACAAAACAGTCCGCACAGCATGCTACAACCGCCATGATCGCTAGAAGCCAAAATTTTGTTAGCCTTGATGTTCTCACAGCGGCCCCGTAAACAGTGATTGCGGAAGCAAGGTAGAATGGAAGCGGTGACCAGGGAGAGCACTCACGGTGATCCGAATCGTACAAGTTATTCCTCAATGCCTGGAGTATCAATCTCATCACCTCCAATATCGTCACTATTAACGATCCGAAGGCGATAGATCCCAAAGAAAGCGTCGACGCTCTCGCAAATGCCGTCAAAGTTGGATTCTTTGGCATCATTCCCCCCGTTCCCTCGGATGCGCGGGGTCCGAAATAGTACCAGCAACCGAAAGGACCTCCAGCGAGGGTTGCAAGTGCAACGTTTCCGATGGTCATAGACGTCCAGATGTAGGAGAACGTGAGGAAGAAGATGAGGCCTGCAACGGTGCTTGAGGAGCAAGAGGTTCCTTGGCTGCAGGCTTTGTACCGTGGCATTGGGTACGAGCATTGTCAGTAAAGTGTATTGTATAGTGGCAGAGTGGAAAAGCGCCACTTACATGGATTACCTGGAGTCCACTTCGCATACCTGTGTGCAGACTGAGTGTCAGCTTCCGGTGAAGTCCCTCGGACATATTGAAAACACGGACGTTGCGATGATTGTGAAGGTGTACCAACTGAACGATCAATGATCAGCCAGACAACCCATAGGGATGATTCGGAAGAGACGCACACGCTCCAAGCCGCTTGGAGAAGCACAGCCACAAATGCGACGACATAAACCACAGGATGATGCTTGCTAACATCCATGACAACCTAATTCGGAGACAGGAGGATGTTCCAAATTGGGTTCGTAGTTAAATAAGATGGCCTTCAGCATTACCTGCAACAAAAGCGATGCGAGAGGGATACGACTCCGGAACCCGAAGTAGGACAGTATTGACAGGATGGCGATGACGGTGAAAATAATGGCGCCGGCTGTCCAGAGTAGTATATTAGGTAGAAATCGAGAATAAAATGCGAATAATAGACCTACAATAGTATTTTGTGACCCAATAGTAGGCACAGATACCGCTGCATAGTCACGGTCATCTCAGCAAGGTGTGACCTCGAGGACAATACAGAGCGATGAACACACATGTTTAACATGATCGAGAGAATCAATGTGATGTGCATGATCAGCGTCGTGAATAGTCGTGTAAGAATAAGGTAGAAAGTGGACAAGACCAAGCCTGCGGCCGCAACGAAGAGGAGAAGATACACAGTATGTCTTTATAATTCCAGTATTTCAGCGACTCAATTTATGCGAATGGTATACAGAATGAACCCACCTGTCCAAGGTAACGGAAGTCCCCGTGTTGCCACTCCCCAGACCACCGCCAAGTCCACCCTGGGAGATCCAAGTTGAAAGAGCAAGTGCAGATACTACGACAAACCCGGCGAACTATGAATGATCGCGCAGGATGCGCCCAGGGCCGTGAGCATTTTTGTCCACCATTGGAGTAATGAACTTCATCATTCACCTGAGCGATGAACAAAAGTAGAACCAGTGGATCATTCACCGTCTTCCTTGGCTTGAACCTATCTCCTTCGTATGGATCCATGGTCTCTTTGGTAGGGCCATAACCAGAAGGAGGAGGCGGACCGCTGGGTGGCACGTAGGGCTCACTAACGCCAGGCTGATACGCTGTCGGTGCAAGTTTAGAGTGTGCGCCCCACTGCTCGTGCTGTTCGGACATCTCGAATCGCAGAAGGAAGCGTAGAGTTCGACTAGCGTTGTAAATGCGGCTAGCTGTGAAAATAGCGGACTTGGACTAGTAGACCTGACTCTGAGCGTGTGCAGTAGTAAAGATGGGATGCAAGGGAGCGTGTAGAGAGGATGTTCGCTTCCAATCCGTTGGACTCTGGCTACCACGACGAGTGTGAAGAACGAGGCGCTCCGGACTGTGATGAGGGCACGCTGCAGTTGCACGGTTTGTGTCCAAGACGGGCGTCCATCGCGCCAAGTTAGCGCCAACTTCATACGTCGTCGAGATCACCGTGCTGAAACAAGCGCGATGGTGACGTAGGATCGACGAGCCAAGTATTAGCCCACGGTTTCGTCCTTTGTGGCGTATGTAGTGGCAATCGAAGCAGAGCGTTCACGCCACCCGAAAGCGCACTGTGTATCCAGCCCATGTCTGTACACATCCACGAGCTATATGCATCCGTCGAGATGCTATATCCGCAAAAAGGTTACAGTGGGCCAGTGCAGGAGTTTCAATTACATGCTTTGCTAGTATCAATGGAAGAACGTGTACGGAGGATGATCAAATGAAGTACAGTTAGTTTCGAAGCCCTTATGATCTCGTGTACAGCCCCAATTGCAAACATCACGATAGACCAGGCGGGATAAAACTCAGCCGTAAGATGAATCGATGACGGGCTGCAAACCCACTAAATTACACACAAGTCCGTTCACCACTCCAATACTCATTTATCAACATTCATGGCGTCGCCGATCTCGGAAGTGGGTGTAAGGGGGACACTCGAGCCTTTTGCGTCTGCGGGAACGTCCTTGAATCGGATGACCATCACCGTGATGTTGTCGTTCGTATAGAGTCGCAAAGCCTCCCTGAGAAGTGTCTCGGTCGCTGCCTGGGGGTTCTGCTCTGTCCGAATAAGGTTGGCGGCAGCCTGATCATCCAACACGTCCCATACCTACCGAAACAAAACACACAGGATTAGACGCAAGACCGGGATGAAGAAGTGAAGGTCATACACCGTCGCAGGCCAAGATCAAAAACTCATCGTCCTCGGTCAACTCCGTCTCAGTGGTGTAAGGTGCTCCAACGACGAAGTCCTTCATTGACGAGTCACCAAGACTACGTGTAACGGCCAGCACACCATTCACTCTCCCGCTCATGACAAACCCACCCGAGTCCATAATCCGCTTCGCCTCTTGTTTATCTGTGCCTTTGTGGTCATAGGTGAGTCGCAGGGCCTTGCCACCACGACACAACACGCCGCGCGCGTCGCCGGCGTTGGCAACGTAGAGAACTCTACGAAGAGATTGCCCAGGAGGTGGTCGTTGAGGAGCACCAGAAGCGGCGCCTTCTCTGGTGTTGTTTGGGGACTGGGAGCGGGGAGTGGCTTCAGGAGATATCGGCGTGGCAGGACTCGAGTGACTAAGTTTCTGGATGGCCCGTTTGAATTTGCTCGGCGAAGGACTTTTCTTCACATCATCCGCGTCATCTTGGCCCTTGTCGGCATCCTGGTCCATTGAAGAGGCGGGGGAAAGAGGAGGGGAAGGGAGGCTGAGGGCATCAGCAAACGATTGTTGGCCTTCGGTGTCTTCTATTCGAAGGAATGCGGTCACGGCCGTACATCCCGAATGCATTTTGCCGTCAGAGTCTTCAGAGATTTTGGACAGAACACGATCGACAGCATGGAAAGTCGTGTTGTAGACATCAGGTATCGACATTTCCGGATTCTCGTGGATGGCTTGCAGGAGACGCTACACGCGAGGGAACGGTTCGTATATAGCGAATAAATAGTGATGAGAAAGAACATACCTTGTGAAAGTTCTCGCCACACCAGTCTGCAGCCTCCTTGCCAGCATGACCGTCGAATATTGCGAAGAAACCTTGTCCATGGATACCCGCATAGTCCACGGTATACGAGTGGGCGTCCTCCATAGTGCGTCTGGGTCCTTTAGCCTCAGTCACGCCAAACCGATACGTAGGCGTATCGCTTGACCAGCAGTTAGGAGTCTAGAAACGAGACACAACTTAACGAGGAGTTCAAGAAGAAATGAGTAGTCACAACGAACGGTGGCGACATATGGCAGCGCGGCCTTGGTTGAGCCGATCGAAGAAGTTTCTTTCTGAACCGACACCATTGAGAAGTGCTAGGTGCGCTTAGTGTCTGAATATTGGGCTGCGAAGGTGATTATTGCAGGATAGGGCGGATAAGGAAAGAGCTAAAGACGGTACGCAAACCAACATTAGCGACACCGCATTGAGAGGCTCTAGAGAATGCTCACTTGGCGAATATGTTGCACTCGGCTGTGTTTACGGTTGAAGTCCGGATGTATGGCAGAGAAAGAAGTCACAGAGAAGTCGAAGAGGTGCAGATATGGTTGTGGTGCTGGAAGGAGAACGTTGCTGCGTCTGACATCGACTGGAAGCGGTCCCCAGTGACGCGTTATTGTCCCGACGCCACATCACGTAAGCACCTTCCCCCTTCCGCCCGACAACCTGAATACTGTACTCCATTCCTGGCCTTTGCTGTTGTATTCGGCCTACAGATATGAGAAAATAACACGACCGGGTACGTTGTCTTCGTTCTTTGATGCAAGGTGTGAATCTTCGTCCGTGACCAAAACTCCGCGTTGGAGCATTTGTCAACGTATTCCAAGAAGCAATACAGACGAAAATTGACCTCCCTCCCAGACCTGGAGGTTGCATTTTATAATGCTTGTCCACTAACTCTTTCTAGAAGATCATACAAATCTTTTCAACCCTGTGAGTGGCATAAAGCTGACCATGAAGATGGGCCGGTGCGTCGGGCGAAGAGATGGAGGGGAGACGGAAGAAGGGCGATGCATCTGCTTTGTTTTTGTATGAGTTTTCCCTTCCGAGTTTTGCTTACTTGATGCTTACCATCCCTCAAAGTAACCAGTCTCTCCAAGCATGTTGTATCTCTTGCATGAGAGTTGCCTCCTATGTTGCCTCCATACCATATAAAGTGAGTTCTCTCGCGATGGGTAAATTCTGACGCAGACGTCACAATTCATGTCAACCCTTGAATAGAGCCTCCCCAGGGTGAGTATCCATGAGCTGTGATTGCCTGGACCTGTGTGACCATCGGGCGATGGGGCCAGGGAGACTTTCGATCTTTGCCGTTCCAACCAAGAGGAGTTCATTCATCCTATGTATCTTGATCCATATTTGTCGTCAAGACAAAACGAGGCCGCTTCGATATAATCGGACTACGGTCTTGTCGGCCATAGGAACATGCCACCCAAAAGTGTACACACTACGTGTCACTCCCTTTCTACTTGTTGGCTCCCGACGGCTTACATTGAATAATATCGCTGCGTGCCGTCGTCGTACCGTATCTTTTAGGTGAGTGCACAGGCCCTGCGGGCCATAGAACCCATTATTGCGCTCCGGTACATGGTAGACTCCTGAGTCCTTCTGTATGCTTATCGTGCTTTATCGTGTCGCCCTCCCTCATCACGTCCTTCATGATCCTTCAGGTAAATGCCGCTTCTTCGAAGTCTGGACAATATAGAGACAATGACGAACATGACGAACATCCTAGAGAACCGCCGGCATGATTTTTTCTTTTAGCATCGAATTCAGGTCGTGTCGCAAATGCACGTAATGATCGCCTTCGGACGTACGTACAGAAGCCGTACGCTCAAGGTCTGCAGCAATGGGTTTCGGGGAAACATGGAGGGAGCTAACACGGCCCGCAGGACTCACGATCCAGCAGAGCTTTTTCTCGTCTTGTCATACTTCGAGTTTTCATACGTCCTGATTTCCGGATATGAAGAAACAGTTCATGGGAAACAATGAGTTTTTCCCGTGTCGGCGTCATGCGAATTCCGACTCACTAAAACACGCCCCCAGCGACTTCTGTCCGGCTGATGTACTCTGGATGCACTTCTTATGCACTTCTTTCGGTCGCCGTGCGAGCGGTCGGGTTCCATGCCCCACTCTGTTTACCATGGCCAGTCATGACGTTCAACGGTGTACTACGGTCTACGGAGGGATACCTCGCGCCCGTGACCGCTCTTAGCAACTAAGAATCTCCGAGTCTGAACTGCAGTGTGTCATCAGATGGCACGACAACCTCAGGCTTACCCTTATATGTCAAAAGAAAACTGAACTTCAGACTTGCTTCAGACTGACGACGGCTCCAAAATAGCCTTCTGTCCGCATTCAACGTTCTTCTCTCATCTGCCTGAGGTTGAGCGGAAAGGGCCACATGGCCTCTTGAGCCTCGGGAGTCGGAGGATGACTCGACCGCCTTCCGACCGTGTGCGGTGCGGTCACTTGCTGTCACTCACCCCGGATGTGCAGAATTGCAAACGGAGCCGGAGAATCTCATTAGCCCGTTCCGGGACCCGTAAATACACTACACCACTAGTGGCTTTGGTCCGAAGAATCAAAGCATCCACCTTATTTCAGGTATATTGTCCCTTCTTCTAGAAGCTATCCGGAGTAGACCAAAGAAGGCTCACAAGGCGCTCGCAGCGCAGAGTTCCTGTGGATGGCAAGCATGCGGGCGGCCCAATATCACATGGGAAACTTCGGACAAGGTCGATGATAGCTGTAGACTCTGTAACAGTTCAGCAGAAAAACGACGTCTTCGAGTGGCGTGCATTTCTCGGGGTGCTCTTCTTTTCTCCAACTCCAACCATCCGGTTGCCACGGCCGAAGCTCGAAGAAGCACACCTCGGTGTGGGGAGTTAGTGTGGGGACATGCGCGCCCTTCAAGGCATCGCGAGAACTTGGAAGCACTTGGAAGCACACCAAGACTCTCAGCTAGAGGAACTATCGCACACTACAATGGATCAAGCCTCCTATCAGACATGGGGGTTATGCAGTTTTCTGGTAACGAATGTCAATTGGGGTTCGACGAAACCTCCAAACTTCCATCGATCACTTACTGGTCATCTTCAAGCACGAGGCAAAATAACGGGCTGGCACGAGCATGTATGCACGACGGGGAACAAGCCCGCTGGTTCGTAAATGATAGGATCAATAGATTAGAATGGGATTATCAGGGAAGGGCTGCAATAATAATAGGGTACGGTGAGACGGAACGTGCGACACAGGCAGTAACACGCCAGCGGGAGTGCTCGATGGTATAATGGTGGCGAAAGTCATTGCAGGAAAAGAAAGCAAGGTGAAAGCATAGTATACAGAATCAGGAATAGCGGGGTATATCGCGATCGTCAACGTCGATGTGCTCCATCAAGTGTCGTTCTGACATGCCAGGGTACTGTGAAATGAGGTCAAAACGATCATCCGCGGGGAGCTCGGTAGCATACTCACATAAGTTTGAGAAGGATGGACGTGAGACGTGTTGGACGGTGAGTGCCAGTGGCCGATCGAATGCGCGTCATCCGAGCGATAGGCAGGACCTCTGGGGACAGAGGAGGGCAACCCGAGGGGAGGCATGTAAGGCGATGATGAGGTGGGGGTGAGGCGATGATCACCAGATGGCAACGTATGGTAAGAGGAGCCCATCTCAGGAATGACAGGGAGCCCACTCGAAGACTGGGCAGACATGGGGTATTGCTGATGTTGTGCACTCAAAAAGATATCGCCCGTACTCCTATTCATACAACATGTGATCAGCTAATCGTAGACATCATAACAATTGAAAGACTCACTGCGATCGTTGAGCGGAGCCAGGGGATGCTGACACAGGAGGTGGCACGTACAAGAAAGGGTCGCTATCAACATGCGAAAGGTGTGTCAATGACGTGGATGATATCTGAAGGGCTGTTTGCATACCTTTGACGCCTAGATGGAGGGAGCGATGGCAGTCCATATTCGTAGCGGTCGCGTCGGGATGGCGGTGTATTGTCACGGGTGGGCGGCGTCGACGCCTCAGACACCCCGGACGAGCTGGCGGTCGTAGGCCTACCATCACCACCTGCACGAGACTTTTTTGCTGTACTCTTCTTTCGTGGGACCTCCTGAGGCCATGTACACTGAAAGTAATGTCAGAGAGAGAAGAGAAATACCGAGAGACATCACAATACCTCTCGAGAGCCACTGACACATCGGTTGCAGCTTGGTTTCGTCTCATCACACTAGCAGCAAGACTTCACGGTCAGCAATAGAGAACTCGACAACGATTGTAAGAGATGCTACCTTGATCTTCTTCACTCTACAGGTCAAACAACCCAGCTTGCTTCGCGTATACTTTGGGCGCTTTCGTTGAGAGATGTCCGGACGATGGGCATTTCCACTTGAGTGAACGTCGCCAGGCATGGACGACGTAGGGTAGTAGGCCGGGATGTAGGAAGTTGTGTGGGAGCTGCACGGTATAATCAAATCAGTAGAGGTAGGAAAGACACGGGGGAAGGACGCACTAGGGCATGCCGTCGGCCATGGAGCTCATGCTGTGGTAGCAATATCAATGGAAGGAGAACGCACGAAGGCGTCAGTGGGGAAGGTCAAGGGTTTATAAAGGAGTTCCGGAAGTCGGGCGGGAGCCAAACTTTTCAACCTCTTGCCAGCAGATGATTGCCCACGGATCACCGCCTATCGGGCTGGTACGCACCAGAGATCTGCGTCAGATCTCGAGCTTCAGGGTCGCGCATTAGAACTTTGGTTCTGTAGACTTTCTGCACGGAACTTGGGAAAGAATGCCAAAACCGCGTGCATCAAGTCCGTTGTCCGCTTCCGCCATGCGTATTCCATTATGTGGGACAACGTGGCTCGATGCAACCCCACGAAAGAAAGGAGACTCTGGTGTCTCAAAGGAATCTCCTGTCATGTTCAAATAAATATGTCATAAGCACCACGTATCGACTAGAGCACGCTAGAGGGTTTAGGTGCACATGCACGGTGCTCCATCAAATGGTTACCTGTCGAAAGGTCGCAGTGAGTAGTTATGATCAAAATAAACTGCATTGGTCTTCTGAGCTGAGAAGGCTCCCACAGCTGCTGTTCAGTCAAGTTTCAGGTTCACCGACAAGTGATCGGTATAAGGTGGCGTGCTCGATAGGAATTTACGTTCATCTGTTCTGTGATTTTGCCTACAACTGGGGTAAACTTCCAAGAACCTTCTTTCCGGCATATTGCGCTGCTTCTAATTTTGTGTTAGGTCGAAATTGTAAGTGGCGCTGAGTGAAGAAATTCCAAGGCGGCATGGCCGCCTTGGCGAAAATACCAACCTGTGTCTGCCTCTCATGAAGTATTCACGATGATTTGCGCTCGCAAGGTCGGCGTATCAGAAAGAAACCCGTTCCGCGCCGAAAATAGCGGGGCGATCTAAAGGGGATGCACTAACTCAGCATACGGCGGTGGGTCGTTGAAGTGTCAATCATATGATACCCCCATTTAGCATGTACTCAAGAGCCCTTTCTGCGCGACGGAGATCAGTCAGAATTACTGCAAATAACCTCCCTATGTTGCAGTACTGCGGTGCGGCTTTCAGTGGTTCTGGAGACATTTTGCCCATGGGTATCACGGAGAAGTGTAAGATGGCGTCAAAGTCTTCAGGATCTTCATCAGTGAGCTGAGTGGCGACGAGTAAAAACAGACCCGCGGACATGGGACTGGAGATAGGTACAAGCAAAACATGATGTCCATCGAGGCACGCAGCACGCCTGGGCGTCGTGACTCTAGTTGTTCAGAGATACTGGCCTTCAAAGTGCGATTTAGCAGAGGATCGATCTGTGTAGAATCTCCCAGAGCAGAGTACGATAGCGAAGAAGTAATATTACCCCGTTGAGGTCGAGCGGGAATATACGATACGTCTCCATCGCCGTAGGGAACGCGCCCCAAAAGATGTGCGTTGGGCCATCCACGACATTACTCATGAACATGACAAGAGTCTTCACAACAGACTCAGCGAGCGACCCACTGTCATGAAGCACCAGGAAGAGAAGAATGGTCTCAGATGCGAAACACCCTCGTCAATCGGGACCAGGCTGTCCCGATACAAGCTTTGATGTCCAGAAGCGACCACTGCCAGCCACTGCCATAGAGCTCATCACTAGCAAGACATAGCCATACGATTTTGCGTTGCTCTAACACGGGAGGGTGATCGCCGCGCTCCAACGCGGTGCAACGACCAACATTGAAGTGCTGTAACAGCCTAGGGCCAGTAGGCTGCTGAGATACTAATTCCTGCACATATCATTTATACCAACGTAATCTCTACCAGCATGATGCCTGAAGAGTATGCTTACTTTACTCGCTATATGTTCATTGAGGGTCAGACTGATGGAATCTAGCCAGTATATCCTAGCCCAAGGTATCTCCTCCAGTTGGAAGAGTTGTACCATTCGCAAGAGAGATAGGTATCGACCAGCAGGATGATGCGTGCTCGGTGCAGTCAGAAATTAGAGAGTGTTTAGACACGTGCGGCGTCCTCCGGGTGTGCCGAGCGGGGAATCAGCTGAAATTCAAATTCAGTTTGAAAGCCGGTGGACCCGCGTCATGGCGCACGGCGCTTCGACGCCACAAAGATGTTTACCACGACCACAGCCGAACGGCTTTATCTACGAACTTCATCCCCCTCCGTTGGATTTACTGCAAGCCACATCGCTCTGAGAATGAGCTGAAAGAGATATCTTAGCGGTACTGAAAGTAAGCTCTTCAACACTCCCTGCACTACAACTGATACGATGCGCGCGGATCAATTTACATTGAATTTACAGTTCCCTGAAGCCCGAAAGCTTTGCGTTTACATACAGCCATGGTCCCAGAGGGGCCGTTGTCCAGGTGAGACCCTACAGTCATGATCAACAAATGATTCGTTGCGTCGTGTGATGCACGGGTTCTGCCCGCTTCTTCTCCGGACCCATGGGCATTTATCTTAGGACGCTCATCTTGACGCCCACCGGCGCCAGTGCGTCGAGTGCATCACGAACGAACCCGCACGGGCTTCTGCGTGAGCGGGTGAAGAGCGTGTCTTGGAGACAGAGTTTCTGCTACTCAATGTTTCGAAGGCTTAAGTTAAACAATCAATGAATCAACGACTGCTCAACTAAGGCCCTTGACGGCCTGAGAGTTTGTGCTGTCCACAGCTCGCTTTGTTATATTATCGCGCTTTAAGCAGCATACGGCTTCAAAATCACCGTTGTATACTTTTTTGTGGTCTTACCCCGCTGACCCTCCCCACCTTCAGCGAATGCACTTTATACCGCCCTATGGCCTGCTGGCGCATCAGCATTGCTCGTTAGCTCTTCGTAAGGCGATTTTATCCTATGATTCGAGTAGTGGACGTTGAACATAGTCCATTGCAATTGTCCGTCAGATCTTTTATGACCAACGGCGAGAATGGGCTCCCTGTGCAGGGTTGATGGGCTGTTGGTTCCGGACCCCAATGATTGATTGACAACTCTGAATCTGACCGATTCCGATGTTCACCAACCTTGAACCTCACATTCAGTCCTTTGAGGGATCCAATATGGGTGGAGGCATGCCTGCTCGGTCGAGCAAACGATTCAGTTGCTCTAGAGCATTCAACCGTGTAGGGGACGATTGTACACGCAGACTGTTCCATTCTCCACCCTTTTCCTATCACTGCGTGATGCTCTTACATATTTGTGAGCGTTAGGAGAGACGAGGACCGCATCCCGCATCCTTGTACAGCCAATATGTCTGGAGGGTAGATTCTATAAGACCGCCGGCGAGGTTTGAAAACGTCGTAACGTTGTAGAGCGCTATTGGGTCAACGCCAGCGTGCACCGTATGGGGTTTTAAGCATGTCACTTCCAGCACACTGTTGATATTGTTGCACGTTTATGCCGCACAAATTACGAGCAGCCAGAGTCGTCCAGTTTCCGTTGGGTAACCTATTTTTCGCTCCAGCGATAGCGGGATCACACGGTGCGCACAGAGCTGACGACTATCTTATGCCATGATGTGCGGCGATGATCCCAAGAAACCCTCGACTTCCTCAGTCTGCTCGATTCTATTCCCGTGGTCTTTATTGCATGGGGACTTCAAGAACCAACTTCTACTTCCGGTTCGGTCGGGCTCTAGCATTTTTTATGCTTCGATGGGCGCTGCGTCCTGGAGATACATCATAGTTCCCACGACATCTACCACCGATAGTTACTCCTGTGTTATATTCCCATCTGGTCAGGGTTATTCTGCTAGGATGATGTTAGACATCATCCTTTGAGCGTGTCAGGTCCCGTACTACATTTCTCGGACCGACACATGCGCTCGCGCAGCTACACGTCGTATGTAGACCCCCATTCTCGGAAGACGATCAGACTTCTGCCCACCGCAACTATGCCAACCTGGGCTCCCCATGATCTCATCTATCGTGCGAGATACTGCATGCAGGTCATGTAGATGAAGACCCTTCCACATAATCCGGTTCGTTCATACGACATTTTGCTAGCTCAGAAGCTTCTCCTCACGAGGTACGTATATGACTATCATGATCCACGGATCGGTTATGAAGATCTCATGTGCGCCCGCTGGGTACTAGCAGGTTGACGTGGTGCACGATGCACGATGTTTGAGCACTGTCGACCGTCCGGCCCATCGTCTTTCCAGTTGGACACACACACATGTGATGTGGAGCATTCTGGTGGACAGGGTCAACTTGGTCTCCCGGCGGGCTGCCAGAGCGAGTACCTACATGTACGTCTGCGAGGTCTGCTTTCGTGAACTCTTTCCTCATTTTATACATTCATCACCACGGTCATTCGCGCAGTCAGTGGATGTGGAGGATCTCCGTGTTCCACCGAGATTACCTGTTTTACCGTCAAACAATTCTATGACAGATCAGAATCGAACCGCCTGATTAATGCCCCACTCCTCGACATGAATCAGGTCAAGAAGAATACACATAGTGCCGAATGAGGTATCTGTCTAGGTCGAAAGCGTGTACCAGTCTGTCGTATCGTCACCATTGACTGAAAGTCAACGGCGAAGGCATGGTACGATATGACACGAGGTGGATTGTAGCCCGAAGCGACGGAACACATATCGAGACAGAGGTATCGAATACAATTTCATTGACGTCCTCAAGGCTCCGAGTTTCATCGACGAACAACCTTTCCATGGCGTTCGGTGTGGTCAGAAAACAGAACAATTTATTGTACATTGTCCACAAACAAACACATTGTATGGATCTCGACCTCGGAGCACACTACCTACTAAATCACTATGACCAACAACACGTACCATGAACAAAGGAATCAACTACCCCAAGCCAGAAGGACCGATTCCTGAGAGAGAAATTGAACAACAACAAACAAGCAGCGTACATGGGAATGGATGACGGAAATTTAGAATCAAAGGAGGTCGATGGTCGGGGCCAAGCCATGTATGAGAATTCAGATGCCGAGCGGAGAATCCAGGAGGACAGAAACAGGAAAAGCAGATGATGTCGGGTGGAAGAAATTTAAGGTGCTATAATCAACCTAATGTATGTACTCGAAGCACTGAGACTGGAGACCAAACAGAATGATTTTGTTGAGGCGTATGGATTCAGAGATACGTGTAGGAACAGTCGGTGGTAATGAAGCTTGTACTATGGATATTGAAGCAGTTGTGGGTGAGGAACTAGACATGCCGGCTTGGAAGGGGACAGCGCTCGCGAAGGCAGCGCGGATATGCCAATCCCGTCCGCATTGAAGCAAGCGTTGTCGGGTGCGCAGTCGTAGACGATACGAACGGCAGAACACAGATATCAGGGAAGGACAGGTGATGGAAGGAACGAATGGATGTGTGAGAACGGGTGAATGTTCGAATGAGCACCGACGACCCGGCCTAATGCTCGACTCTCGGCGACAATTCATGTACGGTGCTGGCGCTGTCGATCGTGGAAGGATCCCGTCGACTGGAACTTGGTCGAGAAGAACTAGAGGACAAGAACAGGTAAGACCGCTTAGCACATGACGACAAGGAGAGCTCGCTACCGAGCGGGAGCCGAAGGAAGATTGGGATTGGAGGGGGCACGGGGCGAGAGCGGCGGTAGAAGCAACTACAAGGTTGTTCAAACTTCACAATGTGAGCTTCTCACCTATCTTTTGACTTCCGCGAAGGTTTTGGCCAACCCCAGACCTCACGAATCCACCGGGCCATGTTGACTTCTTGCTGCATAGTCCGTAATATCCAAGGGTGTGAGAGCATTTCCTTTGGCGTTGGACGAAGTGCCGGATCCACTCGGAGCCTGATGGGATGGAATTCCGTGAAAGAACGCGAAGATCAATGAGTTCCTGTTTTGGCTCAAACGAAGAAGAGGTGAAGGATACGCACGTTTCCTTGATAAAGTCTTTCATGGCGCTTGACCAATGAGCGCCGTCGACGTCTTCAAGTTGTGGAGGCTAAAAAGCAGCGAGGATCAGAGTTTAGAAAGAACTGCTGAATTTCTACAGGACGTAGGACGGTAAAATGAAGTCACCTCGCTCTGGGTGATGTGGATCATCAATTCGATGGGCGGCATGTCATTGGAAAAGGGGAAGTGGTTTTGGACAAGTTCGAGCAGCGAAAGACCAGTGGACCAGACGTCCGCTCGGATGGAGTACTCCAGACCAGACAAACGTTCCGGCTAGTTACGGCGATCCTGGTTATAAGTACATATTCTCAAGGTTTAGGAGTAAAGAAAGGAAACAACATACCGCCATGTACAGGCTCGTGCCTGTGAACGTGCCTGCGTGCGATTCGACTAATTCTCCCGAGACGCCGAAGTCGCAGAGTTTAACGACACCTTCACGGGAGAGAAGGATATTTGATGGTTTGATGTCGCGATGAATCAATTTCTTGGAGTGAAGATAATTGAGACCTTGGAGAACCTGGACGAGGCTAAGTCAAAACTAGATGGAGCCACTGAAGCAAGATCACACACCCCTTCAGCAAGCCGTCCGGCGACTTTTTCTCCAACGCGTGCACCACGCTCTTTAATTCGCTTGCCAACTGCTTCCAAACTCTTCCCATCGCATACCTCCATGATGACCTTGACCTCGCTAGATGAGGGGGACATATATGCGCCATAGAAGCGGATAATGTTGGGGTGGGAGATGCTAGTGATGATACCGAGCTCACGCAAGAGCTGCTTCATGGGAGCTTCACGAGTGGTGATCGTCTTGCGGGCCATGACGAGGCCACTACGCCTGTCCCTCACCTCATGCACAGCTCCACCAGCGCCTTCTCCAAGCCTGGAGATCTCCTCCAAGATGTCGTCCGACCACTCCTTAGACGGCTCAGAAACCGTTGATTGCAAAGCACCTGAAGGTCGTGAGGAAGCTGAGGACGTGTGGGTTTCGATGTCGCTGATCGTGCGCCGGACATCATCCATGGAAGGAGGTTTATTGTTCTGATGGGTAGAGGGTCTGATCGTGGTCTCGCCAACGCCGTCGGCATTGACTGGAGGGGGAGCGAGTGAGGGACCACCATAGTAGCCACCCGAGAAGAACTCGGAGGGAGAGTCCGCAGCTGGTGTGTTGTTTGCTGCTATGGTGGTTATTGCGAGTTTGAGAGACGGCTTGGAGGGCGCAGGGGAAGCATTCGAGTTTGGGATAAAGAGGCCGAGCTTTGGCGTTGGAGACCTCGAAAGAGGCGGAGTCGGGGGAGTGAGCAGAGTCGACGGCTCCGCAGGCTGTGGTTTGGACGCTTTGCGAATGTTGAGCGGTGCAACAGAGGGCAGGGCAACGGGAAAGGCGGGGGTGGGTGGTGACCCCGACCGTTGCAGGCCGCGAGGACCAAGGGGACGAGCGCCAGCAGGGTGCATCGGCGTGCTCAACATGCGAGTGACACTGTCAATGTAAGAACCGTCTGCGAGGGCGTCGAGCTCGTCGTTGACGATGACGATCAGAGATCAAAGCGAAAGAGCGCTGAATGAGTTGCAAGCAGAGTCGAGTGTCAAGCAGATTCAGAAGCACTTGCGCCGCAGTGGCAACCCGGCACCCTTGACCCCTAGGATGTCGTTGGGGGCTATCAATCTAAAATGCTGCTAATAGGTATGGTACTGTAGCCAAGTGGTTACGGCGTCACGTTTAGGCTCTGTACCAATCCGTGATGGGTTTCCCGCGCGAGTTCGAATCTCGTCAGTATCATACCTTTTTTGTGCCTCTGCCCCTGTGGACCCAGGCCATGGCCAGCGGCGGGCCACGCTTCGCGACTGTTCGGTCAGCACGAGCCTTCGTGTCGCCACGCCTGTCATTTATCCGCGATATTCTCGCTCGATTGACAGCTCTTTTGCACGCTCATTGTCTTCATACATGCAGCACACTACGCTCGTCGTCAACATTGCATAGGCATCCAGCTCTGCTCAAAACACGTACGACGTCCACGCTATCCACAACCCATGTCATCCGCCATGTTTTCACAACCAAACACCAGCTCTGCCTCTTCTCTCGGCTCCCTTCTTTCTACACACATCCCTCCCACTCCTTCTGCTTCACCCTCCAAAACACCTCGCAAACAGCAGGAACCAGAGCCCATCCGGCTCGATTCCATCGGCGTACCACCTGCCTCCATCATCGGCAAGGTCCTCGTCCGCATTCGACCTTCGCCGACACATCCGTCCGTAAATCTCGACTTCGAGGACGAGACAACATTCCAAATTCGTGTCGACGGTTACAATCCTGTCCACTCTATCCCCAAGACGCTTGAGACGAACGATCTCCTTCGACCTCTTTTCCATCCATATCCCCTACCCGCTGCAGGCCAAGGCCTCGATGTCCGACTCACCGTCGTTGACTGCAGATTTATCAAGATGAAGGAGACAGCATACGAGCGCTCAGATACATGTGACCATGAGTGGGAAGTCCAGCATCTCGCTCTGGCCATAAAGTTTGAGGAGCGCGACGGATGGCACTGTTGTTGGGCCACCTGCGGCGTGTACGACAAGCGGGATTACGGCCCATGTCTTTTCCGCAGTTTCGACGATGTCTACCTCCAGCAGGTACAAAAGTCGCCCAAGTCGTCCAAGAAGCAGAAGAGACGCCCAAAACAGAAGAAGAATGACAACGACAGTACGAGACAGGCAGCGCTTTGAGTATCAGTGGGTATGTGTTTTCTTTCCCATCACCTCGATTCAATCATGTTGCGTGCATCTATCTTCATTCCTAATTTATTTTACCGCTTTCCAGGCCATACGCTCAGGTGCATCGCATGCAGTCCACAACGCCGTGTGTTTCCATTTGCGTCATACCCTCGCACGGATCCTGCCATTTTATCGGATTTTGTCCTTTTCTTCTAGCCCAGATGATGTCGAACTGTCGTCCACTCCAGACTCGTACGGCCATGTACTCTCCGTCGTACTTGCCCCGGGTCTGATACGTATACTCAGTGGACCGAACATTGCATCGTCCTTCGTCATTGTATTTCTAGTGTCACATACCACCGTCAGCGTGTTTCTCTTCATGCTCCATTTGTCTTCATTTGACTCGTTCCCGTCCGTCCTGTTGTGTTTTGCGCATAGCGCTGTACTTCTTCCCGTCAATTGCTTTATCCATACGGTTTAGAAACCTACCACGTTCGTTCTTATTCCCCGTCCATCTAACCTATATCCTTCGTCTGATATTCACCGCATTCGTGCCCCTTGGATTTCGTCGTGATATGTATAGACTCGACTGATTGTTCGCGTCTCTTTCCCCGATGGACTGTCGTACATGCGAGATTTGAGGTTATCTGTTTCAGCCCGCTCTAACCGTACTTACCGCCGGCCCAACTGACGAGCACCGCCATCGACACAGAAGCCGATCGCTTGTCCTGAAAAGCTTCGAGCGAGGATCTCGCGCGATGTCCCGCCACCAGATCACGGTTCTCGGAAGCAAAAACCATGATCGTCCGGAAGCAAAACCCATTTTTGCTCTTCGCTTGCGTGAAACGAACCCAAACATAGGACGAGCCTTCGGGCTCGTCATGCGAACCTGGCTCTGTCGAGAATCTACTAAGTTTCTAAATTTAGAACGCAAACCTCGACGCGCGCCCGCTCTCAGAATCGAGTCGGGCGTTGTGGAGTTTCAGGCTTTACAAAGCTGGGATAGCGGGTAGTAAGGCGGGCTTCGTCGGGTCAGTTCATCCGTTCTTGTCCTTTGAGGGTTTGGTCGGTAAAGCCCGCCGCATCATCAGAAGCTCCGTTGGACCAGGGAGCCCTAGTGTAGACTGGGCTTCTTGAGCCCCATCTAAGGCGTATATAATCTCAAACTTAAGCTAAGGAGGATGGCGAACTTTCCCCTCAGTGACTGCAATGTTGCTAGTAAAGGCAAAGATGGTAGAAGCCACTGGTTTCCGCACAACAACTTTTATTTGACCTTCCAAGATGATGACGACCAGCGATGAATGCTAGGGTGCCTTGGGCGCATCGACAGAATGATGGCAGCCGCACAATGGACGCACCCGTGCCGGAATCATTTGAGAACCGTTTGCGAGAACTATGCATCGATTCCGGTCTTTCAGGAGAATTGTCGGAAAGCTCTATCCACCGTAGCGTACCTACTACATCATCCTGCTCAATTCTGTTGCGACAGATGCGTTCACGGACGGCCAGGCGAGGTACATTCAAACTGTCAGCTCTGACCAGACTTGGTTCCGAGCGGTGTACGTACCTTATTTACTTGCTTTAAAAGGTCAAGCTCAGGACCGACGGCCGAGGTTTCGCATAATGCTGGCATGAAGTGAGACGCTTTGAGTTGACTTGAGGACCAAGCGCGGAGCCAGTACTACCGGGAGGTGAGAAAGAGAGAGGCCTCGTATGGGCTAGCAAGGATTGAGATGGAGTGGTTTTCTCGTAGGAAAACTTTCGAAACCTGATGAAAGCTTGTCGACCTCTCAACAAGGGTAGCCAGACAAAAAAAAACTTTAGTCACTAGAGCTGAGAGTTTGAGTCAGAAACGTACCGAAGTTGACACACTGGTCTACTAGGGGAATCAGCTGTAGACCGTGTACCCCACAGGAAGTGATGAGAACGATACGGGCGACCAGTTGAGACCCTTGAAAGTCTATAGGCAGTCGGTTGCCCTGACCGGCTGACTGCGGTGTATGATATACTTTGTGCCGCATCTGAAGGGAGATGAAGCCAGAAGAACCAGAGGGTATACGCAGACAGATGGTTGCTATCTCATTGCCCCACCTCGTAGGCGCGGGTTCGCGCTTGACCGACTAGCTCCTCAAGACTTGCTATAGACCATCTTAGGTCCAAAGTTCGATCAAAGTCGCGCGAAAAGCGGTGCGTGAAGGACCGGCCGACTTTGACTTTCGTATACTGCGTCTGAGGAGCCAATGGTAGGTGAGATGCTCTTCTGGCGACAATCGTATCTTCCCGACCTCTCCATCTCCCTATGGTGCACTCCACTTTTCACGATTGGACCGGCCATGTCATAGAACAAGAGACCACACGTGCAGTTGATTTGTCCACCAGAGCATCAGCATCAAATCGGAGCGGGTCTCTGGCTTGGGCCATAGTGTGGCCCATCCTTGGACCCATCCGACCCTAGTCTGTACCAACGGACAACGCTATCCTAATGGATCCCCAGCAGGAAAACAGCGACGGACCGGATGTATCGAGTTCATCTTCTGCCCCAAGATTCGATCCAGAAGCTGAGATCGCTATTCTCTGCGGCAGTATCCTGAGTATGAGGCCTGACAAACGTCGCAACCGGCCCTTCCGCACCCAGCACAGATGAACAAGCGAGCTGATGATGGGTTGTTTATATCCAGAGCACACTCCAACGAGCAGCTAACTCCCGATGGAGCAAGGAATTCTGAAAAACCAACCAACCAGATGGACCGGTAGAAAATATCGTCGTCGTCAAGCTGACGCTTATGCACCAGTATTGCAGTGAAGGACTATAGCCGCTGAGACGCACAAGCATAAACATCATGGGAAGATAGTGTGTGGTAGATCCGGAACTCTTCACAGAATAGATGAACGAGTGCAATCAGGCTTCCGCGAAATGAACGGCTTTTAGAGCTGTCGATGAATGTATGGTCTGACGCAGAGAGCGGAGCTTAGGGAGAGAAACCCGATTCAGCGGCGGGTCACTCGCGAAACTCGGCATTCCGAAATTCTGCTGTCTGTTGTGTTGGGGCCGGTTTGGGCAACATCAAACAGAGCTTGGGAGAAAGTTGACGATACCCCGAAGGGAATACCCATTACCTTAAATTATCTGTTCTGCGGAGAAGTTATAGAAGAAGTTCTTGAAGTTTGTCGATGCGAGTGAAGAAGGTTGATCCAGTGATGAATGGTCTTAGATGAAGAAGAACACCCACCTTTTTTGGGTGACTGACCACCGTGGAGACACCATCTGTCAAAATAGCTCTGCTGCGAATGCCGTCTTCCTCCAGGGATCTAAGTCCATCCTTTGGTTCACATCCTAGACCAATAAGGCAACGATGCGAGCGATAAGCAAGTACTTACCATCAGGTTGGCCCGTCGAGAAGTCACATCTCCCTACCTTCTAGTGGAGAGCTCAATCATTCAACAGCCCAACAGTTCAACAGCCCAACAGCGGGAACCAATACGTCCAGCTATCCATGTCTTCACATTGCCATGTCAACATTGCACCACGAAGAAAGAAAAAGTGCCCTATTACGAGGTGATTACGGCAAGCCAACGGATCCCAGTGGGGAATAGACTGTTTCATGCTTGAGAGGAGCTGAAGACTGATTTCGGAACCAGCGAGATTCGAATCTTGCGGATAAGCACAATTCACAAACAACCCTTGGGGAACCTGATGGAAAACCCTCATGAGTGTGAATGAGCAGGAACGGGAGCAAATTCGTGAAGCTTGAGCAAGTGTGATTTAATGCACTTCATGAGCATACCCTTCCACCAATTTTTGGCTTTTGAGATGCTGCCACACTCGAGCGAGACGCTCTGGAGGCCAGGAGATCAGGGATAAGTCTGTCGAGCTCTTTACTTACTCTCTCGATGAATGCAGTCCCCAGAAATCGACGAAGTGTGGCCAGAGGCTATAGAACTGGCTGGTAGAGTGAGGCGAAGACGCGGTAGGTCGTTATTATGGCAGAGCAGATGATGAGATAAATGGACGCCTTGACGGACGGTTGGTGGGTGCGTAAATGCAAGGCTGTCTATTTGACTATGTCTGGATTATCCAAGAGCCTGTAGTAATGAAGCCAACAGACAAGCTTTGATTCCTTTCCAAGGCGGGTTAGAGGCAGGAAGTCACTCCTACGGACCGGATACAGATCAACCAATGCCCATGGCACCGGTGACTTACAAATTCATCTACAAAAGTAAGTTTGTGATCTTATATCGACCGAGAATTAGGCCAAACGCGGCGGAGAGTACACCGCGAAGGTTTGCTCGAAGGCGCGCAAGAGCCACGAGCTACAACCGGCGGCCGTAACGAGACATTGTCAGTACATAAGAGCACATGAAGAAGTATCATGAGAATCGTACGCAGCTGATGATAGTCATCGCCAAATCAATCCTATACGATGATGGACCAAAGGACGGAAGTAATATATTGATAGGATAGATCGCATACCCCGCATCACTTGGGCTAAGCTTCGGAAGGGTCAAAGTACTGGGCTTTCACCAAGGTCAATCCCTTCGGGATTACGTCCTCCACTTGAACAAGACAACGGGGCTGTGCTAAAGGGGAATTGAGAAGATGACAGGATCAGACACGGGGACGAATTTCGATGATGCTTCACGTATATTTTGTTCCTTCACAGATACCCACAGCAAACCATAGATACAAAGCTGTGTCCGCTAGAGTGCACTATCATCCGTTTGGAACTTAACGGTGCGGAACTTGGAAGAACAAGGGTCGTCCGACACCAGGTTTATCGCGCAAAGTCCGTGCTGAGGATGTGACGGGAAATCGGAGTGACTAGCAGAGCCGACGAAGAGGGAAATAGTGGGCAAGAATGAGGCGCCAAGAGAAATGTATTGTGGAGAATGACAAGCTGTCCAATGCCTGATGATTGTTGATGGAGAAAAGGCACCAACCTACTGTATTAATTTGTATTGTGCAGAAATGTGTCAATCAGCTGCCTTGCGGAACTCCAAAGAAAGAGAAGAGGTATGTGATATGATATATACTGAATGGGAAATAGCACATACGGATGGACGAGATTGAGCACCATTGGGTTCGCTGTGCACATCGGACACGATGGGCAAGAAGGTGTCACAACAATATCACGCTGCGGGCCCGGGATCTACTTATACTCGATAGACGCTTGTCGGATACAAGATGTACGCCCAACACGCACCATCAGAATGTTTGGGATGTGTCAGCTATGTTGGGTGATGAAAAGACAGACGATTCGGCCCGCTGGACAAGATTGAGAACGAAAATGAAGCCAAACAAGGGCAGAGTGACACGGCGTATGATGGTGATGGCAACGCCTTGCCGGCAATGAAATGCGAGCTGTGGTTTTAGAATCTTTAGCGCGACGTGATTGCCGACTCGACCGGCTTTAAACTTGGGTGAGACTGAGGAGTGCGTGAGGTCGAGGGTGTCGAGGGTGTCGAAGGGGAGTCGAAGGGGAGTCGGGGAGGACGTCGCTTCGCGTCGCGTCGGGACAAGAACAAGTGGGAAGATGCGGGCCACTGCCCAAACGGCGCGAGGACGCGATCGGCTCAACCGACGCCACAGAGACCGTCGAATCTTGATCATGACCGCGACCAAGTCCCATTCTGCCCGTGTTTCCTTCGCTTCCCTCACTCCAAACAACTTGGGCACCGTTCGAAAACTCAACTCGGTTCTCTTCCCCATCAAGTATTCTGAAAAGTTCTACCAGGACATCCTTCTCCCAGAGGCAGAAGACTTCTGCAAACTCGGCGCGTCTTCCCTTTCTTTTTCAAGCTTACAGCTAATGATAGATCCTCGTGTTCTTTTGGCTCCACAGTTTACTATAATGACATCCCCGTAGGGACAGTCTGCTGTAGGTTTGAGACCAAAGATGGTGAGGCCCAGATTTACCTCATGACTATGGGCGTTCTCGCGGTACGCATCCATCCTCCATCGCCGCAGCTAAACCTCATCGAGTACCTCGCCCAGCCATATCGCTCCCTCGGCATTGGATCCCAGTGCCTTGAGCTCATCAAGAATGCCGCTTCGGCGTATAAGAACACAAAAATACGCCGTATTTACCTGCACGTCCAGATCTCCAACGAGGGTGCAAAACAGTTCTACCAGAGACACGGTTTTACCGAGCTTGGCGTCGCGGAAAACTACTACAAAAAGATCACACCACGGGATGCTTGGATTTTGGAGACGTTTGTTGAGGGGCAGACCAGTGAATCACAGAAATGAGGAGACGACGGCCAGTCCTCTCGCTCTCAATTTGTCCGATTAGGTGAGTACTGCTAGCTAGTCCGAACGCTCGCAATCGGCTCAGTTGAGCTTCCATATGCCACTACTAGTTACTAGGCTACATTCAATGTACAAGTCAGGTCCCATCTGACTCTCCTTCGTATTATATCGAACAACATGATGTAAGGTATGCTAAGACGATCCTCCGAAGACAAACGAAAGCAAGAAATAGCGATGAAAGCCGGCATAGATGATAGAGCTGCACCATGATGATGATTTAGTATGTTTGTAAGTGGACAATCAAAATCGATACTAACGCGTGTTCTAACTGACTGTCTGTCCCTCAGGCATTGTCGTCGTAACCGCATTGCTTAACGAGCTAGACTCCGTGCCTATCAGCGTCCAAACGTTGAAGGCCACTGAATAGCGTGATACTGACCTGATGGCGCTTCAGAGCATCCTTCCTCGTAAACGTTTTACTACATCCCCCATTACAGAGGAATGGCTTTTCGCCTGAGTGCGTCTCCCGATGCCGCTTCAAGTCGTGCTGACGATTGAAGGACAGAGCGCACATGTCGCATGCGAACGGTCGAAGGGGCGACGCGGGATACTGTCCTTGGATGAAGACCGACTGTGGAGACGGAGACATGGGTGGTGGAGAGGGAGAAGACGTCGGGTATTGCATCGCGTATCCGCTCGGTGTTGGAGAAACTGCATCGTAGCTTTCCGAAATGAGGGCGGGCCCTACGTGATTGTGGGAGTAGCCTTGCCTGCCGGTGGTAGGTGAGGACATGTAATTATGCTGAGAGTGCTGAGACGAGTAGGAGGGTGGTTGAATGGCGGCAGGTTGTGGTGAGTACATGTTCATGGGCTGGGATGTGTGAGGTGGATAGTGCGTCGCTCGAGCAGAGGATGGGTAGCCGACCTGAGTCGGCTGGTCGTTTGGGACGGTGTAAGGGTAAGGCATCTGGCGAGGGACGCTGTCGGGATGGATGTGCGGTGCAGCGTAGCCGGAAGGAGCATAATGGTGGTTCGAGCCAGCATAACCCTGTGGTTGGGCGTTACGACTCCACTGCCCAGAGGAGTACGCTGCAGCTTGGTGGTGGTCGGATGGCATAGCGGGGTGGCGTCGGTCAGACATGGAGAAACGGGTTCGTGAGCTAGCCTTTCCTTGTCCTGCGCTTCATAAAGCGTTTCATAAGCGCCTACTTCCAGTCAGGGGCAAGCTCAGACTGTCTCCGATTTCAATCTTCAGGTACTCCCGCACTGGCCTGCTCCGGCACCGGCGAACAGGTCACTGCTGCCTGACATGGATTGCCCGAGCGACGCACAAATCAAGTTAGGCCTCAGCGAGTGAATCGTAAGCGGAGGCCACGTGCATATTGTTGATGTGATGGCATTTGAGATTCACCTCTTGGGGATATGGGATCTCGAAGGGAATTTGTGGCGGTTTAGAAGGCCCAGTGATCGGTTCTCAGTATCACGCCTGGAGTAGTATCATCTTGCTGATTATTTCTGGCTCAGTTCCTGCCGCATCGGTTCTCTAGGAAACAAGGTGCCCAGATTGTCATGCGCGCTATATCTCGCCGCTTTGAGGCGTCCGGGTTAGCATCTTCCCCTCTTAGAACGCTCCAGGACTAATTGCTGCGCGTCATCCCCTTCTGCTATACCCAGCCCATGTATCCCAAGCGGATTTGAATACTCATGTATTCATCCTTATCCATATCTGCTTCATGGTGACATCGGATCAAGAGCCCGTTGTCATCTTCACCTCCCTCTATCTTCCACGCATTTCGTGAGCCCGCCTTAGATATTACTATAAGCGTAGATGTGATTAATTAGTTTCTCACGGCGCTCCGAGTAGCCAACTCAATCGTGAAGATATTGATGCGTGCAAGCAGTGGACAGGGGCAAATATTTACTGATGGGAGTGCAGGACACCGACAACTTTACTGCCTCCGTTCACTCAATTGTTTGTTCCTGATATCCATTCTCCTTTATACCTCGGCATTCTCTGTTAAAGACGAACGAGCAGTACTCTACCTTAGAATGGCAAAACATGCTAGTGTCTGTCCCGAGGAGATCTTGCGCACAAGCATGTTGTATACCTGCTACTAAATTATGTACCATCAGGCATGTCACTCATATAGCCCTCGCACTACAAACGTCATGATGAAACTCACGCGACTGATTATCCTCCTTTAGGTCCTCCGTGCCATAGAGCAGCTTTTTTTACAGCTTAGTGCTTGAGCGTGACTTGACAGTAGATGATGTCTTGTCTTGTAGAACTAGTTTAGCGCGATTCCGCTGTCACCACGAAGACTGGGTCGCAGAAGAAATGAACGAATCGAACGCTGACGATTGGTGCGGACGATGACGGTGTGCTCCGTGAAGGCCTTATCAGGAAAAAACCTACATATTTACTTTCCGAGCTCATGAACTGGATATTCTGTCGAGAGTATGACTTTCGGGACCGTCGTGAAAGACGTGTCTGGACAATACGACGACGCTTGGAACTCGAAGCCATGTAACAGTGATGATGAACGTGTAGAACGACTCGATATAAGTATGCCAGAATCTGCCTTTCCGGTCGAATCAGGCAAGCAGATACTATGTCAGAACGTCAAGTTCGCCGCACTGTTCATAGAAAGCAAGATGAAAGAATTCCATACTTGCTGGACCGAGTAATCGGCCTGCCGGGTACTTAGTTGTTCGTCAACATTCCTCTCTATTCCAAGTAACTGTAATAAATCCTATAAACATTGCCCGTATGGAAATGATCGTATGCGTACACCCCCAGGAACTGACAATCGACCATCAGGAGCGAGCTGACTTTGAACGGGGTACGGTTGGGGTACGGCAACGGCCGAGATCAACCGGGAGCACAACCCTGTCCACACGCCTCCCTCGCCCTCTAAGTGCGATGTCGAAGCGTGCCAACTCAAAGAACGGCAGTCCCAAAAAGAAGACGAAAGTTGCTCATGGTCAGAAACGTCTCGATGCTTTCTTCACCCAAGACAATTCTCGATCCTTACCTGGTCCCTCGGGCCTAGCTCGGCCATCGAAAGCCCCCTCAGGCTCCAACGCCGCTATCTCAGACCCCTCCTCTCCTGTAGCGTCACAGTCGCAGCTTCATATGAAGGGACCACGCTCAAATGGAGAGCCTCGTGACACGTCTTCCTCGACAGTCCAAGGTCCTTCCACGTCCACTCCTAATACGAAGCCTAGCAGACCTCAAATCGTCGAGGGCACTCATTCAGGAAATCCGCCACGTCTTGAGCAGCCCTCACCTCACGAAATTATCGATGTAGATGCGTTTTACGATGATGGTCCGCCACCAGAGCGCTTCTCTGGACCGTCTTTATCTAGCAAGGTGTCTGTCAACAAAGTTGAACCATCTATGCTGGTCTCAGCGACTGTCATTACCCCTATAGCCAGTTATCCAGACTTAGGGGTGGACCCACCGCTATTCGATATCTCTGCTGTCCCTCTAGCAGATGATAAAGCGATCCCATACTCTTTTCTCGCCCATACGCTGTTTACTCTTTCGACTACGAGATCACGGAACATCATCACCAATTCTTTGACCAACGCCCTTCGAACTATTTGCGCCGTTCACGAGCCGTCACTCATGCCATCACTGTATCTACTTTCGAACTCAATATCTCCTCCATATCTCTCGCTGGAACTCGGTCTGGGGCACTCAATCATCTCTAAAGCTATTCAGAACGTCTCTGGTCTGACGCCCGCCGCACTTAAGAGGCTTTACAATCAGAAGGGCGACCCCGGAGATGTGGCCTTCGAAGCAAAAGCCAATGTACGGACGCTACTACCTCATGCACCTCTCTCGATCGTCGGGGTTTACCAGTCTTTGCTCAAAATCGCTACCGCCAAAGGTGAAGGTTCGGTAAAACACAAGCAGTCGATCGTCGAAAAGCTCCTCGTCTCGGCCAAAGGCGAAGAAATTCGTTTTCTTGTTCGTACGCTCGCCCAACATATCAGAGTTGGCGCAGTTCGAACTACGATCCTTACAGCTCTGGCCCGAGCCATGGCTCTTACGCCCCCGCGCGCTGTCAAGGTTCGCCAGCGACCCTTTTACGCCTCCCCTCCGCTGCTCACTCGTGTCACCAATGCCGAGTCTACGAAAGGCAAGAAGGATGTCGACGCATCTCGCGTGGAGCTGGAAGCTATATATGACGCAGCAGAAGGTCTCGTCAAGCAGGTATTTGTGCAACATCCGAGTTATGACGATATAGTGGTAGGACTTCTGGCGAAGGGACTGGATGGCCTCGCAGAGTCTGTTCCCTTGACGTTGGGTCAGATTTTGCCCTTGGCAGTGCTCATGCAAAGTAGTGTTTCTGATTGCTCTGTCTATCAGGCATTCCGCTGCATCCGACACTTGGCTCTCCCATGCGCTCACTCGATGATGTCTACGAACGACTTGGAAACTTGCCATTTGCAGCCGAGTTCAAGTATGATGGCCAAAGAGCGCAAGTGCATGCCTGGAAGGATGCGACTGGTCAAATATTTTTCAAGCTCTTCAGCCGACATCTTGAAGATATGACAGACAAGGTAAGCATATTCTTCCCTTCGAAACAACTCTGCCCTCGTTGAACGCCAATATATCAGTATCCAGATATCAAAGTACTGGTCCAGCACGTCTTCGCGTCTTCGCCAGAAACGGCCTCATTCATCATTGACGGCGAGATTGTCGCCGTCGATGCGAAGGATGGTAGCCTCAAGTCCTTCCAAGAATTATCCAATCGGGCGCGCAAGGCTGTTGAGCTCCACGAAGTTACGATCACAGTATGTTTATTCGCTTTTGACCTGATGTACTTGGATGGGAAGGTAAAGTGGTTATTCTCTGCCATAAACTCAAGTTTCATCACGCTGATCTTACTATAGACTTTGTTAGAGGTTCCCTTCAGGCAGCGACGGCAGATGCTCCGCAGCCGTTTTCCGCCCATTGCATTGGACCGACCAGGTGCTGCTCGCTTCGACCATGTCGAAAGTGTTGAATGCTCGGGATCCGATGCGGACAAGGAAGCTGTGGAAGAATTTTGGATCAGAGCAGTGGAGAGCCGCTGTGAAGGTCTAATGATCAAGGTGAATGATATACACGACTCTCTCCTGATGATCGAGCTGATCGTCGTACGTCTACTCAGGTCCTCGACAGCGGCGAGATTGTCGAAGTCTCGGGACCTCGATCTGAGAAAACGAGGAGGAAGCCTCTGCCAGCAACTTACGAACCCGGTAATCCTGATTTGTTAACACGTTGTCGATCTTTCACTGATCTTTAGGTGCAGATAAACGCACTTCCGCCTGGCTGAAACTGAAGAAGGACTACGTCACTGGGTTAGGAGATAGTTTTGACCTCGTTCCCGTAGGGACATGGCACGGAATTGGGCGAAAGACTGCGTGGTGGAGCCCTGTCCTACTCGCTCTCAGAGACCCAGACTCAGGGGCAATGGTAGCGCTGTGCAAGTGCATGTCAGGTGTGTATCGTGCACGCGCATCTCGACGATTTGTTGCATGGATTGGAGTCCTTGCTGAGGAATGTCTTTGTATTTCCAGGGTTTTCAGATGGCTTCTACAAGGTTTGCTTGATTTCTCGCATCATTGCGTACACATCTTATCTCTTTCGCAGCAAATGAAGGAAAAATACGCAGAAGACTCTGACAATTGTTCCCGGCAGCCTTTGTGGGGCGAAATAGAAGGAGGTTAGACTTGCCGTTGACTTCGTTTGACATATTGTTCCTGATTGAGTTTCCTTGCAGGGTACAGGCCAGCCGTCTACTTCAGGTGATTCTCAGTCCCTTTTATTACAGAGTTCATGATGCTGAGTCGACAATCGCAGGCCACATGAAGTGTGGGAAGTTCGAGGCGCCGAGTAAGCTCTGCTCATCTTGGATGGTGATACGTATCGGACTGACCGTGGTTCTAGCATCACCTTGAGTCCAGTGTCCGTTGCGGCGAAGGGCATGGTGTCTGATCGCGGATTGAGCCTGCGCTTCCCCAGATTTATGAAGGTTAGAGACGATAAGTCCATTGAACAGGCTAGCACGCCGACTTTCTTAGCGAGTGTCTATCGGAAGCAGCAAGGGAAGGATCAGTCGGGCGCTGATGATGGTCAACTTCTTGACCCTGAGTCCTCAGACGAAGCGGAAGAGGAAGAGGAATCCGGTTAGCGTGGATGGAGCAGACTTGGTTAGGGAGACCGGCATATCCGGCAAGATAATGAATCCTTTCATTCACGTAGTATTGAGCTGTCTGTTAAGGTTCTAAGTATGACTTACGCTAGTCATCATCTCAAGGCACAGACCCTGCCTGCCTGTACTGTCATGTTACATATGAATGGATTGGATGTAATGTTTCCGTTGCGGATCGATTGACCTGAAGTATCGGAGAACGGCTAGGCCGCAAGACCATTCTACTCGTTTTGGGGTTTCATAGTGGAGAAACACACAGATGTAAGGTCTCCTCTGGACCCCTGTTACGGATGCTTTGGAACAATATCATGTGAGCCGTGAAGAAATACCGACACCACACAGACTCCCTTACGGAGGGGGTGTCACGGAGTAGAGAGTGTACTGGACCAGATACCCCGTAGCTGCTCAATAATGTCAGATGTCTCGTCACGGAAAGAACTCTCCACAGCGCTCATGACCTTCCCGTCACGCAGCATTTCTACCCACTCCTCGTTACGCTCCGAATAGTCCAGGGTCTGCTGGAGTATGGAATAGTTGGAGATGAGCTCAATTTTCGCGATCCCGAAATTGGTGTCCTCGGGGTTTGATGAACGTGTCACTAGTTCAGTGATGCTGGAAGCAGGTGGGAGTTCATAACCTCTGCTGACAAAAGGGGCGTCGAGCGCAGGGGCCAGGTTAATTTCTGCAACACTCGTGGCGTCGCCACTTTTGCTATCAGTTGTCGTGCGATTGCGTTTCGGAACGCGACGAGGGTTTGCACGAGCGCGTCCGGGTGCAGATCGAGTGGTGCGGGATGACGATTCGGAAAGGTAGGTTGAGCATAGAGCGATCTTGAAAGTCCTGACCGTAGTGGCGTCTCCGTCCAAGACAGAAAGCAGGCGCGAAAGGTCAGACGATTCAACGATGACCCGCGCACGGATGAGCTGGACCAGCATGTGAATATCCACGAGGCTGCTGGACGTGAGATTGACCACCTAAAACAAGCCTCAGGAACATATCTGGATAGAAACAGAGGTGATCGTACCAGCCGAATCAGGCGTGACCCGAGTGACCGTAAACAACGATCTTCTTGATTGAGGCAGTAAAACACGACGTCTAAAGGTGCTGAAAAGTCCTCTTTTCCGCGCGTTTTTGTCCTGGCAGGGGGGATATGGGACAACAAACATGGGGAATAGCGGGCTGCCAGTCATGCCCATTCTTAAATAAGCTTAGACAATACCTGTACAACTGATATGCTTACATTGTCCAGAAGCCGCTGTATTCTCCTCATCCTTTTCGAACAGGAAGACCAACCACTCCAAGACTGGCCAAGCAGTTGGACCAACGACCGCCGTCGACGAGATATCATCGTCACTCTGGCCTGAGTTTCTTGTTCGGTGTTTGGTGCGTCCATCGATAGGAATGCTCGCTTCATCACCCACAGGCCGCAAAAAGTCGGCTCTCAGCAGTTGCCAGCAGCCTCTGCAGCTCTGTATCCGTTTTGCTTCCTTATACAGGAAAGACTCCTCTTCGTCTTCAACACTGTTTGCACCCTCTGAGAGGGAGCTATTCGATCCGTCGTACGATGGTATAGCCCTGAGTAAAGATTGAGGTGAGTTTGTCTCTCCAAAAGCTTGAAGACATCGTTGGGCGGCTGCAACATCAGCTAGAGAGGGTAAATGGGAGTGTTGTTTTGGAGGGTCCGTATTTGCGCCTTGGGCGATTTTGACATCTCCTTGAGCCTCTAGTGAGGGGCTGGAAAGAATCATGTAAAGGAGCTGACGGATATGATCTCTTTCGATCGAAGGCATGAGGAACATCAGCACTGGATGTACCTCGCAATTCAGACCAGACTCACGGTGAGGGCATCGATGATGATGAACGAAGTTGGTCTAGGGTGACAATTCCTGCTTCGTAATGATGCTCTTCAAAAAAACTATCGACAAGACTGCGTTCAGATGTAGTCATCTCCCGCTCAGTCTGCTCGTTGCTTCTAGCCACGCTGTGGTTATGATGGTGAGGTCGTACGGGCGGCATATTGTGTGATGGTAGATGACTGAAAATGTTACGCGCTCTCAATGAATATAAAGAACTAACAGCAGGTTGCAAGATAGGCTTACAGTGGACCCTGTTTTGAGGCACGATTTCAAGTACGAGTTATTGGTAGACGCGTCGGTCGGAGGTTGAGCAAGAGGTGTCATGCACGCGTCGATTTCCGCCACAGACGCGTAAATATTTCCCCACGCTCTCTAATACTCCATTCCGGTAATCCCCGTGTTCAATCGGAGAATTTGTCACGGTGGCGACTTACTCGGTGAACTATCACTTCTGCTTGCATTGCCCTCCCCCTAAGGCTGTGTTGGCCGCCCTGAGCTTGTGAACTGTGAACTAAACCATTCGGACACGGGTGAGTAGCCTTACTTTGTCTTCGCTCAACTTTGATCTCTATTTTATCTGATTCGTCTCGAGCGGCGTAGACCCCTAGATCTCACACCTTCAGTGAGATCTTGGTATTAGTCAGAGCAGTCAATGCTAAGTTTGATCAGGCAAAGACAGTCGTTTCTTCATCGCATACGTACCATGGCTACTGCCAACAGTGATCAGCCAGTTGAAGATGCTATTCGCTCTAAAGTACGCCTGTTCCAGGTTTCCTTGGTGCTTTACACTGCCGCGCGTCATTATAGCTAATATGATGATCAACATTCGGATCAGCTCATGTCACTTCTTCGACCGTCAGAGTTGGTGATTACCAATGATTCCTACCAGCATAGGCATCATGCCCCTATGCGCGCCCAAGGTGGAGGAAGTGGAGAGACACGTAGGTCTAATCTAAGCTGTACTCGGCGGCCGCTTCTGTCAGATTGGATGTAATTTCCCTACTGACCCTTCAACAGATTTTAGTGTCAAGGTTGTCTCTGATGCCTTCGCTGGCAAAGTAAGTCTATATTTGTTTCTCTCCTCCCCGCTCAACCTACAATGACGATACTATCTAGTCGTCCATGCAGCGGCATCGCATGATCTATGCTGCATTAGCTGAAGAATTCGAGCAAGGCCTGCACGCCTTATCTCTGAACACCAAGACGCTCCGGGAAGTAGAGAACATACAGAACCCTTCGTGATGGCCATGGCGTATGTCATGCTTGAGGGACCTGTCAGTCATTCACGGTAGTCATGCCGAAAGATATTCCTGACAGTCGTGATCGAAAAGCCCAGCAAACGTCGTCGAGCGTCGATCTCTCAAGGAGCTAATACTCCCATATAAGTAAAAGAAACATTCTCTAGCGACAACACTCTGTTCGAATAGTGGCAAGAACTCTGCGTTTCGTGCAAAGCGTTTGAACCACCAAAGCCGGGTCAGTAAACATCCTTACAACGTCGCGCTAAGTATCGGCCAGACAGGCATCAATTATTTTGTCCATCCCAGTGCATCTGATGATTCGGATCGACCAGCCCTCGCACGCTACCAGAAGAATCCATGCCAATGGATCTGGATGGCAAGAATTGTTAGATTGATAGGAACAGCGTCTACATAGTTGCTGACGAACGCGAGTCTCTATAGTTGTGAAGAACCGCTTTCAACTACTTGCGATTAGGAGCATAGCCTGGGAGAGTTACCAGGAGTCTCGGAAGGGGAGATCGGGGAAGCTCTATGAACACGCTTAATGCGCGGTCAAGCTGGATAACGGACGATCATCAGATGGTCACGTCGCGGACCTCGGCACATCTCGCGGAAACTATGTTCGCTGATACCAGTTTGGCAGGGCTGCACAGAGCATGGCTAGACTTTCTGTAAGGCGACAGGTCGTCCTGCCCATAAAGCGCTTGAGCTGCTGTGGGATTGACGACGAACTTTCCTCGCGAATGAGCCACCGGCGTCCGAATGATGGGAACAGCTTGCATTCTCCACGTTGAAAGTGCTTCATTGAGCTCGACGGCCCGACCGGTAGCAGCCAAGGATTGCCTTGAGGATGTCTGGATGTCAAATGGCAGACGTGGGTCGCCTCACGCGGTCGGGTAAGGGAGCCCGGCCTTCCTACGCTGGGAGCTTGCGTGGGCCGGTAAATGGAATCAGGAGTGCGACGCGGGCCTGGATATCATTATTTCAACTCTATCGACGAACATTGGCTGCACTGACGACCTGATCTCCAATGCTACCGTGGCAGCGCCGACGATCGTTTCCTCCGAGCCACGCCAGGTCGGACTCGGATCCGCGTAAGTATATATATCGCTTGTGGTTCCTCCTTCCGCTCTCCGATCCTGGCATCTCCTCCTTTCTGCCTCTCCATTCAAGCCATGTCCCATCCCGCTCGTCACAGCGACGAATCTCGTCGGTGGGAAGACAATAGGCCCACTCTCCCGCCCATTCGAGACCTGTTTGGACGTGAGTATTCCCCGACTGCCTTGTGTTGGTAAGCGCCGAGCTCGTGATTATTAATGTTTTGTGTCTTCAAGGCGAATTGGCTCGTCCCCCACATCCTGATCAAGGACTTCAACAATCCCCATACTCCCATCCCACTACACAGTTGCCTCTCACTGACGAACCAACGATGCACCCTGTGCACTCGAATGCTCACATCCCTCCACAAACAAACCGAGGTCCCGCGTATCATCCGCACAATTCTCCGCAGTCATCATACATGGCAAATCCCTCTTCGCCACAACTACATTCGCATAGAGAGTATTCAGGACATGCGCCCCCACGCTCATTCACCTCCCCGTACCCAGCCGCCACGCCGCCAGTCGTTCCGGCAGGTCACAATCGCTCGTCATCAACTCCAGATCCTCGTTATCCATCACAATATCCCCCCCGTTCAAATACTCATCCGGAACCATGGTCTTCTCCTACCTTCACTCGTCCTACTGGCTACTCTTCTCAATATCAGGCGACGGCGATCCCCCCACAACAGGCTGGCTACCCGTCTGGCCCTATGTCTGGTCCATCTTCCTATGGACCACCATCGCTCGTGCCCAGTCGTTCCCCCTACGAGATGCCATACCCTACGGTGCCAGAACCCGTTCCTTCGTCTTCAGCAAAATACGAGTGCAATTATTGCGGCAAGGGTTTTACTCGTCCAAGCAGCTTAAAGGTCGGTCTACCCTTCATTATTTTATGTGAGTGTGGGTGTTAAATTTTCGGATTAGATCCATCTACATAGTCATACTGGCGAGCGTCGTAAGCGTCCGGCAAATACTCAGGGTCCAGGTTACGTGCACTGACACCTCATATTTTCAGCATACGTGTGTACTGTTGAAGGTTGTGGTCGAACATTTAGTGTACAGAGCAACATGCGACGACACGCGCGGACACACGGTCTACCACGAGAGGACTCTGGCGATGAGGAGGCAAGCGAGGGATCACCATCAATGTCGGGTCGCCGCCCGTCACCATGAATCCTCTCTCGGATCGCTTGCTACCTTCGTCGCCTTACCGCAGTGCGAGCCGGCCACACCGCCTTTCAGCCCAACACCTCTTTACGTTTATTAATTTATGTTTCCCGATTGATGACCCTCATTGCACGAAAGGACCCTGGCCTTGCTCCATATGTTGCTTTTGGACCACTTCTGACTCTCCAGTCCATTCGGGTCTGCCACCTCACTCTCGTCAGGAGTGCATGACCCCCTAAACTTATTTATCACTACTTCACTGCCCACGTCTATTTATTCGAGTATTTATACCTCATCCACCATGATGCCCCACACATCTACGACGTTTGTAATCCGCTTCAGCGTGCAAGTGTACAGTCCAGTACATTATTACTATCAATGACTCGGTCCACTTAGGCCGTATGTACTCCCGACCACCATGTACCCGGACTGTCTTTCGTGCTGCGTACCATATCAGCCATTATTTTATGTTCTATGTGTTCCTAGTGCGTGAGTGCCATGTCATAACTTTGTGCCCTCGTGCATCATGAGTATTGAGCGCTCTTGAGCACTTGTCGCACATGTCGTCTGGGACTGCGGGGGTGGCGACGGGTGTACGCTTTGAAATGATGTGATGATCAGCAACAAGTGAGATCGATGTTAATTTCGTGCCTTGATGAGATCGGGAAGTGTACCGCCGCCGGTGCTTCTGACGATCATCCGTCAGGAACAACCCGGCGGCATATATGTCATTCCCGTTTGGGTCGCCGTAGGGCCGGAGATATCTGCCAAGGGTGCGTCTTGATGAGTCTCATTCGCCCCACACAGACAAAACTGGAACCTCCCCTGACGGACACCAAAACTTTTGGCTTGTGGCTCTTCCAGCTGACCTCGACATGAAGGCGATCAATCCCGACGGCGAGACATCTGCCCTTCCCACGGAACGGATAGACGGGGAACACATCCCCGCCGCGTTCACTTAGACCCGAGAATAATAGTTTAGGCACGATGTCAAGACGTCGCAAGACACGGGAGAACATAGTCTCCTACACAGATATGAAAGTTGAAAAAACAGTGGATAGCGAGTCTGAGGCAGACATTAGATAGGGCATATATAGTACAATACATATCGGGGATCGAGAGCATATGTCCAGTGATAGGGTCATAAAAACGCATAGCAAAGCAAAACAGGTCAAGGCGAAAACGTCCAACGACCACCCACCGAGCTGGGGAGCAGACCGGGACGAATAGAGCCGAAAGAACTAGGTTTCTGCGGCGACAAGTACTTGTCGTATTTCGGTGGAGACAGGGCGGAGGATGAGGGAGAAGTAAGATGAGGAGTAACGAGAGGCGTCATATTAGGGCTGCCTGCGTCGGACGATGCTGAGGAACGGTCAAGGGGGGCGAAACGTTCGATGCGATGTTCAGAATGATCGTCCCGCTCATTGAATGAAGGCGCAAAATAAGCACGAGAGTTCAAAGCATAACTAGTCGGACGGGAGGAACTAGGAGCGAAATCATCCTAGGAATATTGCGATAATCGTTTAGGACGGCAGTTGTCGACAACGAACGGATAATGGTCTCACCTCGTCATCGGAGTCAAAGAAGCTGGCGTCGACTGTCTTCCACTTCGATGGCGGTGTTGGCTCGTCCCTTGTCCAGTCGTTAGAAGGCGGTTCAGTCGCTGAGGGAGAAGGATCTTGTGGCGTCGCTGCTGCGTTGGAAAGTTTGGAGGTCTTCCAAGGGGGTGAAGGTGGGTTATGGAACATAGGTTTTGGTCGTACATCTTGAGGTTGTACACTTGGCGCAGAACAGACAGGTGTGGTTTTCTCGGAAAACGCGGACGAGGCTTGCCAACGGCGCGCGGCGAAGCTGACAGGAGACGGTTTCCACAGGCCACCGATAGAGGAGCGAATAATAGGTTTCGGGATGGTCGTGTATCTTTCCTCGTCGTCGTCCGTATACTCTTCCTCTTCATCATCTTCTTCTTCATCGTCTTCTACAGAAGCTTCGTCCTCCGGGCCTTGTACGTCCTGAAGATTCTCGGGTGGTATCTCGACGTCGTCAAAGCCTTGATCGAGGGCATTGGCGAGGGGCTCCGCCGGGTCGTCTTCTATGGCAATAGGACCGTCAGACTCATATCCCTCATTCGAGGAGGAGGACGACTCGTGCGAATCCCCTTCCTGGCGATACACGGGCTCTCCATCGACCTCGTGTGGCGCGTCAGGCCGGGGAGACGGAGCCCATGCCCGACGAGCGAAGGAAGCAGGGTTGGGAGAGAAAAAGAGGCCACCCACGGACTTGAACCCAATATCTCTCGGCATCGGTGCATTGGTTTCCTCGTCCGCAGCGTCGGATTCTCCCGTAGAGAGGGGGTCGTCGATCCAAGGGAGATGAGAAGATTGGTCTTTGCGCTCGTCGTTTGGCTCTGTATCGACGTCCATCTGCGCCGCATCTTGGTCCTCCTTCGTGAGGTCGATCGTATCCTCCTGCTCATACTTCGAGTTGAGCCCCATGCCTTTCTCCCTTCCAGATTCCCGATATTCCTTCTCAGCTTCTAACTTCCGACGCTCCTCTTCCTCTGCCTTTTGACTCCTCACTTGCGCCCTTTCTGCCCGTGTGGGTTTAGCAGCTGGTGTAGCGCTAGACCGATTCTGCTCTGAAGAGCTGGAAGGTGCCAAAGACTCGCCCTTCTTACCAAACCTCCCGTTTCCCTGCCGAGGCTGGTCATCGACGACGCGTGACTTCGCCGATCGGAGGAGACGTCCGTCCGATGTCGAAGAACTGGGAGACGCATAAAATGAGCTTGAAGCAATGGGGCCAGACGCCGACGCGACCGAAGATGTTTCTGGCAACTTCTTGGTGGGCGTGCGTAACGACTTGTTCGTTTCTGGTGGCTGACTTTCGCGAACCTTGGCACTAGGTGTGCGTGGACGCGCACTGCGATGAGATGGGTTGGCTGTGGGCTCTGTTGTTTCTCGAGTGGGTGGAGGATGAGGGCGAACAGACGGGGCTGAGGGCTTGAAGCGCTTTGCGGCTCTTTCATCGTTCGGGACGCTGGCGCTTTCTTGACGACGTTTGTGGGAGGATGAGGCTGCCGCAGAGAGTTTGTTGTCCAGCGTTGGGAGGATCTTGTGTGTGACATGTCGCGGAGGGGGCTCGGAGGGTGTATTCTCGCGGGGTGTCGGGATAGGAGCACCAGCTTGAGCTGCTGTTCTGTGAGGCCAGTCGAAACCATAAATTCCGGAATGGCGCATACACCTATCGGGAAAAGATCACATAGCAACACACATCAATTAGAAATAACTCTAGCAGGCTATTCTCGCGCTTTGTTACGCACCTTGGGCATTCGATCTTCTTGGTCTTCTTACCTGCGGCGGTAAAGTCACCCCAGATGACCTTGCCACCCATCATGATGATGGGGCATAGTTTGCCGCAAACATGGCAGAGAGGTTTTTTAGGATCAACCTTCTTGGGTTTGGGTTTTTGCGCTGGAGGTGGCGCCGGTGGTGGGGGCGCAGGCGGACGCCCACGGAGCGTGCGATGTTCGACCTCCGGTGCTGCAACAGCCTTGCCTTTGCCCTTCCCATTGAGAGGGGGCTGAGCGGGCGTTGTTGGTCGGGAGTTGGATTGACTACGAGCATTGCGAAGAGTAGAAGCACGTGTGGATCGTGTTCTGGAGCCGGAACGCGATGCGCTTTCTGCAACAGACGCCGTTTCTTCCGAGAGCGGAGGGGTAATGAGCGGAGGTGCCGACATCTTTGACGCCGCTCGCGCTTTTTGAGCGCGTGTCGAGATAACCGGTTCAAATGCGGCAGAAGAGCGTGTGGAACTGTGCTGGTCGTTCGCTGTCGACATCGAAGGGGCATCGGGGACGGAGGAGAATGGGGAAGATTCGTGGTTGGGAGTCATAAGACCATTGACAGCGACGCTGTGGGAAGGTGCAGACGTCGCCTCACGGGGTGTTGCAGTTTCTGCATCGAGCTCTATAGCCGCGGCCTCTGGATCTTGATCCTCGTCGTCGGTATCGTCGTCATCTGTCTCCTGTAGAACGGCATAAACCCCTCGCCTCGTACGTCGCTCGTTTACGTTGACCTCGGGTTTAGAGCCGTCCTCGGCTTCTTCCTCTGAGCCCGCGCCACCATCCGACAGATCGCCTTCCTCTCGCTGAGGTCCATAACCTCCGATTCCTTTCCTCTCACAAGAGGCGCAGAGGCAGTGACAATTTCCTCGTCCGACTATTTCGAAATAAGCTCGACAATGCAGTAATCGAAAGAAAAAAAAAAGGAAAACGTACAATAACCGTCCCCATAGTGTGCTGTAACTTCCTCTCCGACGGCGATCGGTTTGATCACACGGAATGTGATGTAACGGCCTTCACGGAATAGCTCGCAGTTGTTATCACAGTCATGCTAGAAAGGCCGCAGAGGACGGAAAAGGGTAGAGTGGCATTGAGTCTCTCTCACCGCGGGACGTCATTGCGGTCACACATATGGTGACCGAGAGCGGGAATCGGGAGGAAAGAGGTTGAATGACACGGGAAAGCACTCACGTTGACGAACCGGGCCGGGCCCAAGAACAGATGGTTCTTCTTGAGTTGCTTGGAGTGAATGACACTGAAGTCACGACGGATGCCGCCATACGAGTGTCGAAGGTCATCGGTACGTTTGAGTTCCTGATCCTCCGCGTCGGTAAGGTCGGCCATAGAGCCCTTGAGCTCGGTGATGACGGCCCCAGGCTGGAGAGGGCGAGTGGCGAGAATGCATAGCTCTGACTTGCCCGTTCGGAAGGTGTAGCGACCGGTGTGCGCTATCTCGATAGAGCCGGACGGGAGATAAAGCTCAAAGTAGCGAGACGCGTGGCTGTCGGGGACGACATTAGCCTGAGATGAACTCGGAGAAAGAGAGAGGGAAAAAGGGTCGAGACATGTGAAAGAACGCAAGCTCACGTGGCGAATGCGTTGAGTTCCTTCGGGAGGAAGCCCTTCGTGAAGTGCTGGACAGAGTTGAGACTGCAGGAGAGTAGGGGTGAGACGGAAAACGCGTGTTTCCCGGGTGGCTAAGGCACGCACGAGAGGAGTTCGGTTACAGCGGTGCGAATCGCGTTCTGTGGGGGCCCCTTGGACGTGACGAGCTACACGATCGTTGGTCGATGAGGAGATCGAAATATATTAAAGAGCGAGAGGGCGATAAGCAAGGTGCGGCGCGAAGGAAAACGCGAGAAAAAGACGGACGCGTTTCATGATAGGCTTCAGATCCTCGATATTCACTTTGGTCGGACGGCGACTGGGGTCCATCTTGTGGACCTGTATGGGGACCATCGGCGCGCTGAACTTCTCGACGAGGAGATGGGAGAGGAAGTCGTCGTCGCGCGAGAGGTCCTGCATGTTCATGACCTTGGTGAACCGCCATGTTGGAGGGGTGGCGGCGGCGGCCGTACGCGCGTGCGACGAACGTCCAGCGGACGACATGGAGGAGCGCGAGACCGCTGTGGACGACGACGAGGGCGGGGAAGAGCCGAGTGTGGGAGCGCGGTGGCAGGGAAGAAAGGATGCGTGGAGGGAGCAGGCAAAGCAGGGAGGCGGTCGCGTGGCTATGAGCAAACGCGGAATTACCACAACCGGCGTTATATCTCCTCTCGCGCGCGCCTCCCGACTTCACCCTCAATCCCATTTCGGCCATCTCAAACAGGTTTCGCCACTGCCTCAAGCGCTCGCGTCTATTGTTTCGTTCAGGACACGCCCATTGTCGGACGTGTCCACTGATCGCGCTTTGACCGTGTCTCACGCAACAAGGGCAGCATGGAGGCAGCAGAACGGGCATGGGTCTCATACAATAGAACTACTCGAAGAAAACAACAGGCATGGGCATAACGCTTTTTGTAGAACCTCTGCCACGCAATGACCCCAATCACGACGCAGTGAACGTCCAACAAGACGAGAAGAACAAGACACGAAACGACAAGAGGATGTCTTATGCGCCGTGCGCGTGCTTCTGCTTGCCGCTACGGAGCTTCCTCACGTAGAACTACGAAAGAAAAAAAAAGTATCAGCAAAAACACAAGCACGAGTTACAAGGCCACAAGACTGACCTCGAGCTCCTTGCCCTCCAGGATGTAGCCATCGGCACGGCCGCACTGGCCGGGTCGGCTGGAGACGACGGCGTACAGACGACCAGCACCGAACTGGCTCTCGAGCAGAGGGTCAATCTTCGCCTCTGGAGATTGAAGAAATATGTTCAGTCATCTTGAAACAACCTTGCATGAAGCGACGCACCCTTCTTCCTCTCCTCAAGGTGACGCTGTGCGTGGTTCGACAGCTTTTTCGGCTCCGTCTCCTCCTTCTCACCGGCCTGCTTGGCAAGCTTCTTCGACACGGGGAGGGCGTACTGCAGAGCCCCATCAGCGCTTTCGCTCACAGCGTCGTGGACGAGGTACTTACGTGAGCCTCATACCACTGCCTGAATGGCGTAGCATCGACCTGGATGATGGCGCTCTTCACGAGAGTGTTGGTCCGGACCAACTCGTTGTTTGATGCGTTGTAAACCTATGAATCCGCACAGCCCAATTCCAAGGTCAAGCTATGAAAAACAAAACGTTCTAAACAAAGACGATACGCACGACACCGATGATACGAGTCTTCTTCGTCACATGTTCTGATCCCCAAGCAAAGTTGCCAGCATCGAGACGAAGGGCACGGAACTTGAGGTTACCACCACGAACGCGGACAGAGTGGACACGCTTGGGGCCGAGCCTGGTGTTAGCGGCCTGACGACCGAGCTCGAACTTTCGCTTCTTGCGGTAGTGGGCGCGCTGGGCACCGGTCGCCGAACGTTTGTGGCGGGAAGAGCGGGAGATACCTGTGTATCGAAAAAAATCATGAAGGAGCACGGTCAGTTCGATATTGCAGAAAAAGCCAGAACATTACTACTTGCCTGAATACGAGAAGATCGACAACCATCGACGACAGGGATAACAGAATGGTCAGTCCAGGGCACACAGAGAGCAGAGAGCGTTGAGACGGCACTGACCCATGTTGGCTTGTCTTGAGGAGGGGCGTCGACGTGCGGCAAGGTTTGGATGATACGACGAAAACAAGGTTTGGATTTAAGCCCCGCTCGGTTTCTACCGGTGACGCCACATCCTTGTTCCTCTTCTGGTTATGTGGCCCAGGGGCGCTACACATCTGATACGAATCCTTCAAACCTATTCCTTCTTCCAGATACATCACTATGTTTGTTGCGTCGCTTTTTTCAAGCCCTCAGCCTCTCTATGTACTACAGTTGTGTAAGGGACCCAACACGAAGCGGAGATGAACAGTGTCACGTGCTAGATATCTCGTTGCAATTGGCGAGTCAGGTTGAGTCGTTGACTCCTGAGCTCAAGACTCTTCTGTGGATTCTGTCTGGTGCTCCTCGTCTCTCCACGCCTCAGCCATGGCGTCCAAAGTCCCCCACTTGATGACCCTCGCCGACCTCTCAGCTCCCCAAATCCTCCGCATCCTCTCACACGCACACCACCAGAAACACCTCGCCACGCCATGGCTCCGACCACAACAAGTCGGTGGCAAGAAATCCCTACAGCTCTCCAAGCTGAAAATGCCGTCCCAGTCCCTGTTCAACAAGTCTATCGCGCTCTTGTTCTCTAAACGAAGCACACGGACTCGTGTCGCTGCAGAGACGTCTGCCGTGCTCCTCGGAGGACGCGCTCTTTTCCTTGGAAGGGAGGATATCCAGCTCGGTGTTAACGAGAGCCCTCGCGATACGGCGCGTGTTATTGGAGGGATGTGTGAGGGCATATTCGCCCGTGTCGGTGACCACTCAGAAATAGAGGTTCGATCTTCCATGTTATTGCTGTTATTATCGTTCTCATCTTTCCAACGCGCAGGAACTCGCTCGCTACTCGCCCGTACCCGTCCTAAACGCTCTCTCCTCCCTCTGGCACCCCACCCAAACCCTCGCAGACCTCCTCACCCTCCACGAACACGCCCACCTCTTCGACCCCTCCATCCCCGCTCCCACAGAAGACTCCCGAACCAAAGGCGTGCCCTCCCTCCCGATGCTCAAGCCCCTCACGATCACCTACGTCGGAGACTCCGCCAACGTCCTCCACGATATGCTCGTCACCCTCCCCCGTCTGGGCCACAAACTCCGCGTCGCGACACCGCCGCAATATGGGTGCCCGGAGCCGGTATGGGCGCGTGTGAAGGAACTCGGGTGTGATGTCGAGGGCGCGCAGCTGGAAAGCGGGTTGCCTGGGATTCCGAACGGTGGGATTTGGTGGGGTGCGGATCCTAAGGAAGCGGTGAAGGGCGCTGACGTGGTTGTTACTGACACATGGTGCGAGTTTCTTCTACTTTGACGAGTGCGGTCGGTCAAGAGCTTACTCTCGTTAATTGTATTGAAGGATTTCGATGGGCCAAGAGGCTGAGAAGGAGGAACGATTGAAGGCTTTCGAGGGATATCAGGTAACGGAGGCGCTTTGCAGGGAGGGTGGTGCGAACCCGGACTGGAAGTTCATGCACTGTCTGCCTCGTAAACCCAACGAGGTCGACGACGAGGTACGTTCATCATATTTCAATCCTGACGGGGCTCAGCTGAAAATTGGCTAACTCTTTGTAGGTTTTCTACGGTCCCCGGTCACTTGTCTTCCCGGAAGCTGACAACAGGAAGTGGACCATCATGGCCGCGTTTGAGTACGTGGTCTTCTCTACTCTCTCGAATATTGAACACTGGGCTAACCATGTCAATTAGCCTTCTTTTCGGAAAGTGGGACATCACTGGTGAGCGTGAGGCAGCCCGTAGGCAGTCCTTCGCACAGGCTCTCAAAGCCTGATCTTGGGATTTTAATCCAAGTATAAAAGAGACTTATCGACCTCCTGTAATTCGATACTATCCACATCAAAATCTAACCCTCCATCGCGAGCGTTGACTTCCAGGGGAAGTACTGGACCAACTGATGTGGCGTAAACGACATCGGGTTGCCACAACGACTCTGTACTCCTGACCGGCTGGATTGATGAGTTGCGGACTTGTAGAAGTGGTTTCTGCGAACACAGGACACCGCTCATGAACTTCACGAAATACCCAAGGATACCTCTGAGCGCCACATAGCCCATTTGCAGTTCGCTTGCAGAGATCATCATTCATTTAGGATGCTTTGTACTTCCGCGGTTGGAGCGCGCTAGAGCCAGCTGTGACGATGATACGGTAGCGGATGAACGCTTATTTTGCCTAGAATTGCGCAGGCGACGACATCGGGTCCGTCGAGCGCTTGTACTGATTCTGCGCATCATGATCGTCCTCGTTCGTTGCCAGGATAAACAAGTGGTCGTCGATCTGTGCTCATGGTCAAAGCAGAGGGATCCGTTGGGTGAACGAACGGACAGTCTGCGTCGCTCGTATCCCCTTGCGAGTGTGTTCATATGGTCCACCACAGTTTCTCTGGGCAGTGATGCGCGAAGGTTGATACCTCAAACGCGTTCGTGCGTCTAGAAGGGACATAAGCCCGCCAGCGCAAGAACCAAGGCGATTTGAGACCGCAGGGGAAATGAAGGGACATCCGGGTGTCAATTGAGTAGATAAAGCGTATCTGGGCAAAGGTACACGAGGAGTCGGAGAAAGATGGTCTCGGAGAGTGAGAAGAGGTGGCAATAAGGATAGTATAAATACTGAACTCGTTGTGTGAGCACGTTCCCTGAGCAGGGACGTGCGGCGAGGCCATACCGCGTTTCCGGGGCGATAAGTGATTCTTGAACATGCGATCGCCGAAGAAGTTCTAGGCGAAGGCCCGATATGCACACCTGCGGTGAAGACGTGGGTGGAGGGTGCTATAAAGGCAGTGATGGACGGGCACGCGCAGGGGACGCCTTTTGGTACATACGCACGCTGGCCGATATATGCATGCAAGTGTGCTCGAGCGACGGACGACGGCGACGACGACGAGCAGCGACAGAGACGGTGGCGGGGGACTGGGGCTGGTTGGACGGCCATCGATCTGCTCGCGGATTGAGGAGGAACGTGAAGACGGGATTTCCCCTTCGGACCTCCTTCGCGCACGCTGGGCCAAGCTCGCTGGCGAACTATATAAGAAACGGAGCCATCGTCCGCCCAGACACCAACCCAAACCACCCCCCATCCTCTCCACCACCACCACAAAGCCCTACCACTCCCCAGCCATGGCAAACCTCATGCCCCGCTCCGACTCCTTCAACGCCCGCGTCCGCGGCTCGTCCCATATCGACTTCAAGACCGCCACCACCGGTGTCGTCGCCAAAGCCATGCGCAACGAGCTCTCCCGCCTCGTTAGCACCGTCGAGGACCCCCAGACGAAGAAGGTCAGTTGCGTTTTTCCATTCATGCTCCCGAATGCTCATTTTGGTCCCCTCGTAGGCATTCGACACCGAGATGCAGTCGTTCTTCTTCCTCTTTACTCGTTACCTCGCGGAACGCGCTCAGAACGCGCCTCTGTACGTCTACACTAATACCCCTATCTCTGCGTCCATCTGACCTGCCCCTTTAGCGACTGGGACCGCATCAAGTCTCCCGGCGAGGACCAGATCGTGCCCTACAGCACCCTTACTGCTCCCGAGAACACCTCCAACCTCAACAAACTCGCCGTGCTCAAGGTCAATGGCGGTTTGGGTACCTCCATGGGTACGTCGTCTTTATACCATCGTTCCTCCATGGACCTCAATTTTTTTTTGTCAGGTATGACCGGCGCGAAGAGCGCCCTCGAGGTCAAGGACGACATGACCTTCCTCGACCTTACCGTCCGCCAGATCGAGCATCTCAACACCACTCACCGCGTGGACGTGCCCCTTATCCTCATGACCTCCTTCAACACCCACGAAGATACCCTCCGCATCATCAAGAAGTACGCAAACCAGCAACTTCGCATCACCACTTTCAACCAATCGCGTTACCCCCGTATCTTCAAGGAGACCCTCCTCCCATGCCCGAAGAGCGCAAATGACGACAAGAAGCATTGGTACCCTCCCGGCCACGGTGATTTGTACAACGCCCTCCTCCATTCGGGTGTCCTCGACCAGCTGATTTCGGAGGGCAAGGAGTACCTTTTCGTCTCCAACTCGGACAATTTGGGTGCCGTGTATGTTACTCCGAATTCCATTCTCAGAATTGTCGTTCTGACTTGACGTCCGAATTACCAGTGTCGACCAGAACATTCTCCAACACATGATTGACAGCCAGGCTGAGTTCATCATGGAGGTCACTGACAAGACCAAGGCTGACGTCAAGGTACGCAACGTGCCAAGCAAACCGCAGTCGTAGCTCCAGCTCTGACTCCGCTTTTCTAACTAGGGTGGTACCCTCGTGGACTATGAAGGCTCTATCCGTTTGCTCGAGGTGGCGCAAGTGCCTTCAGAACACATCGAGGACTTCAAATCCGGTTAGCCACCTATTCGACCCGCCCAAATCGACATGTTTTGACTTCGTTATTTCTAGTCCGCAAGTTCAAGATCTTCAACACCAACAACATCTGGATCAACCTCAAAGGTATTGCGAGTTGTTTAACGCCGTCAAATTCAGCATACTCATCACCATCGTACAGCATTGAAGAACATCATGGCCAACGAGCAGATGGAGCTCGACATCATCATCAACCCGAAGACAAACGACGATGGCGAGGCCGTCGTCCAGCTCGAGACCGCTGCCGGAGCCGGTATCAAGCACTTCAAGAACGCCCACGGTGTCAACGTCCCCCGTTCCCGCTTCTTGCCCGTCAAGAGCTGCTCGGATCTTCTTCTGATCAAGAGCGACATCTACTCTCTTCAACACGGGCAACTCATCATCAACGAGCAGAGGATGTTCGAGAGCACCCCCGTCATCAAGCTCGGCGACCACTTCAAGAAGGTTCGTGGCGTTCTCGGCCGTTTTCTTTGTGATGGTGGCGATTAACGAGTGTGGCGTTTGTAGATTCAACAATTCCAGAAGCGCTTCAAGAAGATCCCCAAGATTGTCGAGCTCGACCATCTCACTGTCACCGGCGACGTTTACTTCGGCCGTAATGTGACCCTCCGGGGGACCGTGATCGGTACGTTCATACGGCGTTTCGTCATTCATTTTTTCGAGGCTGATGGATTTATGCAGTTGTGGCCAACGAGGGTCAACGAATCGACATCCCCGATGGTTGTATCCTTGAGAACAGTGCGTGCTCTACGCTACCTTCGTCACTGATACTATCTGACTGACTGCATTTTCTCATTCGCAGGGCTCTTGTCTGGTAACCTCAACATGATTGTACGTCTATCATTCTCAATCCCTTGCTCTCCCACTCGACCTAAATTGATCTCTACTCTAATAGGACCTCTGAGCGGTATACCGCATACGAGCTAGACGACTTAACGATCATCAGAACAGAACGGACGTAATTCTTGAATTTTTGTACGGCACGCGAAAGACGACGCGTCTCGAAAGTGGAAAGAAGTTCTTCGTCTCTTTGTATCACAAAAAAGCAAATCCGCCGTTACTTAGAGGCCGACCGTCATCTATACCCTACATAGCGCCTATACATCTTTTTTTCTCGGTCGAGGTCTTCGTGTTGGCCTGCATCTTGTGTCGCTGTTCTTTTTGTGTTTCACTCATACCTTACATATACACACGGACATATATTGGCAAGGAGACGAGGATTGTGTGTGATAGAGGCTGAACTGCGATGGAGCGGAAGATCCTCGATGATTGTTCGGTCTTGAAATCCATCGACGTTGGAGTCATAGCAGAAGACGCCGACCTAAGTTCGGAAGGCCTCATACACAGCAGCATTGATCGTGACACTGTCCTACAAGGGATCCAGGAGAGCCTTCGGAGTTCTTCTACACGTAGAATACTCTGTATTACTTCAGGTATGCGCACCACAACCGTGCTAGACTCCTTGTTTACTCTATGTACAACCACCACGGCCCACCATCCACTCTGCAGTCTGCACAAGCATGTGCAAACCCAAGTCGGAGGCAGCCAAATCGTCCATGCCATGAAAGAGAAAACGAAAACAAGAAAGAACCAGATACGCGAAATGGAGGGATGGAGCGTAAAGAGCCGTAGATCGTTGGGTGATAGATTTTTGATGGTTGATGGGTTGGGTATGGGTATCTAGACTAGGATCCGGACGAAACCTCTAGTTATGCACACGACAATTGGAGTAGGATGCGTATGGGCACGCGAGGGGACTCGGTGACGTTTAGAGGTCCTATAGAAGAAAAATAGACGAGGGATTAGTAAAACAGTTTGTTTACGTTGATGGTGGTGGTGGCGTCGAGGATCTGTGGAGTTGTGTGTGCAGGGAGACAAAACTTACGGTCATGGTCAAGTTGCCGGAGAGCAAGCCTGGAGTTACGGATTTTCAATGATTGCATCGGATTCAAAGTGATTGCAGGCGCAGGGGGGAATTATGTCAGAGTGGAGTTCAACAAGTGAAAAAGGGAAGGGACGAACGGTTTTCCAGAATGCAACCGTCAGGGATGTCGATCCTTTGACCCTCGTTGGCGACGACTACAGTGATGCCACAGTATCAGCAATTTGTATGAGCGTACAGAAGCAAGAAAGAAAAGAGGGAGAGCAAGCTGTGATTTGGGTTATAGTGAATGAATGAAACTGACCGATGACGGTGCCACGCAGAGTAACATTGCGGCCAAAGTAAACGTCACCGGTGACAGTGAGATGGTCGAGCTCGATGATCTTGGGGATCTTCTTGAAACGCTTCTGGAATTGTTGAATCTAAATTGGATAATCACAAAGACAGATCCAGCATTCAGTCCCCTCGAGGATAACTGTCTCGATTTATGACATGGATAAAAGACGCACCTTCTTGAAGTGGTCTCCGAGCTTGATGACGGGCGTGCTCTCGAACATCCTCTGCTCATTGATGACCAACTGACCGTGCTCAAGGGAGTAAATGTCGCTCTTGATGAGCAACAAGTCGGAGCAGCTCTTGACGGGGAGGAAGCGGTTACGAGGAACGTTGACACCATGTGCATTGTTGAAGTGCTTGATGGCGGCACCAGCGGCGGTCTCGAGCTGGATGACGGACTTCCCATCGTCAGTCTGTTTGGGGTTAATGATGATCTCGAGCTCCATGCCCTCCGTGTCCATGATGCGCTTGAGAGCTAGCGTTAATGATGGTCAGTGACGGTCAGGTGCACGGACGAAAGGAGATAGCATACCCTTCAAGTTGATCCAGATGTTGTTGGTGTTGAAGATCTTGAACTTGCGGACTGAGGTACAGGACGGAACCGTTAATGAGTGTGATGAGGGTTGGAAAGGCCTCAGGACATACTGGACTTGAAGTCTTCCACGTGCTCTGAAGGCACCTGTGCGATTTCGAGAAGACGAACCTGGCCCTCGTAGTCGATCAAAGTACCACCCTTTATGCGCAGCGTAAGACACAATATTCAAAACACTCGAGAAGATTAAATAAGAACCTTAACGTCGGCCTTGGTCTTGTCGGTGACTTCCATCAAGAACTCTGCACCGCTGTCAATCATATGCTGAAGGATCCTCTGGTCGACGCTATCAGTACGATAGGCCTAGGTCAGAGTGATTCTGAAGACGACAGCGCTCGAGGGCTTACACGGCGCCCAGGTTATCCGAGTTGGAGACGAAGAGATACTCCTTGCCTTCCGAGATCAACTGGTCGAGGACGCCGGAATGGAGGAGGGCGTTGTACAAGTCACCGTGGCCGGGAGGGTACCAGTCCTTCTTGTCAGAATCGGCACTCGGGGGGCAAGGAAGAAGTGTCTCCTTGAGGATACGAGGGTAGCGCGATTGGTTGAAGGTGGTGATGCGAAGTTGCTGGTTGGCATACTTCTTGATGATGCGGAGGGTATCTTCGTGTGTGTTGAAGGAGGTCATGAGGATGAGGGGAACGTCAACACGGTGAGTGGTGTTGAGGTGTTCGATCTGGCGGACGGTAAGGTCGAGGAAGGTCATGTCGTCCTTGACCTCGAGCGCACTCTTCGCACCAGTCATACCTGATGCATAATTAGTACAGGGTCGAGGGCCAAGCAAACGTATAGATGCGTACCCATCGAAGTTCCAAGACCTCCGTTGACCTTCAAAACAGCAAGTTTGTTGAAGGCCTGGGTATCCTTGACTTCTGGGAGGTTATCATAAGGCACGATCTGGTCGGCAGCAGGAGACTTGATACGATCCCAGTCGCTAGATTGTGTGGCGAGCTTAGTTACAGCTCCATGACGAGCGGATGTGGAGACTCACAGCTCCTGGCTTTGAGCCTTCTCTGCCAGGTAGCGGGTGAACAGATAGAAGAATGATTGCATCTCGATATCGAAAGCCTGCAGAATTGACGGTTAGAACCGATACATGGAGACAGTGAGCGTTACTGCGCGTTACTTACCCTCTTCTGGTTGGGATCGTGGACAGTCTGGACGAGCCTGTTGAGCTCATTGCGCATCGTCTTGGTCGCAACACCGGTAGTCGCACTCTTGAAGTGCTTTTTACGACGAAATCGACGAAGACGAACAGGTGTGATCAGTCGCAACATATCGAAGGTGGGGCGAATGGATACAGAAGATTCGGCGATGGGCTGTGGATGGACATAGGGTAAAGCATATTGGTACATACCATGGCAGACACGCCCCTTGTGCGAGGCGACTTCGCAGACGCCGGTGAGAGAGAAGATGCCATTGTGAAGCTTTGCGTTTTCGGAGGATGCGGTGAGTACGAGGTAGAGTTCAGGTCGCGTCCAGAAGATAGCAATCGGACTCGTCCCCATTTATACCCTCACTCCAGACGCACGTGGGCGTAACATGCGGCTCCGCCGAGTACGCAACTCGAACCCCACAGCAAGTTGATGCAACCAACATTTCTTCGTTTCGTTCTTTTACAGCTCGAAGCGAGTCAGGGACAGGTTCTAATTCTATATTAAGGGTGCCTTTCCTCCCCTCCAACTGCTGCTATATTTCTCTTCCACTCAACGTCCTACAGGTTACATGCTCACGCACAACATCAACTTTTAACAAACTCGATGAGCGACATGACATCCGATCATGAGAATAAAGAGGAGATGTTGCGGGAACAACTGAGACAGGCACGACGGGAGCTTGAGGAAGAAAAAAGGGCCAACATCGCCGCGGATGCGGCCTTACGGGCACAAGAGGCACAGGAATCACGGAAAAGGAACGACGAGATTCTGGGCCAGCTGAGAGACCTCGCTGGAACGCTAGGAGAGCAGCGAGAAATGCATCAGGAGTGTCGCAGTATGGGACAAAAAGTCGGTGATGAAGATGGAACAGAGAAGAGCTCCGGGGTGGCCACACTACGAGGTATGATGAACGAGCTTCGTGAGGCGCAGACAGCGCATGAAGGGCACCACAAAGAAAGGGCAGTGAAAGCCGGTCGGTCTCAACGCATTTATGTGTCCGACAGCATGGAAAGGAACTGATAGGGACCGTAGATGTAGACGCTGTCCTTGCAGAGGCACGAAGGAACAACGCCGAGCAGAGAGCGACCTTCACGTCCCTTTCAGATGGTCAGTATTATTAGTTGTGTTCTTTCAGCTCAAAATAAATTCGCCCCTTACATTCTCAATCACACAGAACTTTTAGAAGATTCAGCAAGACACCACGAGCATCTCCGAAGCCTTCTGCTCGCTTCAGCGTCAGCTAGAGAAAGCCTCGCTGACGCTTGACAGCCTTGGATCAGTATTATTTGGGAGGAACGAATGATATGTACCATCGTTTGTATCATGACAGAGTGAAGAACTTCTCGAGGGCATATACCGCGTTACCAGCCGCTTTCATGCATCGGCTTACCATGTCGAATGCCCGGCAATGAAAAATTTAGACTCTGGTGGATGCCTCTAAGTATCTGAAACTCGAGCACGCAAAAATACCAAGGTCAGATAGCGGATAGAGGTATGCGGGAAGCGACAAGTCTCCGAATTATGTCGGTCAAGCGCGTAAACTACACAGACAACGGCTGTTAGACAGGTTGAATGGTCGTAGGAGTTGATGGCGCACATAGAGCCGGATAACTGGACCATGATGTTGATATCGTAGCAAGCCTAAGTAGAGGATGTGGAACTTCATCGTGCAGGATGTCGGAATTTTTGGGAGCCGGATTATAAGGCCTTATAAGGCATTTAAGCCATTTCAGGCCGGCCGAGTCTGGTAATGATGACCAGGGGGGGTAAATCACATTATAAGCCCCCTTATAAGCGGGGCGCTTCTTAATAAATATTATGAATAAAAGGGGCCAGAAGGGGCCAGATCTCACGGCGCTTCGGGCACGCGGTCGGACATGCTAGTGTGGCCCCGCTCCTGCAAGCCGAGGAGTACAACAGCGATGATGATTGCAGTTTGCTATATCTCGGCGGTCGAGCCACGGGTATAACGTTGAATGGTCACTTTCGTGGGTTGTGGCCATAGAGCGACATCCCAACGTTTGATTTGAGCGAGTTTGAAGGCATTTTCGAGCTGGGGGGCTCGGCGCGCATGCCTAATCGGGGAACAGAATCTTGCCACTTGATCGGGAGTGATTATAAGTTGTCGGCCCGGCTGATAAGAGCTTTTAAGGCCGGTCCAACCATGGTAATCGATCTTATCAGGCCATTGTAATCTAATCTACTTATAAGCTCCACGAAACTTTTCCGACAGATGAGAGCCAGGTCAAAGGAGCTCGGAACCGCCTTTAGCACTCTAGATTGTGAGCGTTCACTCAAGGCTAAGCTGAAGCAGATCATAAACGAGCCTGAAATCGAGGTGGTGGAAGGAGTATAAGCAAGGTTAAGAGACCTTTGGGCCAATCGCGATTCGCGAAGGCGCCACCCGTCCTCGTCGCCACAACTCGTTGCTTGTTCCCAAACCGTCATGTGGTCCTACTCAATCACACTGAAGTTTCCACAAAACCGGCTGTCGTGTCCACTGTTGAAGCCGGTGCTTGGAAGTCGGCGCCTTCGTTGTCTTTGCCTTTGACCACCATGGCGCCTCACAAACAGCCTGCAATCCAACAGCAAGTCTCCTCTGATGAGTTTTACAAACGTACCGTCGCACGCATTCAGGGTATACAGGGGCACCTCTCTCAGACCCCACGGGGCAATCGTCTGAAAGGAAAGGTCTGCGTGATCACAGGTGTCGGCTCTTTGAAAGGCATTGGGTGCGTTTCTCTGAATGCATATCGAACATCCGACAGACTCAATACTATTCGATATTTGTAGCCGCGCATCGGCCATGCTCTTTGCACACGAAGGTGGGTTTTGTTCGACGGAATCTGTGGCGCTGCTAATGAAAGTCTTCGAAGGTGCACAACATCTTTACCTTTTGGACTACTCGGAGGAGAACCTCCCGAATCTGAAGTCGACGATAGAGAGAACGTATCCAGACGTAAAAGTGTGCTATCTTCACTTGAGCACTAAGGCTTGGCTGAAGCTCTCTCAATGTTTCACTCGCTAGGTGGCGGTGTTGCAAGCGGATGCTGCAGATGAGCAGGCCATATCAGGTGTTTGCAAACAGGCCATGCAAGAAGAGGGACGCCTCGATGTCTTTTTCGCAAACGTTAGTGTTTCTTTAGGTGTGTGAACGCTGGGATCATACTCATAGCTATGTGATCAGGCTGGCATTGCCACCGCTGCCACACTCGACGATACAGATGTTGATACATGGAACGAGACCATGAGGATAAACGCCTTGTCGTGAGTGTATATTCTGTGCACGGGAGATTTGGCTCGATGAATTTCATCGTCAATATATAGCTGCTTCCTTGCCGTCAAATACGCATCTGCAGCGATGAAAACCCCCAACGCTTCTCGAGGAAAGGATGTCAGTAGAGGCAGCATCATCCTCACTGCATCTAGTTTGTGACGCTTCTTTCTCTGCCTGATGCTATACGACTAACTTATTTTCTCAGTCGCGGGTCTCAATTCTGGCGCTGGTTCAGTAGATTGTGAGTTATATTACTCGGTCCAAACTTGCGTGTGTGTTATTCATCATTGTGCACGGGTATACAGACAGCGCAAGTAAAGCAGCGTAAGCATATCAATGCCTCCTGATCCTTTCTTTGTAACAAGGTCCTTATGGGACTCGCTACGCATGCTACAGTGTCAACTCAATCGCAAAAACCAGCGCATGGCAGCTACAACGCTCCGACGTTCGAGTTAACTCCATATGTCCTGGTTTGATTGAAACAGGCATGACAGTCGGGACCTTCGACTATGCTCGCTCACGAGGCACCGGGGCCAAGATAGGCCAACTGAATCCTATGGGCAGATATGGAGTCGCCGAAGGTACTGCTTTCTGTATCCCTCGATGTATCGTTGCTCATATCTACTCGTACACTAGAAATTGCACAAGCTGCTCTATTCTTGGCTTCAGGTAGACGTCTTCGAAGTGAATCATGGTTGGGCACTCACTCTTCGTTCACAGATGACTCCAGCTATGTGAATGGCCAGAACTTTGCAGTCGACGGTGGTCTCACTAGTTCAGTGCCTGTGGTCCCTGGGAAGTTTGCCTAGGCTGCTCATGTTCATTTTCCTATCTAAAATGCTATTTCCGATTGTACTCTAGTGTCGTGTCTCGCTCTCGCAATAAGCCTTGATATTCAGTCTTGACCCTCTCAGCCTTCGGGATCGACTAAGAGTCTGAAACTCAGGCCAAACACACTCGCTCATGGTTTTGCTGTCGCTGAAACTGACAATTGTGCAAGGAAGGGATTTAAATGGAGAATATCTGGATGATCTACAGGCTCAAACCCGAATTAGGTACATAATGACCACCGCGATGACAAGGGTCTGCCAAGGTTCCACTAGCCCCGTGCCGCTGAAGTTGAACCACTGGACAAAGACCAAGGCCGTGGCGCTTGCCCAGTTCATCATCGTCCCCTCCGGTCTGCTCACCTCAGTGCGACCTTCCCGAGAGGGGATGAACCTCGCATCTCTTCCCGCTCCGACATTCAACTCATCCTAAACTTCCTTCTGAAGCGTGTCGGGATATTTTCTGTGGCGTGGTAAGGCGAGTAAGTCTAATCTTGTCGATGGTACTCCTGGCGCCCAGATGACTCACCACTCTGTCTGTCTTTAGCACAAAATGTCGCCGCATCTGTAATAACCTGAAAAGGAGAATATGGAAGCTTTGAGATCGGGAATGCGGACTCAGTATTCTCGATGAGGTTCCTTCTGACTCTGCTGAGCTCATATGTTAGGGGACCACGAACAGGTGCTTGGAGCCCGAGTATCATTCAGGCAATCCTTACATTCCCATGGTATGGACTCTGTCAGTCATCGCGAGGACAACACGATGGATGGCAGGAGTGAAGTACCAGGGACGAAGAATGTACCAGAATCAATGCTCGAACAACATCTACTAGGCCTGCCTTTTGAGCGTCTCTACCTGTATCCACGGCATCGCCGCGAGCCTCTGGTGGATGAGATGTCTATCACGCCGCCCAAACGATGTGCAGAGATATATGGCTCGCCAAGAGGAGTCCTTGTCTACTCTTGCCGCCGCACTCACAAAGACTAAATGGTGCATTCGGCATAAGGGTGCGTACCGGTTTCTCAATGCTCCAGCCGCCGCGGGCCTTGCTGGAAAACAGTCCTGACCATGGTCAATCGGAGTCTTTGCTCGAATCAGATAGAGGGAGGGGGTTGCAAGACCGTTAACGCTCGGTCCTCTTCGCCTTTATAACACTTGACGGCCGACATCACGAGACAAGTGAGCTGGTCCGTGGCTGAGGGTCGTTCTAGACTTTCGGTCGTGGAGTGCTTTGAACGTCTTTACGACCCTTCTCTGGCCAGCTTGTGATAATTGCGGGCCTACTACGGTTCAACTATGTGCCCTCCTTACTCTCCGCTACATCAGGTAGGCTACCCAGGAGGACCCCTTCGTGTATCTATCGATAGTTCAAGCTCAGCTATCCATCTCATCATTTGACCTGGTGATCAAGCAGGGAAGGCAAATACTTTACATGTTTGCTCTTCGCGGCAATGTTGACCCACAGTCATTCACAACGGCGTTCGGTGAAGCAGAGGAAAACCTCGAGTACGTCCTCTCCCCGAAAGGTTGTTCGATGAGATATGTTCCAGCTGAGGCTTGCTCGTAATTGTGCCTGACTACCTTGCCTCTTTCGCTCGTGGCTTGTTAGGCGGCCCGTCGAGGAAGGGGGTGCAGAGGCGCAATCTAGCCTCAGCCTCAGCACTGTGCTTGAAGGGTCGAAGGTGGATTTCGACCTTGATTTGCTTATTTATACGGAGCTACGGAGGCGTATAGCCTAAGCCCTGCGTGAGTAAGTCTTAATTAATCTCTTCCCACTGTGGTACCACCTCTTGTCTGCGCTTGTGTCGCAGAACTTAGAAGCAGGCACAAATTTTATTGACGCGTAGACACGCTTTGGGTTCACCTTAGATGAAAGAGCACGTCTTCGACGCAGCCACACACCACGGCTTCTGTATTTCCGTAGTTTGTCCGTGGCCCTTCCTCAGCAGGTTTGAAATCAGCGAACTTTCGGCAGAACGACCAAAGGAGCAGATGGAGAGCATGGCGGAGACTGTGACATAGACAAGAATGCTCAAAATGTCGGTGGGTCTCGGCCTTGAGAGCGAGTCCTACACGTACGTACACAACCTTCACAATCTTGAGCACAAATTTTGCATTAGAGTTGATAGGCACAGTTCCATTGATGCACCCCAGAACCCAGAAAGACGACCGCTGACCAGGATACCCAACAAGTAAGGTGAACTAATCGCCTCCGAAAAAATGGCAGTAGATAAGATCCTCAGGAAGTGTTTAGGTTCGAGGACAGTCGGTCCTGAAGGCGTCACAGGGCTCGAAGGAAAGTTCGATGTACTCAGAGGTATACCTGCCCGCAGCGCGGGATGCCATCCAGTCGAGAGACAGATAGGCGAGTCCGAACAGTGCTGCCGCCTCCATGAGTATGTTCAAGAAGAGGCGAAGGCAACTTAGGGTGCTCGTGCGAGACTCATGGATCTCATCGGTGTCCCTCCCTTGATTTTGTGTTTTTAACTTGAAACCCGATGAAAGAAAGCGGCACATATTCCATCCAGTAGATCGAGGTCATATGGGCTAGAATTAACGTCATTCGAGGTGGTCTTGCTGAACCCTGACGAACCCAACCTATATTAGTCCAGAGTTCAGATAACACAAAGAAGAGCGTGTGTTCGCGACATTCGGAGTCGATCCCGAGAGCATAGATTAATCAAGAAGGCATTGACATGTACGGAGTACTTTTGGGTTAGGATCACGAACGTCGACTATCCAAGTGACAGGAAAGTCTTCGACCCGGCTACTTGATGTCAACCATTTTTACTTCTACAGCAGCAAAGATGATAGTGTTAGCAGAGTGTATTCCAAGCATGCATGGTGGAATGAAATACCGAATGTCAAGGTGGAGTTCGGGGGAATGGGCCCGCTCTTCTTGGCCCCATAGCCCAACTTTGGAGGGACGACGAGTTTACGCTCTCCACCGGCCTGCATGCCAGCGACCCCGATATCCCAACCTAAACAACACAGTTAGCGAACGGAAAACCGCAATGGGGGCAAGAAAAGACACACCTTTGATAACCTCACCCCTTCCGAGAGTGAAGGAGAACTACAGAAGCAAGATGCGGGCCATGATTAATTGCTAACACTAACTGAATGGATGAAGCCACGAACCGGTGCGCCCTTAGTATTCGAGTCGAAGACTTTTCCGTTCGCAAGCTTGCCAATATACCTCATGTTGACGGTGTTGCCTTTTTTTGCCTGAGGACCTTTCCCGACTGTGACGTCGGTGATTTGAATCCCGCTCTCGAGAGTTCTGGTTTCAGGCTTTTTCTCCTTCTCTTTCTCCTTCTTGTCCTTCTTGTCCTTGACAGCATCCCCGTTCGTCTTTGCAGCATCGACTTTGGCATCAGACCCGGAGGGAACAGCGGCGCCAGACTCGGCCTTGAGCTTCTTCTTTTGAGCTTTGGTGAGCTTCTCAGGGGTCTCTGCATCTGCCTCGCGAGTTCGCTTCTTCGACGCCACGGGAGCTGACTCCTCTTGGATTTCCTCAAAACGGCTAAATATTGATGGGAAAATACGAGAACCGTTAGGCCAAACAGGAATGTGGCAACATCATGAACATACTCTGCGTCGTCACTGATGCCGTCCATTTCCTCAGGGTCCATACTAAGATCGAAATCTTCTTCGTCAGACTCGGGTTCAGAGTCGTCGTTATATGGAACATCGTCTGGGGTTTGGTCTAGCGATGAAAAAAGTTAACCCGCGGTGGCCAACCATTATAATGCGTGGGACGGACATACCGATGTAGTTGCCGCTAAGATATACAGAGCTGCGATACGTAAGTAAGATGAAGCGTTGTAGTAGGTGTAACGGCGACTGACTTCTTGCCCACTACTTCGATTAAAAACTCGTCATCTTGGGTCAGAACCACGTCTACGGTCGCCTGTTCGATCTAGGATAGAGTGCATACAAATAAATTATTAGTTATAGACAATAGTAGAACATGAATGTAACACACTTTTCCAGGAGTCAACGAGCAGAGAACGGTAGTCTCCATCCGGGGCGGGTTCTCATCCTCTTCATCCTCATCCTCTTCTTCATCCTCCGAATCTTCAGCATTGGGGACGATGTAGTTCAATTTAACGGTCGTGCGCCCGGTCTCGTCAGCAAGTTGATCACTGAGAGCAATGTTTGTGACGCGGATGTCTGCAGGAGGGGAGACTGCTGCAACACCATCTTCGCCTGGCTGCACACAAACACTCCTACAATTTGGGAGAAAAAATAAGAGATCAGTAAGTATGAGTATTCAGAAACACAAGGGGATTTACCAAAGAGCAAGGGAGACGGTCATCGTGATTTTTAGGGAGGAGGGTATGGCGGTTCGTGGAAGAAAGAACGAAACGCGTCAAAATTTGAAGTCTCCTCGTGAATACCTCACCTGCCTTATTTGGACACAGCCTCAACGCATCCCTTACTCCGCGACCATGGTCAGTGCTCGCATCCTCGTCTGTCTGACCTGCGATGCGTGATGATTCACCACTGATACAACTGCATGAAATAGTCTAATGTCCTACGACCTTACCTCGCCGCCGTCAGGTCAACGCTGACTGCAGCTTTGACGCTAGAGAACTTCTCGTCGCAGGTGAAGCGTCATAATCATGTACCTCGAGACCTGATCCGGAATAGTGACCTCGATGACAGGTAGTCGAAAGGCATAACAAACCCGAGGTGGAAGTTGCGTGAGTAGTGTCCCCATAACTGTCTTGATTGACACTGACCGTTGCGCTAGAGGATCGAAGGAAGTGTTACTGAACCCCCTGATCATTTCACGAAACGAGAACGAGCGCGTCCTCGTCGAACCATCCGTTAACTCCATACGAATCAGCATCAAGATTAAGCAGGCGGATGAGATAGAGCGTATCCTGTGCCATAAGTTCACTCGCTTCATGATGCAGCGTGCGGAGAACTTCATCGTCCTACGGCGGAAACCCGTCAAGGTGCGTTGAGTTACCTATCGTTGCTTCTTGCCTGAGATCTCATGTCTATGCTCTAGGGGTATGACATATCTTTCCTGATTACAAACTTCCACACCGAGACAATGTTGAAGCACAAGATTGTGGACTTCATCATACAGTGCGTACCGTTACCCCTTTCCCCTTTATATATGAGCCTGACTCTTTGTCGCTAGATTCATGGAGGAAGTCGACAGGGAGATCAGTGAGATGAAGCTATCCTTGAACGCTCGGGCTCGTATTGTCGCAGAGTCGTATCTAACTGCTGTAAGTAGATCTTCACTGTCTCGTGTTCTTCCCCCGAGCAAAGCTAATCGCAGTCGCCAGTTCAACACGTGAACCTCTCGTCGCCCATCGCGGCATCCAAACCATTCGACTGTCATATTAGGATCGCTTCGTCATTGTCTCGCTCACCAATACCTCTTCAACTGCGCCGAAATACTCCTCTTCTATCATGTATCGAACATCGTCCCGGTTCGTTGTAATTAATCAGTCTTTCCTATATTCGAATGCTGTTATGGACTGTACTGCGGATGTCCGAGCCTCGTCAGCGCGAGCAGTCGAGGCTAGACAGTACCTCTCAGGAGGTGCTGTCCAACCTTCCCATTGAATACCCCTCAACGGTAGTACCATACGGACTTTCAGGCCAGCGGCAAATTACATACGGACTATAACGTGTTATGCGCACTTCGAAGGACGAACGGTAACCGACTAGATGTTTCTATCCATATTTCCGTGCCCCATACGCCGACCAGCAGTCACCGACCAATTTGGGATACATCATACACTTCGAGTGAGAATTCGGACGAACAGACACAAGAATGCTCACCACTGTCTAGTAAATCTGATGACACTGCATTGTACTATGAGACAATTCGTGAACATACTCATCCATGGGCAGAGAATAATGAAACGGGAACTGCACAGAGTGAGAGTGAGAGTCCGGAGCAAGGCATTCCACTTACAATGGCGTGACCGTTATAATGAGAGATACCGTCGTGACAATACGTGACGTCACGCGTGTCGCGTTTAACTGCAAGGACGCGTCTCTTGCTCTTCTCCTCAATCACCAACGTTTTACTCTCCGACTTTCTTCTCTTTTCCAATCTTGTTCTCCAGTCACCCAAGTACCTTCTGAGAGATCTAGCTATGCCAAGGGAAGATGCAGACATGGGTGGCCCCAGCAGAGAGATTGCATATGACCCAGACCAGAACCCCGAAGAGAAACGCAGATTGCGAAAAACATATCGAGCGTTGCATGATGGTACGTGATTTTTCTTTCACAGATTAATTCAAAGCCCTGATACAAATTTTTTGAACCCTTAGTGAACGCCACTGCTAACGATTTCACCACTCAGGAGCTCACTGATAAGGTGCACAAAGCAGACAAGCTCTTCCATGAAGGTACGCTTGCTTTTGCAATCATTCTCTTCGGAAGCTTATATATAACTGGTTGTGCACATAGTCAAAGCACCACAGGAAGCGACTTTGGACTCCATGATGCTTGTTAATCTCTCGAACATGGGTGCCGTGAAAGCTCGTGCCATGAAGTCTGGAACAGGCTCTTTTGACATGGACGACTTTGTTGCGAAGCTGATCACCTTCATGGGTGGTCGGAAAGGCGGAGAGATGCTAGGGAATGCAGACGATGACGCCGAAGATGATTATGAGGACCCGAGTCAGCCCCTTCGTTGGGACTTGATTGGGAAGAAGGCATTGGCAAAGAGTCGTCGGGTTCCTGTGTCAGATTACATGTCCGTTGACCTTTCTTCCTTCTGTTATCCTTTCTCTTTTTACTTACGGCCCTTTCGTTTTCTAGGCTCGGTCCTCTCGAAATTGAGCAGAAAAAGCGCAATGTCGGGAAACGGGCGAAGTTAGAGAAGAATGAAGCGGACAAGACCAAACCTCAAGAACTGCAAGAGGAGGATATTGCCCGATCGGAGAATGAGACCACCAAGAACGTCGTAGTAGTAAGTGAAAGCTTCGTCACCTTGTGATTTCCCAGCCCCCGCTCAAGACTTTTCGCGACTTTCAGATTCGACAACTTCTGGAACAACAGGGCAACGTGAACCTGTTCAAATTCGTGATAAATCCTCACGACTTTGCCCAATCAGTCGAAAACATCTTCCATTTGTCGTTCCTCATACGAGACGGCGAGTGCGCATTGGACGTTGAAGACGGGGAGCCCATGATATGTATGTTCTGTGCTCCGCTGTTTTCTTGACCGTACTCAAACAGGCCTTTGCAGTTATGTGCGAACCTCCCAAAGACACCGATTACGCCGACGGCCTGAAGAAGCAGCAAATGATTCTACAGTTCGACATGGATACGTGGAAGGTATTTATTTTGTTTGGCGTTTTCCTATCTCAACACTAGTGAACTCATCATTGCATCTCACTCCAGCGTGCAATCGAAGTCTTCGATATCCAGGAACCTATCATCCCACAACGACCGAAAGCGACAGCCGCACAAAAAGACGGCAAGTGGTATGGTTGAAACTCATACTGCTGGAGGTGTTTGTACTGCTCTCGCTTCGTTCATTTGACTATCTATCCTTCTTACCTTACTCACCGCTTTATCGGTCTATGTTAGTCTTACTTATTTACTTCTGTGCCTGTATTTTTGCTGGTTGGATCCTATTTCCAGTGCTGACCCCGCGGCTTCACGCGGTTGATCCTGGACACAGCTTTTGCCTGGTTGTGGAACTGTTCGACTGTTAGCTTGAGGCGTGAGTCACAATTCACTCGGTCCAAGAGCATAGGCGAAGTAATTTGCTTCGTACCCTTATACATAATGGATAGCGATAAAGGTAACATGCGTTCATGAGATGTCGAGGCAACAAGTCTCAGAGGAGAATTTGTTCGTGTGTTGTACAAGATGGTACGTCATGAATCGATCGAAACAAATCTTTAGCAATGCGTCCTTGGATGGAATGGGAACTTCAAAGCCCCCGCCGAGTTGTAAATGCCATAGCCTGGTTCTTGGTCATCGCTGTAGATGTGTGCGAACCAGCCTACGCCACCTCCCACCACCTTCTTCAGATCCTCGCAGTGTTGGTCGAGGACATTGTAATATTCCTATATAAACAGAAGACCGATTAGTCGACCAGTCGAACAAAGAGAAACATAGGGACATGTATACATGTTCGTTGGCTACGTTGGCGACGGCGTTTGGACTATTGGGTTGCACACTGGGCGAGGTCACGGAGGGCCATCCGTTCTGGTGCCGAAGGATAGATCAGATGATTTACCTAAGAGTACCTCAGCAAGAAACCTCACCTCGTCAAAATACATCTTCTTTCCAGAGCCATGCTGAATGAACCAATCCAGATTCTCATTGACGACTATAGGCCATGAGTTATTCGCTGAAGATTGGAGTAATCAGCGAAATGCGCATGAGCTCTGAATCAGGATGTGCAGTCTGTACCCGTTGATGCATCTTGACTGAAGAATGGGAGCATATGGATGTTGCTTTGGAACGAGGTGGGGTTAGACCACGAATAGAAACCAAGAAGAAGCATGACTCAGTACTCACATCGAGTCTATGGCATCCAGGACGTTCTGAGCGCCACCCCTCTCCTGGTATCCATACGCTAATTCTGACACTGTGACCGGAATATGAAGGCTAGAGAGGTTGGCCTTCGCCGCTTTGACTTGAGTCGTGAGGTCATCAGGGCTCAGGACATCGTCAAAAAGAGGCTCTGAACCGAATTGAAGAACTCGGGTAATGTATTTGGCCTTGGGATTTGCATGCAAGGCTTTGAAGAGGGTGTTGCGTCGAGAGATCCATATGTCGGATCCGTCAAATCCGAACCTACACAGAATGGACATGATGTGATATTATTATAGCGCGATCAAAGATAGTAACCAGAGGTGCGGACCATATCAAGGCATGAACGCCGAGGGTGTTCTCCCATGCAGCTGTAACAATATCATCGCTATAAAAAAAGTCAGCTTCGTGACGAATCCCTCGATGATAGAGATAAGAATAACACACTAAAAGCCCTTACGATCACAAGCGCCATAGAGCCGAACGTAGCGAGAGTTGAAGGTCGTCCGGATGTCACGAAACTCAGACCTGAGTTGACCCAAGCTCTGGCCTGCGTAGAATGTGAAAATGTGAGTAAACGTATGGATTGAGCGATCGCATTGATATCTCACATGCGGTGACCTCGTAACTGAAGCCGACGAAGGCATACTCGTCCGCTGCGTCGCACCACCAGCCTTCGAGACTGTCTGGGACGTGGGAGGGCATCTTAAAGTCTAGAGCGGGAAAACAGGATGTAGACCGGCGTGAGCCTACGGAAGTCTCTGAGTCCGTTCTGCCTGCATGGATGTTGGTGGAGTTAGGAGACGGGAGTGCAGCAACCAGCACAACGAGACTTAACAGAAGCAGTAAGAGCATGCTTGGAGAAGCAGGAGCTGATAGAGGGCAGAGGAGCTGGCCTATAGGATCTGTCGACTATCTCATACTTAAAGCTATACAGCCCAGGCTGGAAAGCACTGATGTACAGAAACGGACGGGAAGACGCGTTTCCACATGGTTACATGGTCACATTTCATACTGTCCTGAGCGGGACTGGGAAGGGAGATAGAGCGGGTATATCGGTTGAACAGGCCACAATTGAGCGAATTACATGACGCCGCCATGCGTACTTGGGCAAGTGTCTGGGACGAGGATCCTCTCGAGGAATAGCAATGGAGGAAGACGGTGCGGATTAAAGACAGAAGGCAGGACAGAGGTTAGAGCTTTCGGACGGTCAGAAGACAGTAAGTTGACGTTCGTGTGTTCCGCTGCTGTCCTTGTACATCTGAGACGCATTGTCACATAGTAACAGCGTTTGATATCACCTGGTTCTACTTCGAGCGCTGGCATCTTCTCGCGCCGTGGCCCGTGTGCCACCGAATCGCGGGGAATTGCGTTGTTCGAACTTGCCTGAGGGAAAGGGCTATTGATCAGTCAATCACGGCCATCTTGGGTCATAATGCTCACCTCGTTCTTGTGGTGTGGCGGGCTCAGGACTCGTCACGCTTACTGGCTGTTCGCATCGCAACGTAGCACTAGAAACAGTGGACCATACTGCACCGTACATCAGCTTTGAGGATCCGCTTCAGAAAGACGAAGGACTGAGGGACATCCTTGATTTGAAGCCTTGAAGCCCGGTCCTGAACGTGATCCCCAGCTCCTTCGATCGAAGAGAGAATGAAAACAATGCGATCAAGACGTGTATGCTTCACGTCAACTCATTACGATTAAGACTAAATTAGAATCTCCGGGGTAAAACAAACGAAAAACAGATAGCTGACGATGGACAAAGACCGTTCATCGTAGGTGAGAGGGATCAAGGCCTAATGGAAGCATGCTCTCGTCACGCAGAAGTGACCTCTTCCATGATGCCTTGGCCAACTGAGAAATAGAGTGTCAACAGTGTGCGTTATATGAAGCACCTTGCTGGACTTACCTGCTTCAGGGCCTCCGAGGCTGAAAATAGGTTCATATGGTCAGGGACTTCTCCCGCATTCTAACGAGAAATATCAGCTGTCCGGACGCAAGATGCAGGAAATGGAATCCCATACGAGTTGGCCTTCATCCATATCTCGGAAGTGTGTTCGCAAGTCAGAGGGCAGGCGCGAAGGCAATACAAGAACGTGAACTGGCGGTGTAAATGGGCGCGCAGGTTTTGTTATTCTGGACATTTCCTGGTGAAGAGAGGAAAAAGACGATTATAAAACAGCAAAGGGTTGACAACGATACAGGGCACCATACCATAGCTGCCGATAGCGCAATACGAATGTCGCACCTCTTCGCGCGGGCGTCTTTGCCGACGAGCACGAAGAACTCCCAACTGCAGTCAATGAGGTATACCTGGTCCTGGTCAAGTTCGCTTGCAAGCGTGCCGATGGGCTTAACCTATCCATCACGGCGTAAGCAGATCCTCACAGCAAGAGCGAGAGAGAGAATGCGCACGCAATCCTTGCCTCTCGACATGTCAACGGACCAGACCCGTGGAGAAGGGTCCTTATCTGAAGTCGACCTCCACCGCCAGTAATCTGCCTTCGCATACTCATCCGGTTGGCCTAGCATCATCCAGAACATTTCGTCGTCATCGTTCTCCCCTTCCACCAGCTCTGTCGGAGTAGACTCCGCACTAGTAAGAGCACGGGCATATGCCATAGCTGCTTCGCGCTCCTTTGGGAGTGAGCCGCAACCATGCCAGACATAGACGCTTCCGAGCAGCGTCAAGCAATAGCTGAACCCGGAGCAGAGGTTGGAAATATCCTAGAATGCAAGGTCAGCATCGTCTCGACTAATCAAGGCAGGCGAATACATACGAGGTCTACTTCGTCGATGGTAATATAACCCTGACGAGAACGGACGACGTGCATCGTAGTGTTTTCAGCACTCCAGTGCGAACGAGAGCCCTGTAAACTGTCAGCGGTGTGATAGAGTAAATGCAGCATCAAACTTACTTGTCTAATAGCGATCTGGCCACCCAACACATGTATAAGTTCGTCAGGCTCTTGACATTGCGGTACAAATATCTGGGGGCCGTTGTGAGTTGTGAGTTCGAACGAAGATCAGATAAACGATCGATGTTGAATGTTGACATACCATTGAGGTGCCATGGTGTCGCGCAAGGTCCTTGATCTTCCGCTCCTCACGTTCCCCCATCTGTGCTTGCTTGCCTTTCCAGCCCCACACCTTCGTCGCCACCAGACCGCTCGACTTTGTCTTGAAGCGATGAACTATAGCGAGAAGCTCAGACTCGTAAAAGATGTTCGTGTCGCTGTCGATAGTCGCTGCTGAACCACCCGCGACCGCCATGACGTCGACAGAAATGGTAAGGATACTGCTGTCAGGCTTGAATACTTCTGGTTTGTGATTCAAGAGGTCCCGAACTTTGATGAAGGGCAAGGGTTCGTCGATGTGGTCTGCAAAAGTGACGGGGTGAGCTAAACCTGACTTCTTGGAACCGGACATGACAAGACTACCTACGGAATTCGATGAACTTTGGTTGTTCTGGTTTGGGAGCTTCAGAGACGGACGCCGGGGAATCTACAACTGGTTCAGCCTTAGGTTCCGCTTTGGCTGCTTCACGTTCTGTCTTATCCTCCACCACAGCGGGGAATTCGTCAATCACAGACTTCGCATCACGAACAGCCATCGACCCAACCGGAGTAGGCGTCGGCGTCTTCTCTTCCTTCAAAGGTGGCATCATAAACGCCGAATACTTTTCGTGGCTCGACTGTCGTTTCGCCATCGAAGGAGCATGCAGTCCGGAATCCGACGGTCGACCCAACCCGATAACATTTCTCTGTGATGATTCCACAGGGCTAGGACTGGGCAGAGCAGCATCTTCTACGTTCACCGCCACGGGTGGAGGTAGAGTGCTGGACGATCCAGCCTCCGTGCTGTCTTCGACCGCTTGCTGTTCACTAAGAGCCTGAGCAAGTTCCATAACCCTCGCCCGATTCCCCGTGCTTGGAATACGACTGTGACGCCGGGGCGAGCGAGGGGATCGTTCGCTCTGAATTCCAAGGCCCGCTGTCGTACTAGTTGTCGTGAGACCAGGTAAAGCATGGGCACCGACGCCACCTTTTCCATTCACTTCTCCATTGCCATTGCTCCGGCCACTAGAGGGTGGCGAGGGGTACTTGGTCGTGGGCTTGACGCCGATGATAGCCTGATCGGCCCATCTGTCGGCAATGCTGGAGACTTTAGATTCCTTGGGACGGGAAGAGGATGGTGTGACTTCTGGTTCTGGAGTCTCTCGCACGGGGGGCGTAAAATTAGTCGGCGCAGGGACGGTGGACGAAGAGGTGCTGATCGGGGGGCGAGACGCCGTTGACAGCTCCTTGGAACGAGAAGGGGGCTGCGGGGAACCGTTCGGTGCGTCTGTCTGAATGGGCTTGAAGGAAGGGGTGGCGATCGGAATGGTTAAAGCCGAGGGTAGGGCCGTGGTTGTGGTTGTGGGCTGAGGCGGAAGGGTAGGCAAAGGCCTGGAACTCGTCTTCTCCTGTGGCGGTGTCGGTGGCGTCTGGCTCTGAGTTTGGGGGGCAACGTCGACAGCTGGTGCTGGCGCCTCGTTGTCGTTGTCGTGGGGTTCACGGAACGAGACCGTGGCCTTCTTTCCCTTTCGCGGTCTCTTCGCTCTGTCTTTGGTGAGCTGAAACGGTGCACGAAACGAGACGGTTCGGCAGCATTGAATGAAGCAGGGTGGCAGATACACGAACAACAACAAAAAAAAAACCAAACACAAGAGAACAAAAAAGATTAAGCACATATGATCATAGCTCTAGACTTGACTCCTAAATAACACGCACATGGCTCAGTGGCTTTCCAGGTGACGGCGGGAGCACAGCGGCAGAAATTCCAACAGACGGCTGTCCTCGCCTCCCCGCTCGTGACCCAAATTCATCGAGACCGTATGAGGCTGGAAAGACCGGACGATAGTTTGTAGCGGGAGTGACGGGTCGAGAACTCGCAGCTGGGGTGACCGGCCGGGAAATTGCTGCTGGTGTGGTCGGACGAGAAGTCGACGACTGAGAGGGAGCATCGTCTCCGGTCTTCATAGGCTTGATATACGAGACTAGGGTGGATGAGGATCCCAGTCCTGGAGTTGACGTGGTTTCCACAGGGGTTTTCGACCTCGAAACATGAGATGTCCCGGTGTGGGAGGCTGTCAACGCGGGCACAGAAGGGACGTTCCGTAACGATCTACCGGTCTGCTGGGGTTCGATGACAGCGGGAGGAGGGGCAGAATTGGTGAAAGGCAAAGTCTCAACGGTACGCGATTTTCGCAAGGCGATAGGTTTCGGAGCGATCGGAGCAGGCGTGCTTGACGTAGATTCCGGTTGATGCCACCTATTCACAACAGATGAAAGACGTCTGCCACCCCCGCCACCTGAAACCAGACCAGTCGGAGTGCTGGTGAGGCTACCCATCTCCGAAGGCCCTTCGAGCTGACTGCTCGCCTTGACCATGGACTGCACGAACCCACGTCCCTTAAGTCGACTCAGACTCGGTGTCGGATCTTTCTGCGCCGATGGTTTAAGGAATGCGGGAGATGGGTTCTGGGATAGGGGAATGTGAGGGCCATTGGAGAGGGATTTGGGGGTGGGTTGGATGGGACGTGCGAGGGAGGTTGAGGTGACTGTGGTAGGGGATTTGGGAGAAGAAGATACGCCCGTGCTCTGAGGCCGTGTTGAAGGTGGCCTAGCCGGTGTAGTAGTAGTATCTGTGGGTTTGGGAGAAGGGGTAAACGTGCGAGTTACGGGAGGTGATTTCAAAGCGGCAGGTATATTCCGTGGTGGTTCAGCGTCAAGAGGCGAAGTCGTAAAATTGCGTGATTCCGGTATAGAAACAGATCTGGGAGGAGGAAGATTGGCGTGTGTGGCGCGGGATGCTGGGGTAGCCGCTTGGATGTTGATAGGAGGAAGACCAGTCGGAGTGCTCATCGTGCGAGGACGGGGTAGATCTCTGGAGACGGTAGATCCTGTCTTCTGTGGCATGACGACCTTTTGGTCTACATGCTCCATGTATCGCTGTAGCGCAAGCGAGTTGCTGAATCTACGAGGACGAGGGACATCCGGGGCCGCATGAGTAGTGGGTGGCGAGCGCACAGAGTCTGTTCGATCCGAGTGCGGCTCTTCTTGGGATGTTCTGCCCTTCGCAGCAAGCCCTGGCATGGCGACTCCGGTGCGTCCGAAGATAGGATGTGGGGAGGACGCTGTGGTGCGCTGTTCGAACTTGGTGGGGTCGTGGGTATCTTGTTGAGCAGGGTGTTTATTGAGCCTGGGACCAGTTGCGCGAGCTCCCATGAAGGAGGCGAGAGAGACGGGCTCTGCTCTCGAGGCGGGTGAGGTGATTGGTTTAGTGGGTGGAGGAGACCTGGATGTGGCGGGAGGAGGGGGTGCAACTGCTCCAGAGAGCTTCAGGAGTGCATCTGCTTGCGCCCGCTGTCGGTCTGCAATCGTCTGCATATCATCGACAGAGTCAAATTGATTTGAACCGATTTCAACCAAAGGCTCAGTGTCCCTGGCAGCTACAGACGCGGAACAAGACAGACGTCAAGACTACTTTAGCAACTAACTCGACAGCATGAGAAATAGCCCGCCCACTCACGAAGGTTCACACCGCTCGTCCTTCCAGTACCCCTCCTCACCCTCGCCAACCTAGACGCAGCGATCTCCTGCTCCAGTTTCCGCTGTTCCTCGACCTCGTCCGCGTCTACTTGTCGTTGGAGCGCCTTGATCTTCTGTGTCCATTCCGCGAGTCCAGATTCCGGTTTGGGTATATTGAAGCGCGGCGTGGTTGGACTTTCCATGGCGATGAGTAGGAGGTCCTTGAGGCGAGGAGAAGGGCATGCAGAATGTGGTATATTATACGGAGAGAGCGGCCTGAGGGCAACACTTCGAGTAGCGTGCCACTTACGATTCAATGTTGGCACGCGCGTGGCTATGTACACTTTTCCCACGGTTCCTACTTCCTTCATTGCGTGCCACTTACAGTAACTACTTAGACACCGTGGGCGACAGTCTACGGTATGCTGTAGACAAGCTCGCGAGCGCGAGGCATGTATGATGTCTAATTCTGAGAATATAACCCAAAGTGGATGATCCGGGGGCAGTAGGTCCGATTGAATTGGTGCAGAAAATCGTGGAGGATTGAGGATTTTGTTCGTGAACAGGAGCAGTGTACGAGTACATACAGGCCGCCGAGAAACAATCAAGATATCGAAATGACCATCATCGTCGTCGTCGACCCGCCCCGATACACTGGCAGCACTAAATCACCCACACCCCACAACAACTCCCACACCGCTCACCGCTCACCGCTATAAATAGTTCGAGCAACACAGTCCACAAAAAGTCCATCGGACGCGCAGTCCGCTGTATAATATAGTACTAGAATCAAGAGCACTGCAAGGAATGCTGTAAGGTACGTCCGTGATCGTAGCTAACCCACTCAAATAGTCCGTGAGGCTGTGGGCTCTCTCTCTTTCTGTCGTGTGACTGCGTACATGTAATCAATCGTTCGGTCGTCTAGGCAAGCACCATGAAGCCGGAAGCCAATGCGAGCAGGGAGGCGAATGATGAGCCGACCGCGAAGGAGACGGCGGAGGAGTCACTGGCGTCGGTGCTCAAGCCCGAGGCCGTCTGGGAGATGCCAGAGGCGGTGGAGCCATCTGGGCAGAGGGTACATAATGAATTGATGAACGAGTAAAGGGGTGCCGCATGGGACCCGAGAAAAAGTTCACATACCGGTGAAAGAAGACCCGCACTGGCTCTGGAGGTCAGACACGATGGTAGATCCGGTGGAGGACTGGAGGAGCGCTGATTCCGTGCTGTTGATGACGTTGAAGGCCTCCTTTCCGCAGTTGGAACAGGTTACGTTCTGGAGAAGTGCGGTGGTGTTGGCTGTGCTGTCACCGGATACCAACTGAGGAACGAGGGACACGATGTTGTTGATGGTGAGTGTTGTGCCGAGCGAGGTCTGTACGTTGTCCAGCGTCTCCGTAACACAGAGCTCGTTGGCGCTGTTGCTGTACACGGGAACGATGTATGTCAGATGGCCGTTGAATGGGATAGGTGGAGAAAAGCACGCACTCCTGCAAGCAAGCAATTTGGCGGACGGTCGGGTAATATTGCTGGACATCGGCAATGATGGTGGCGAGCGTCGAGTTGTCGATGTCAATCCCGAGCGAGGCCAAGTCGGTTGCGCAGCCTGTGGTTACATTGGTGATGATATTCGAGATGCTCTCGTTGCTGCATGCGGATTGGGAGCAGGCACCAGTCAACCAGCTGTTTATTGGCTGGACGAGGGAGGTGTTGCCGGCGATGGCAAGGCTGTCGATGGCGAGACGTGAGCACTATATATTGTCATTGGTAAAGAGAGGAAGCCAACCTGACGAGGCTGTTGGCGTTGATACATGTGCCGTCGTCGCTGGTGGCAACACTGGTGTAAAAATAGGGAGAGCAGGACAAGAAGGAGGTCGTGAATGCAAGACGAGCGAGAGTCAGTACGGCAGAGAAGTAGAGAGAGCTTAAATAGACGAACCTCGTCAACGTAGACTGACACTCGCTCGAAAGACTGAGGCTGCAAGTGCGGAGAACTGTCAGCGGCCTGTCGTTGCCACCCATGCCTGATGAACTGACCTCTGAGCAGAAGCAGAAATGGCGCCTCCTGCAATCACGGCGAGAGTGAAGATAGACGAGAACATGATGAAGAAAGAGATTTGAAGATTACGATTGGAAAAGGGTGAAGGGTGAAGAAAGAAAAGAGATCCAAAAGCCGGTTTTGTGATCGAAAGGGAGAGGAGAAGGAAGGTATATATAAGTAGAGCAGAGCGCCAAGCTTTAGCCTCTGGAGAGGCGGCTGTGCATGCCGGGAGCTCGGCAACGATGACCTTTAATTGGCGATCACGTTGTCGCCCTGCATGACGTAAAGGTTTCTATATATGGGATGACCGCGAGACGCTCGCGGGAGTCCTTGTCTTTGTTTCCTGCACAGTCTTGCGCTTCTTCTCAACATACAGTATCGCTCACTTGCCAGACCGCAACGTATTCTGCTTTTGCTGCGCTCCATTGACAGCACACGAAATCTGCTATGACAATAATGATATCTATGAGCTCAGCCACTCCGTTTCCTCCCCATCGGTCAGTACGATCGCCAACTCTTTGCTGGCTGTGCACCAACCCTGCACGGAGAACGAGCGCTGCTTGGCAAATACGCAGTAGCGAGGCTCCTCATCATTACGGCGCTGTCAATTTCGACGTGTACACACTACATATATGACTCCAGCTGTCATCGATGCTCGTCGCCGTTTGCATCATCGAACATAAACATATCAGTCGACAGTATAAATCATCAAGCTCTATACCACCACAGTCTCTGTCAACGATTGGAAGACTCCCATCCACCACCTCCCGCTAAATACACCCTCTCCCGTTCCTCCTGACGGATTCCCAACCGCCGCGATGGTCGTAATCAGTTTCATCTTGGCCAACTCCATTCCACTGCCTCCTTTCTTCGTCCAATCATCGTGATCAAGCTGTGAAATATACATCATGAATATATCGTGGGTTGCTTGATCTGGAGAAAGATCTTGGGAAGAACAGACGGAATTGACTATGTTCCGCGTTTTGTACCACCCTCCGTCTTGTGTATTATCTATACGCTCCTGCAGTATCTAGTACTGTCTGCCGGACGTGACGCGACTCGAAAGACGACTTGTTTGAGAACAATGAAGCAAGTATAGCACAACCCACGTGTACGAGACGATCCTGGCGAATCTGTGGTGAGCAAAGGAGTGAGCCGCGCGCCCGAGTTTGGTACGAAGAACCTCTCGAATCCGGACTTGACACCGCTCGCTTTGTTATCCGATGGCTCCAGTGCCCTTGGCCACCGTTGTGCACGTCGACGCCAGTCAGTTCACGGAGCAAGTCCATGATTATTTGGCCAACGCGGGCGAGATGTACGCTGCACAATGCCTGTTCGCTGTCGCACAAGCCTTATTCTATCTTGACCAGATCGCGTCTTTACCCGTGGAGACTAGACAGGTCGAACAGAGAGCATTATTTCGTGGTATACGCGTCTGAAGCCGAGGCGGCTGGTGCGATTGCTTTGTCGACGAACGATGTTATTGTGAAGCCGTTGGCACGCGCGCCACAGCAGCTGCTCGACATATTTAACGCCGTCGCCCGCGGCCCTTTTGGCGACCGTCCTCCCACCACAACGTCCTCTGCCGACCTCACGCCGCGCTATACGACCCCGAGCCCGACGTCTCCCTCCTCTTCGCACTCAAACTCTGCTAGTCCCCTCACACCGACCGGCCATCCGCGTGAGAGTGCTGAGAACGGCCAACGCGCCGCCAAACGTGTCAAGCTCTTGAAGCACGCCATGCACACTGACCTTGCTTTTGACTCGCTATATGCGCCCTCGCCTTCAACGAGCATCCCCGGGCCCTCTGGATTACCGTACATCTCCCTCTCTACCCGCCGCCAGACCGGTAAGCAAATCGACGGCGGCGGAGGACTGGACCGTGGACGCTCTCGTACGCCGCCACCTGCTCTACTCTCGCCCCCTCCGTCTCCCATCCCTGTGAACCTTGGAAGCTCGGCCGCCAATTCCAATGGACGGCCGCATTCGTCGTCGTCGTCGTTTATACCGTCTGGAGCCCCTCCGATGCGGGCGTCGTTGGTGATGCCGCTCTGTGGCCAGTCCATTAGTATTGATTTGGATTCCCTCGACGAGGACCCGCAAGCTGTGATCAGTCTCCTCAAGGCCGCCGAAGCGGACAGGGACAAGTGGATGCTCGTCGGTGGCGCGTATCGTCGGAAAGGAAACTTGAATGCGGCCATATCGGTCGTCAACAGGATGCTCGAAGGTATCCTCCCTACCCGTTTGATCTCCTCGCCCTTGTCTGTTGTCTTCCAGCATCATTCTCTGACGTTGCTTTCGTCTGTGCTGTGTACAGTGATGAAGGAAGCATCCATCGCAGAAGAACAACTGAGGCCCGCCTTTCTCATGCTTTCCAGCTGCCTTACCGAGCTGGGCAAACAAGCGCGGCTACCGAACGGGAGGGAAACCGCAGAGTCCAACGCATGCTTCGAACAGTCCCGCTATTGGCTCCAAAAAGTATATGGCGCGCTCAAACCCGAATTGGCCATGGCACAACAGCAGCAGCAAGCTTCGTCCGGACGGCCAAGGGCGATCAGCAATAGTACCACCAGCAACGGCGCATCCAGTCGCTCCTTCCCGGTCTCCACGCCCACGACTTCCGTTTCCTCCTCGTCATTACCCTCTTCGGAGCAACGCGCGCTCGAAAGAGAGCTCATGGTTCTCCGCGATAGACACTCCTCCTTCATCTCTGAGCTCACGGAAGCCCGCACCGCCAAACGCAAAACGGAAGACGAATGCTCGCACGAGCGCACCCTCCGGCGACGTGCAGAGGCGCGCATCGACGAGTTGGAGCGGCAATTGAGCAAAGCGGACAAGAGGATGGATTCGGCGGTGGAGCAGGTGAAGAGGGAAGTCGAGGCGAGGAGAAAGGCGGAGGATACGGCGGAGGCCGAGAGAAAGGCGAGAGTCGAGACGGAGAGGACGGCGGAGACGAGGGCGGAGGCGACGGTCGTTAAGCCGGCGTTTGAGGAGATGGCGGGGTTCTTTGCGAAGGTGGCGAGGGGAGAGTTGTCGATGGGTGCGATTGCGGAACTTGCCAATGGGAGGAGGAACGTACCCGGACTGTGACCAGGGTCGTCGGAGAGGGCTCTATGAGTGGTATGTTGTATGTGAAAATCATCGTGGTCGTGGTGTGTTGTGTGTTGTATGTTTTCGTTCTTCTTCTGGCCGTGGACCTTGCAGTTGCCAGGAAAAATTCTTGTACCCTCATAGTTTGCAGTGTCGTGTCTCAATCACCATAAGCATATGGTTGTGTCTACCATTTGATACCCATCCAGTTAGAACATCTGCACGTCTCCTTCCGAATATCTTGTACGATCTTGCAGCGTCATCTTGTAGCATTTCACGTCAATCGGTCTATCAATGGCCATATCCCCTCCAACATATTATTGTGACACAACACAAGACAGGAATAACATTCAAGAAACACTGCTTAGGCAGGGTATAAAACATGCAGGCAACAACACGACACAAAGCACCGACCACTCTCAACTTTAGATCAAAACAAGTCCACCACTCCCCGACGAGCCGACAAAACGCCAACGACCTTCGCCTCCATGCTCAACAAGTCGCCACCCTCCGTCGCCACCAGATCCGAAAGACCCGCGGCTTCGACCTTACTGCCGAGCAATTTCTCGAGGTTGGTCGAGGCGAGGGAGAGCGCTTGGGCCTTGGAGATGCGACCGTCAGCCTCGAGCGCGGCCTAGTGGAGATAAAACATTAGTTTCCTTGGTTTAGAGGGAGAGGAGGGAGAGAGAGAGAGGAGAGGACGTACCCAGCCGACGTCGAAACGTGTGTTGCGCGCGCTCCATTGTTCCTCGATACCGATCCCGACAGTCACGTTGTTAGCGAGCAACAACGAAATCTCGCTCTCTTTCGTTAACGGCGGGCCCGGGAGCCTGTACCAAACAAGACAATTAATCAATATGTCAACCAACATCACTCCCACTGAACGGCGAGGGCACGAGGTCGCGGGACGTACACTCTTTTCTGCTCCCAGGTCGTAGGAAACGGTCTCGAGGAAACGAAGATGACGCCGACGCCAGCTTCACCGATTTCCTTCGCGAGGAGGTGGGCTTCTGTGGCGCCGGAGAGGGTCATCTTGATGCTGCGACCCGTTTGGGCTTCGACTTCGGCCTTCAGCAGGAGTAGGGTGGCGATGATATCTGCGCTGTAGACTTCGATTACGATGGGGATATCACCCTGGGAGGGGTAATCATCGCCACATGAGATTTGCGCACTGCGAAGAAGGATACGCGATAGTCACTACTAACCTTCACGACGTCTACGAAAAGCCTGGCCTGCTCAGAAGATTTGAGAGGGGCTTCATCTGCTGCTACTGAGCTCGCAGCAGTCAACAACATACGGCGCAATGCTGCGATTTGAGTGCTAATGCTAGGTTTGGACCCGAAGTGGCGTACGGTGACGTGCAGCGCAGTCGTCTCCTGTAGCACAGCACCGAATTCGAGTTTATGTGCCGCACCGAGGGAGAAGGACGTGCCCAGGCCACCGAAGAAGCCGTAATGAGTGGGAGCCGTGATGGCTTTGGTGACCCCGGCACGGTAGGCTAACCTGAACGTCGAACAGATAGCAAAGTTTCGGTCAGAGCCTTGATGGCGTTCAGGATAGAATTGAGAGAAACATACAGAGCATCACGAGTGGCGAATTGTAGCCCATCGACGGCTCGAATGACAGAATCGTCACCTCCAACGATGCTGGGCACCTTCCCACCAAGAGGGTCATAGATCGCTCCGTCCCAAGTCGAAGGTTCGCCTTGAATGTCTTCCAGCCCGAGCGGAGAGCCGTAGGACAATAGACCAGGAGCAATAGAGCCGCCCTTTAGGTCAATTCTCTGCACCCTGTCGCCAACGAACTCGTCCAGCGGACAGATGCCCTCCGATTGTCCATAGCACTCCAAGGAACCGTTTCGCACGACGGCTATGCCATTTTCTATGTCTCCGGTAAGGCTTTGGGCCGCGTTATTGTACAACTCTTGGACTTTGCCGGCCAGGGGAGCGTAGATGGACCCGACGTTCGTGAACACCACGATCTCGACGTCCGATTTCTTGGGGGAGAGAGGTGGGAGACCTTCAAATTTGATGGCTAGTTCTTTTTCGCGGTCGAAGTTGGGGACTTTGGGCGTAGCTTGGAACGCGGTGTGTTTATTGGCTACGTAAGGTGAGTCGAGTTGGGGTATCCCGTCGATGTAGACTTGGGCGGGGGTGGCACCGAGCGAAAGGGGATGACTGTCCCAGATGACTAGGTCTGACCAAGAGTCAGTAAATGAGTTATTGCATCAAACTGGACGGTGTGTGGCATACCAGCATCCCAGCCTGTACAATGAAGGTGATAGTGAGTTCAGGGACAGTGACACGATCGACAAGACGACTCTACCTTGTTTGATGTAGCCTACACGGTGATCCAATCCCATAACTTGGGCAGGTGTCGAGGTCACAGCAGCGATAGCCAAATTCTCAGGTAAACCATACTAAGGACTAATATGTAAGCACAAGTCACGATGCTACCATTGCGGCGATACTCACGTAGTATGCCTGCTGTGCCTCGTAGAGTAAGTGTCGAGAGTCCAAAACGGGATGATCACTCTGGATGAGACGTAATATCAGTGGTTAAGACGACAAGAAGGGAGTAGGAATTGGATCCGACCTTCATGACGACACGTAAACCGTTCTCAGCCAGAATGCGGGGAGCAAACTCAGAACCCCTGTAGGCTTCACGCTTGTATCTGCAGAGAAGGCCTCAATATACCAATACTTAGTGAAGGTCAGATCACTGGCCTGGCATTGGTGGCAAACATGGCAACGGCGGGTGTCCGTCCTGATAGTATATTTGTGTGTGAGACAGGCTACTTCATGAAGAGTCAAAACGTACCATAAGCCTGTTTAAGCACATCCGGGACGAGGTAGGCCTCATGGGCGTGGTGTACGGCCGCGACTGGGAACTCGAACTCGTTGCTGAGCTGGGGAGACCAGTTCAGCGACGGTAAAACAATGCGAGATCGACGAAACGGACACACTCTAACTAGGTCGTCCAAGTCCACAGCTTCGTAGCAGTGAGTTTGGACCTAGTTTAGCTGGTTAGCCACGACTCCAAATGTGGAGCAAAACAGACAGACCTTGACGCGTCCGCGAAGGACATCGACGAGAGCCTCCCACTGCAGATCTTCCGGGAAAGATTGAGACTGAAGGCTGTCCCAGTCACCGTGATGGGCTTTGTGGCAAAACGCATCTTGTTTCTCTTTCAATTGCCGTGCGGTGTCGTAACTGAACGAGACGAGTTGAAATGTTAATGACATCGAAGACATGGGCAAGAACGAAGCACTGACGCCTTGCGGAATGCCCAGAACGTGTCCATCCTAGTTCCGTCATATACTCGACCTACGAGTGGGTGTTTAGTCAATAATTCTAGAAAAGAAAAGTCAAATGCTTACTTGGGTTCTCGCCTGAAAACTCGAATGAGCACTGGAATCGCACGGAATTTATACAGTGAGGCACGTACCGCAGGCATGTCTTAAGAGACGTACGAGGTGCTATGAGTGAGGAAATATCAAAGGGTGAAGGAGAAGAGTCTCACTTCATCTGTCGCCAGTGCAGTGGAGCATGTGGATCGCGATATGTTCCATTGATATCAGCCGGTGGCTCCAGGAGCATCGACGTTGGCGACCTTTCCAGAGTTTTGCGCAGCTTGATAGTGAATGCCTGCCCTCCTGTTCACAAACGTCAGTACCCGCGGCTTTTGGGTGAGAAGATGACACCGACCGATGGCATTTGCTGAGCCAGGAAGTACAAGAGCAGTTGTGACACCTCCAGAGATTGAAAGCTCATATGCGTCATCATGAGTGTTAAGGCCGTCGAGTGAGCGAAGCCATGGTTGGGTGATTCCGTGGATGGAGTTGTCATCTACGGCACCATCAAGCTGGTATATGTCAAATTACATCGCTCCTTGTAAACCAAAGGCAAAAACGAACCGCTGGGGAGGGTCCGTCACCGAGATGCGAATGGTTATCAACAATACTGGAGGAGGGCTGGTCAACGGGTGGAGGCTGTAAGGCATTGTATAGTGTCATACCCAGGCGTCACCCAGGCTCCGTGAACGTCGATGACTTCGAGTTCCACTGGAGGTAAACCGTCCTCGAGCAAGTTCCCAAAGGAGCCTACGCCCTGGATGATGCCCTTGTTGAGGTAGATATCGCCAGTGACGACTTCAGTGCCGTTCTGTTCGCCTGTCCAGATACGAGCATGCCTGAGGAGGGTAGGCTTGGTACCGGGTACGAAGCGGTCAGAGACAGTGCGGTGATGAAAGTGACGAGATGGTCCGGGCTCGGTGTAGAGTGCATGACAGCGCTCGAGAATATGTTCGGCATGAGGAGGGAGATGTCCAGTCTTCGTGTAGAAGCTGGTGGTTGAGATAAGGAATTGGAGGCAGACAAAGACGGCAAGAAGAGCGGCGAGTGCCCCAAACCTTCCCCTACGGGATGGTCTTGGAGCCACAGGGCGAGCAACAGTCGGCAGAGACTGTTTGTCCATCGGCTCAAGTTGACGGAACGAACTTGAACGAGGCAAACAACGCGTTCAGGGGAAGCAGCGTGATGTCACGCTCATTGATCGCCGTCACAGATCTCCGATCATTCCGAGCCGTGCCTGAGTCCCCGATCCCGGCAATTTAAGCTTGTATACGCCGGAGCCACCACCACCACTCTCTGCGTTCCAAGCTGAACAGAAACGTATCTTGCTGTAGCTGAAACCGTTTGTGTTCACGTTTGGAGTGGTAGAGAGGATTGTGCGCAGACCCGCGACGTCTTGGAGAGCACATGTCGAGCATTCAGATGCAGTTAATGCTCTTCCTGTCCAGCATCGCGAATTTGTGATAGAATTCTGCATAGAGATTACTCCGGGAAGTCCAACTTATACGCTCCAACTCGAGCGAACCACTTTTCTTAACCACAGGCAAGACTTCAAGTGAGCAAAACGGAGACTACCATAAATGGAAGGAACTGTACAGTTGACGGAAAATGCCGACGAGTGGCGAAACCTTGTTTTGGGTGGTTCGTGGCGGGAAAGCCCGCATATCGTGAGAAAAAAGAGCATACTCCGTCGTCGACACTCGCGCCCGCGCCTGCAAGCCCGCCCTCTCCCTCAACAATACCTCAAAATGGCCGCGGTTCAAACCCTCCCCAAGGACGTCTCCAAGCTTGGACAGGAAGTTAAGCTTTTCGGAAAGTGGGAGACTCAGGAGTGCGTCCTTTCACCCATCGCTTGCCTGCTGAAGTGCTGACCCATGGTCCTTTCTTGTTCGCGTTCGCAGTGTTGAGGTCAAGGATATCTCATTGACTGATTACATCCAAATCCGTCACGCCGTCTACCTTCCCCACACCGCTGGCCGTTATGCCAAGAAGCAATTCAAGAAGGCCCAGATGCCTATTGTCGAGCGCTTGGTCGATAGGTGCGTAGGGTTTGGACGTGCACAGATAGTCAGGCCGGCTGCTTATCGTGTGCCATACATGGTGGTGTAGCTTGATGATGAAGGGCCGCAACAACGGAAAGAAGCTCTTGGCCGTCCGGATTGTCGCACACGCGTTCGAGATCATCCACCTCCTCACCGACCAGAACCCCATCCAGGTTTGTTCAGCCTGAGATACTCTCAGAACGAGACTTGTTACTCAGCACTCGTTCCAGGTTCTTGTTGATGCTATTGTCAACACTGGTCCTCGTGAGGACTCCACCCGTATTGGTTCGCAGGGTACCGTCCGTCGTCAGGCCGTCGATGTTTCGCCACTCCGACGAGTCAACCAGGCCATCTCTCTCCTTACCGTTGGCGTATGTCTCTTTCTCAGCTTTCGCAACGAAAGATCGTTTATTAACGGAATGCATTGTGTAGACACGCGAGTCTGCCTTCCGTAACGTGAAGTCGGTGGCTGAGTGCTTGGCTGACGAGCTGATCAACGCGGCGAAGGGTTCCTCGAACTCGTACGCCATCAAGGTGCGTCTTCTACCCGTCGACGACTCTGTCTACAGCACCATTATTCCTGTGACTGACATCTCATTCGATTCGTTTTATAGAAAAAGGACGAGCTCGAGCGTGTGGCCAAGTCCAATCGGTGAAAACCTCTTGTTGCGTTGCTCTTCCATCGAGGGAAAGGGGCTTTGCGTGTCCTGTGTCATGGTGCAGCTCGGGTCTTTCCTGTCTTTATTTCTTCGCCTCTCCATGCATGACAATCCATGTTCTCCATGTACTTCTCGCTATGACACCGTCCACCCGCAAATCTGCTTATGCATCATCCGGTCGGTGGGTATGGAAACTCAACGAGAATGGCCAGCTACTATCCACGCGGAAAATATTTGCATCTCACTTTCAGACCCAAGTCTGCCGTGGCGTACTCTCAAAAGTGTCTGATGGGCTCCTCGAAACTCTAGGCTAGATCACACTGCTTCACGGTAGTAGACAGGCTCGCCCGTACTCTCAGCGCTCTCGCTTAGAGCACTTTTGATCTTTCCGGCGTATCGTCGCCGTCAACCCATCTCGGAGATATTCCGCGGCTATGTATGTCGACCACGGAAACAAGGTTAGCGTTCAGCGATGTCAAATGCCAATGGCACGGTGCTTGTGGCGGCGACAGCGCGACACGAACGGAGGTGCTTTGGATCCCTGTCGGCGGAAGGTTTTCCGGATTAAGGCCTAATGCTCGTCGTAGAACATGGCAATTCAGCCATAAGGGCATGTCGCATTGCAATACGACTGTGATGGAAGTGATGCGTTTATCCGTGTGTCAGGCAGGGGCCTCGGGAGCACGCATGATGCTGGGCGGGTGAGGGGGTATGTGCCTTTTCGGCAGCCGTTTTGGGCGTACATTGCTATGGACAAGCATGCAGCAGCATGACGTGGGGTACCGGTAGCATCGTGCGCTGGAGCCGGGCGGTTTCGCCTCAGGCATCACAGTGCGGACCCTGGACCGGACGACCTTCGTCACAAGCTCCATGTTCCTCACTTAGAGCCAGAGCCTATTGGAGGGACGGAGGGTCCGGGCTAACATTAATATCATTCTGCGACTTCGAGCGTACAATGGGATAAACGTTGGAGGAATGTCCTGGAGGTCAGGCCTCAGGTTCTGGAAGGGTTGAATTACTAGGCAATGATCGTCGGGAGATTGTTTCTGGAGCGTGTGTTCGTTTGTTGCGTGGCGGGGCATTTGGATCGGTGGTGCGTGCGTGTGTCTTGCAATTATACATGCATGCGGCCGGGGCAAATCACACCAGTAGAATGAATGTGTCAATGTCCGCGGGTCTAAGCACCGGTCTCACGGACCAGTATAATTTAATGCTATTCGAGAGAGAGAGAGGGGAAAGAAACACGGAGAAAACAAGAGCTAACCGGGAGAGGAAAAGAGACCCTAGTGCTTTCACAGATTGCGACGAGGACAAACAGGCGGAAAACAAGGAGACAGATAGGAAAACGGGCCGTATAAGTGGATAGGTTGGGAAAACAATACAAGATGAGACAGAGAGAGACAGTGCGAGACGGATGCACTAAATGAGTAGATAGAGAAGATGCGGGCCAGTGAAGACGACGATATCAGGAAAACAAGCAATTTGCGTGTGCGACGGTGTTGGCTGGAGTCGATGGGGTGGATGTCCGACAAAGGTAGTACACATCGGCCGAGAACCCAGCAGAACAATTGTGAGGACAGCACGGGGTAGGAAGCAGGCTGATGATTGTGACGACTCTGGAATGCGACGACAAATAAAAAAAGAATATGGAAATATGGACAAGTACATTAAGGCGATGAGGGGTGGTGCGTGATCGACGGGGTCGGGGACGATGCGATGGGAGGGTAGGAGGATATGAGGGTCGGTTTGGAGAGGTATCGGGTCGCAGAGGAGGGCAGTACTGGGAGGGTATGAAAAAGAAAGAGAAAAGCAGCAAGGGGGTAATAAGAAAGTAGAAGGACGATGCGACAAAATAAATCCACAAAGATGACCAGATCCGCGCTCCATGGAGTTTTCGACTGAGAAAATGTTGCAAAAGAAAAACCCATGTGAAAGACGTGATGAGATGGCAAGTCCAGATGGAGTAGATGCAAGTGGATGGGAGGACGATGGTAGGGCCAGAGCAGTCGCTGATGCGGATAATGTACAGATGTAGAGCTCAAGGAGGACACGGGCGACTGGGAGAGCGGCTGGGAGGTGTGAGTGAGCGGGCAGAGCGCAAGGCGTTACGGGAAGAGAGCAGGAAGAAGTCGACTGCTAAACGAGAACGCCAGGCCGCGAGTGATGGTAGCGGAAGAAACGACGAAACATCGATATCGACGCTAGTGTGCAGGATTTACTCGCGCTCCATGCTACCGCCGTGGTCCACTCGTGCTCGAGGGCTTGGGGATTGCGCCTTTCTCGCCCTTGTACTCATATTCCTTTCCGAACTCCATGATCATCGCCTTTCCCATGAGACATACCCATCCAATGCCATCTCCGGTGACAGGAGATCCGGGCCAGAACAACTCGCCCTCTTCGTCTTCAAAGTCGGGCTCTGTCTCGTCTGCGCGCCCGAGAGACGATTGGACCATGCGAGCAAACGTACGCGGGTAGTGCTGCGCGAGAACGCGCAGGGAAAGAAGTTGTTGAGCCCTGTCCATATTTTCCGTAATTTGCGCGATATGAATCATGGTGTTGGTCGCGGTGTGGATGAACTTGGCGTTAACGGGCACATTTGTGGTAGCCGCGATAGGATGGGGATCCCCCTGCAGCGTATAGATCGGCGTGCGTCCCGGGGGACCCCTCACGACGTCAGGCGTCCAATCGCGCGACGCGGAGGCCACTGCAGTGGCCGTCGTACTGTTGCTTGGGCGATCGCCCGAACCAGGTGTCCCCGTACTATGATTGGTAGGTGTTGAGTTGGCGCTGTTTGCACTGACCATACTGGCCGGCGATGGAAGCATTTGGGGCGTGTGTTGCGAGGACACGGCTCGCGCAGGGGCCGTCGGCGCTTCGGTCGCCGCATATGCCCGCTCGACTATGGGCTTCGTGTGTTCGAATAGGTTTCGTAACTTGGGGACCAAACTGTTTTGGTTGTATCGCATGGAGAGGCCGGCGTGGATGAAAGCGTCGAGCATCCACCTGCAAAATATGACGTCAGATGGTAGGATCTATCAAAGGATAGACTTATACATACACTATGCCGTAAAGTGCTCTTTCACGTTCGCTAACGTTCGGATCGTTGAAAACAGCGCCCTTGACATAGACCATGAATGCTTCGATGTTGTCCCAACGACTGGGAGACGGGTGGCCGGCTATAACATCCCCGGCCCAAAGGCTGTAAGCGAAAGTGACGAGAGCGTCTAGGAGCTCGAGCTTGGCGATGAGGGTGCTGTGTTTGTGATAAGGTGAGCCTGGTGGCGGGGGAGCGTGTAGAGGACGATAGGCCTTGTGTGTGGTAGAGTAGGATGAATATTTGCGAAGCTCTCCCGAGTACTTGAGCACGCGGCCAGCGTCGTGATAGCGGTCTCGTATTTGGGGCCAGACGGGATCATCGCCAGAGAGATTCTTGCGGGGGCGGCGAACGGGGAGATCATGGTACGAAAGCTGAGGGACACGGGACACAAGGGGTTCGTCTCGAAGCTCGCCCTCTTCACAAGGCTCGTGGTGGGAAGAGGACGGTGCGGACTGTTGCGAGGTTGAGGGGCGAGGGCGAGGGAGGTCTGGAGCGTCTGATATTCTTGGGCGCTTTGAGGGGCCAGATGAAGCAGCGACATCGGATTTGCGCTTTGAGGAGGAGGGCGGAGGTTGAGGGGACGACGAGCGAGATGCCGGTGGCGACAATGGGAGGGTGGGCGGGAGCGGTGTCGGGAGGGGGCCTAGGATCTGGATGTGTGGGAAAGGTAAGTGATGGGTCAACAAGGAGCGAAGAGGGGTGTGAATGACCTGTAGGTTGCGTAGGAGCTGCTGTCTGGTGAGTCTGCTGTTGACGAAGGGGTGAGTGGGGCGGTGAGGGGGAGAGCGAGAAGGTGAAGTACCGATTTTGATGCTTTGGCTTGTGGTCGAGAACTGAGGATGAGGCGTCTGAGGCCGAGGGAGGCATCGCTGGGCTGGGAGCTGCTTGCTGTGGACGGGGGATGGTCGTGGTCGGGGAGAGAGCGATGGCTGGCTGGGAACGGCTCGAGCGTCTCCTCTGCTTCCGCTCATCCCACCGCGGCCGTTCGCGGAGCCGGCCTCTCGGTGCGGCGACACTCGCCACCGCGCCTCCTTCCAGACTCGTCTTCGCTCCTTCCGCCTCAGCTTTCCTGCCCGATGCGCTCCGTCCCACCCGCCCTCCCTCTTTACAGCTGTATCCCTCCATTATTGTCTTGCGTCCTTTCACCTGTATCTACTGTTCAAAAAACAAAACACTGAGCGGTATGCACTGAGGATGTGTCAGATCAGTCCCAATCAAGTGCCGCCCAGCCCCATTTGTCATTTCCAAACGCCCTCAAGCTGTGATGCCCGCAACACCAACGTTCTTGTCGGATTCTGCGAGCGGCAAAAATGCCATCATCTCAGCTCCTCCCTTTCCCAGCCTGCCCATGGATTGCGTCCCCCTCCTTGCTTTATCCTCTCCACGTGCTGCACCTATATCTCGAGCCCTTGACGCACAAGGACGACTCCGACCCAGGCCGACCTTTCGTTTGCGCCCTGCGAAATCGATGGCCAAGTCGCCCTCCAAAGCATCGTCCTTCCATTAATCCCCCCCGATCTCCCTATCCGGTGAAGACCACACATGTGGCACCGCCAGCGCGACATTCCCGCCCCCACCCTCCTCTCAGTATCCAGCCTTGGGGCCTTTACCACGCGCTCTCTTCATATTCTGCTTCTTTGTTCAGTTCCCTCTCCGGTCACTATACGAGTCATGTCATCCAGGCACAGTGCCCGTTTAGGTATATGTTCTTAATTGTCCGGCGTCACGGTCACAAATATCAACCAAACCGGTCATTCCTTATGAGCACATCGGGCTCGCACCGATCGACAGCAAATGGGTTCAAAGCAGAATCGTCAGGAACAAATGTCTATTGTTTATTGACCTGTGCTTTCTCTACGTACTTTGTTTCCTTCGCACCCTCACTCCCAAACCTTCCCAGGATTCCGCTCCTCCTTTCCTTTCTTTCCGGATCGCCGTCTGATCTCCATAACGGCACCACCTTGGCTGCCCGGTGCCGTCCCCTCTCCGCAATCCTGATTTTCCCGCGAGAACGCACACTCCCAATCAGCCAGCGCAGAAGGTGGCCCTAAGAAGTGCTTCAAACCTTACAAGACCTACAGCTCTAGCAGCTCATGCTATGTATGGAAGATAGGTCTCGATCCGCTCAAGGGAGGTCAATCATTCCACAGATGAAACGCTGCATCTGAGGGCCTCCCGGTACAGACGTTCTGGACTTGCCAGCGCATGGAGTGGGATCCCAGTTGCGCCGGTTTGCAGATGCGGCTCGTGCGAAGGCGCACAGTACACTCGCGGTCATGATGAGAATACTTCTGGTCTAGTCACATCTCAGCTATAGCGGCCTTCGAGGCGCACGTTCTATTTTTCGTAACTTGTCTGCCAAGTCGTACAGTCCGTGCAGGTGCGGCATCCGCTTGACCAATCCCCGGCACGAATGTGCCGTCAAAAACTCTCTTGTTCATTATAAAGGCGCTTCAGCATTTCTGAGTGGCCTGCCACCCTGCACTCCCCGAGGCCTCCTAATCTTGTGGTTCGCTGACAATCGTGCATTACTGTACGATCTTGCTGACTCCTCGAAGGAACACCCACCAGGTTACATGTCGTGGGACTCGACTCTTCAAGGTCCCCAGACGAACAAGGTTGCATTTTTCTCTCGTCCAGAACCCGAGCGGTTCGATCATACTACTTTTGCCAGGCTCCGGTTGCGAATTGGCGCCACAGGCGCTTTCTCCTGTGGCGCCAAAGCAACCTGAGGCAGTGAGAGTTTCACTACTACTTCAATTTGTTTGTTTACAGGGACAATATGCGTATGTGTATGTGCAGAATGCAACAGGGCGAAAATTTTCCAGCTACTGAACTACATAACATGAACCCATGACGATAGGCCTCTGTCAATGGGTACGGCTCGGTCATTCTTTCTCTAAGCACAGGAACCCCGCTGACTGAGTTCTGTTTGTTTATAGATCTCAGATCAGCCCGGACAGCGAATTCCCAAAGTGCTGTATCTCTCATCCTCAGATCACGCAAAGTCTGCAGTATAAGGTTGCAAACTAAATGGGTTGGTCAGTTGCTGAATCATACTGATACATGGTAAGTTACAGCTGAGACCCGATAGCCGAAGCTGAGGCGGTAGACCCGATGAGGGCCAGTGGTTTGCTGGCAGTGGCAATGGGTTCTCAATAGTCCAGCAGGCGCGCGAAAACGGAAGATAGGTCCGAACTTGGGTGAAGTGATACGTAGCACACTCACCCGAAGCTTTCCGCAAGGGGGCACGATCAATGAAGTGTAAGTAGCTGTACTGAGAGGCGCTCCGGAGTCATTTTTTGTGTGATATTGGGTGGCACGACGGTGCTCTCGACGATAGTAGGTCTATGTCGAGGTGAGTTGCCCGTCTTTCCGAGTCAGCACGGTAGGACCTACGCAACTACGCATACTGATTTCATTTGCCCCAGGTCAGACTGCGCCAAGGAAATCTCTATAACGTGCGAACTCGTTAGAGATATGAACGAGCCTCGGATGGTCTCAGTATCGACTGCGAGCGCCACTGGGATCACAGCTACAGTTGCCGGCAACACCTCAATTAATGTGGGGCGCTTTTCCTGTGCTTCCTGTGTGGTTAGTTTGTGGCGCGGGACGGCTCTGTCGCAGTGTTGTGATATACAGGGCATAATAGATGAAGACAAGTACGTGAACAAGTAAATCATTAATCCATCGCTGATTGTCTCTACATAGGGAACAAACAGATCTCCATGCCAATCGATTGTTTGGCCCGGTCTCCGTATATTGTGAGTTTCTGGCTGTACTCACTTCGGTGACAAGCAATTAGTTGATGCGCACGGGAACGGACGCCATGATGATGGATGAGTCGATTCATACCGTCTAATGATGATAAACGCGATCACTGCCGTGGAGCTGTTGTGCTCTGAGCTATCACTCTGACCGTGCATTGCGCTAAGCGAGCAGCCTGACTTACTTGACATGAGACTACAGCACGACCGGTGCACAGGACTCTCGTACTAATTAGCCGTTGTGAATGATGCGGCAGGCTATCATGCCTATCAGGCATAGCTCCAAGGTTCGTACTACATAGCTTCAGAGGTGTGTTTCGCTTGTCAACATCAATTAACTGACAGCGTTTACGGATTGGTGTTTTTGTTATAGGACGATCACTCTGTGCGTGCGTTGTGTTGATGGTGCGTTTGCTGCAACTACATAGGACGAGGTCCGCACTTTAGTTGTCACGATAAAGCTGGAGTCCTCGAGATGTCTGACAGCAGTCGAATTCGGAAGGAGTCGACTCCTGCGTCATCTAAGAATGACACTGGATTATTTCGGGGTAGGAACTATTTATTGTTGGATCTGAGGCCTGAAGAATGTTCTCCGCACGGCCGAGGATAGCGCTCTTTAACCTTATTTTATGCCGGGTTTCATCCGTCAGCTGTTTTGAGGTTGGCTGTAGTACTGCTAGCTCGTGCTGCTCGAACTGAACACTCAGGAGACAGATTTGGCGGCGTACCCTCGACACGTTCGATATGTTGGGTGACGATTCAGAATGTGGTCTATCTTGTAGGGATCGATCTCAACGTTGAGAATATGAATGTAGGGCTTGTATTGCATCATATAGGTGGACCTGGTACTGTACACCGGTACCGCAGAGCTTGGCTTCCTCGTTCATTACATTCCTCTTTACTTATTCCTCGGTGTCGCACCTCGTGGATATGGCTTAACCTGGATTGCTGTCGTCGTGCTAGGGAAGAATAGAACAATGGAAGGTGTCCTTGGTCATTGGCCTGCAAGACCGGTTATTGTTTTCTTGTGAGAGAAATATGGCGACCAGTGAGACAGTGGACGTGGGCCACCCCCTGATCGTTCTAAGTAGCGCCACACGCTAACGCCAGTGTGGCCCACTGCTAAAACTAAAGACGCGACTTCAAAGCTTTCAGGCATCGACTGTTCCTCTTGATCCTCCATGTTCCTGGAAAGTAGCAGGCGGAATGCCTACTTTCCCAACTATCCCTCAATTCCTCGTTATTTCCTTTTCCACAATAAAAGATAAACCCAAATTAGGCAGTTAAAATCCAAAAATTCCCTCAACCAATCTATCTGAATGATGTTCTGGCGTATTGAGAATGTCATTCAAAAATCATTCCACCCTAAAAGTCGTATTAAATAAAAGTGAGGCAAATACTAGATCAGGGACATCATATTCCGGTGGTTTTTCCGCATTCCCGCTTCCTCCCTACTTCATCACCAGAGTTTCCATCTTTCCAGTTCCACCGTTTAAGTCCCATTTCCTCCTCTTATATCCTTTGCCATTCATCTTCTGCCTCCAGTCTCATCTCGTTCAACATAGTCCTCACATACTTCCACC